CTGGACGTCCGGGACTTCGGATTGCTTTGCGGAGCCGAGTTCCGTTCCGGCCCCCGTGGTGCCTGTGCCCTGCTGATCCAAGCTATTATATTACCTCTAAGGCTTTATATACTATAGGGCTTAAATATACTGTAAAATCTATAAATAAAAGCTGTATTTTCACAGATATTAATACTAAGAAATTTATTAGATATATATACGTAATTATTTATAGTTTTGATATAAAAAAAGTAGAATATTTTTAAAGTTTTTTAATAAAATAATATTTTATTTTATTTAATATATATAACTAGGATTTATATTATTAACTTCAAAATTAAAGTTTTATATTTAAAGGTTTATTTTAGGTAATCGAAGTAGCTTAAGTAATAGTATTAATAAATAGTTTTATACATTTATTTATAATATATTACGAAGGCTTTAGTAAGTGCTTAAAGCTAAGAGTAAACTTATTTACTATTAATATAAATACTTTAATTTATTTAAAAAAAGACTTAATTAGAAGTATCTATACTTTATAGAAAATAAATAAAATACAACTATTTTTTACCCTATCAGATTAGAAAGTCACACGCTAATATTTAAAAAAGCTGCACAAGTGTATAGACTTGTTAGGCCCCCACTTCCATCTATAGATACATATTATGCAGAGGACATTCTTTGGGGTGACTCCACTCGACCATCATCATGTCTCCTCGTGTTCTGTTGAACTTTTTACAGTGCTCGGTTGCCAGGGCACACCCTTTTCCATTGCCCAATGTAGCATTCTACCAACCCTAACCCTATTTTAGAGTTCCCCTGAACGCCCCTAACATGGCTGGCGATATCAGCATGAAGATACCCAGCCACAGAGGGTTTCAGCTCCTCGTTTCAGCCACGGCGTCGCATTCAGGCGTCATCAGCTGCGGTTTGGCGGTTGCTGCCCCGCAACCGCGCAAGCAGAACCCCACCCACGTCCCGCGACACCGGGAACCCCGCCATGAGCTTCAAGGCTCCATCCATAGCTCCCCAACCTGGAAAGTTGCTGGCACAACCAAATCACACCGCAACTCTCCCTCCCAAGTAAACTCAACTTCATAGCCACTCAATCTGCGAGTAATTTTCTCCTCTCTCTTTCCATACCTTCCATAATCAGTCGTGATATCACCAAAATGTCTATCGAGCTCGACAAGATCTTCGCCGCCTCCCCGGCGACAACCCGCGGCCAGCCAACCCAGCTCTCGGCCGATCCAAAGGGGGAGCAAATAGCTTTCGCTGTACGTCCCGTTGCTTCTTTATCTTGATATACATCATAATCTCTAATGTATAACCCCTTCAACAGTCCGGCAAATCAATCTTCCTCCGCTCCCTCACCAACCCCTCCTCCTCCAAGCAATACACCTCCCACACCACCACCACCACCGTAGCCAAGTTCTCCCCCTCGGGCTTCTACGTCGCCTCGGGCGACATCTCGGGCAAGATCCGCGTCTGGGACTCGGTCGAGGCAGTCAACACAAAAGGCGAATACCCAATCATCTCGGGCCGCATCACCGACATCGCCTGGGACGGGGACTCGCAGCGCGTCATCGCCGTCGGTGACGGCCGCGAGAGGTTCGGCCACTGCATCACTGCCGACAGCGGCAACTCGGTCGGCGAGGTGTCCGGGCACAGCAAGGTCATCAACGCGGTGGCGATCCGGCAGCAGCGCCCGCTTCGCGCGGCGACGGTGTCGGACGATGGAAGCATGTGCTTCCTGCATGGCGCCCCGTTCAAGTTCAACAGCAAGGCGACGGGGCTGCACAAGGGGTTTGTTCAGGGGACCGAGTTCAGCCCTGATGGGTCGTGGTTGGTGACGGTGGGGAGTGATAAGAGGATTCAGATTTATGACGGCAAGACTGGGGAGCCGCTTAAGGTGGTTGGGGAGGGGGTTCATACGGGGAGTATCTTGGGTGTGAGCTGGAATAAGGACTCGAAGAGGTTTGTGACGGCGAGCGCGGATAAGACGGTTAGGGTGTGGGATGTGCAGTCGGGGGAGAATGTTGCGACGTGGAAGATTGGTGAGGAAGGGAGCTCCAACCCTCAAGATCAGCAGGTTGGTGTTGTTTGGACTCGTGGGCCGCAGGAACTTATCGTCACTTTGAGCTTGAGCGGTGATTTGAACTATTTCACCGTTGGCTCTTCTACCCCACAAGCAGTAATTGAAGGCCACAACAAGAGCGTCACCGCGCTTTCGGTCACCTCAAACAGCAACGGAACCAAGGTCACAACCGGCAGCTTCGACGGCAAGGTGGTCGCCTGGGACATTGGGACTGGCGTCGGGAAGGCCCCAGAAGGCGAGGCGCATTCCAACCAAGTCGTTCAGTTCGCCTCGGCCGGTGGCAGGGTCTACAGCGTCGGATGGGACGACACCCTCCGCATCATCGACGAGGCTACAAACCTGTTCCTCGCCTCCCCAGTGAAGCTCAGCTCGCAACCGAAGGGCATCTCGGCGTCTTCGGACGGCACGATCGCGGTCGCTCTCAACTCCAGCATCGCCATCTACGACAGCGACGGCAAACTTCTCGGCGAAACACCCGTAAGCTACACCCCCACCACCATCGCCATCAGCGGCTCTTATGTCGCCGTCGGCGCAGACAACAACACGGTCCAGGTATACAACCTCGGCAGCGGAGGCAACCTCTCCCCGACCGAGAAACTGACCAACTCCACCGCCGCCATCTCAACACTGTCATTCTCCCCGGAGGGAAAGCACCTCGCGGCGGGTAACTCGTCTGGCAAGATTGTCGTGTACACCACCGGCTCGTGGGAGGTGGCCACCGACAGGTGGTCCTCCCACACGGCGAGGGTGCTGAGCATTGCGTGGAACAAGGCGGGGACGCACGCCGTGTCGGGGGGGTTGGACACGAATGTTTTTGTCTGGAGTTTGGCGAAGCCGGGGAGCAGAGTCAAGGCTGCGAATGCGCACAAGGATGGGGTGTATGGGGTTGCGTTTGTGGAGGGGGATGAAAAGGTTGTGAGCTCGGGTGGCGATGCTGCTGTTAAGGTGTGGAATGTGAAGAATTTGCAGTAAGGAGGGGAAAGGAAGGAATGAAGCGTTTATGAGTTTATGCATGGTATGGTATATTAATGGTGGTTACCTAGCCGGCGTTACTGCTGTTTTTTAATGAAGAGTATAAACTTGTTGTTAATAGATGGAGTTTGTGTACCTCAAGTTGATATGTGTGTGGTATAGGGATGTGATGATGGTATCATGAACAACACCTACGCTTACACCAGCCCTAAAGATGACAGGTTGAAAAGCCCACCAATAAAAGTTTGTTCAGTGACCCTCTAATACACTTCTTTAGACTTTGATAGCCTATACCATTCTAAAGAAAAAAGGTACATGGAAAAAGAAAATGGCAAAAAAAAGCAAACGCTGGATATCAAATACACTGTGTGACGGACCAGGAGTCGAACCTGGATCTTCGCTCAAACTCGGGAATGTAATAACCGCTATACTACCACGCCACGGAAACACATGAATCCGGTCAAATGACAGTATCAGTAAAAGCATCAAACCACCGCGATGACTTCCAACTGATTTGGCAAATGTAGCTACATCTATAGACGCAAAACGTCACAGGTATCTGCTGGACAGCTATGAATCTCTGTACATGAGCAAAGCTACCTTCGACATCCCGCTAAACTCCCTACACAATGTTCATCAATGGACCCTCGAGCTACCAGTTGTAGTGTCGGTACTCTGTTCCCTAGACCCGCCGGCCCAGTTAGATTGCCCTCTCCCAGTGATCTTTCCCAATAAATCCACATTCAGCCAACTCCCGTCTGTTTCTTCTAGTGTTTACCCTCGGTCTCATGCGGATTTCAACGGTGTCGTGCTTCTTCCTCTCCATTTTAGCTCTCTCTCTTCTCTCGAATTGATCGATTCCGTTCATAGCCACTCTCGTACGTTCCCCAACTGAGATACCAGACTGACGAGATCCATCACAAAGCGTACCCAAACATCACAGTAGGCCCTAGCGGCAATTCCAGCATAGAGTGCGACCATCCAACCAAAGAGGGGCGGCGATTCCAACACAGAGGACCACACCCGACCAGAAGAGAGCGTGTGCAAGAATTAGAAACAGTACCCTCACCAACGCAAAGACCAGTCTGAGGACCCAACAAAGAGCTCTCGCTAGAGACAAGAAAAGGTTGTCGATTAACTTGTCCAGCTTGCCCGCGGGGTTGCAGTCGGTGGCAGCCGGAGATCTCGGCTCTTTCAGCAGTGATGTCTGGCGTCCCAAATCCTGTCCTTCTACCAGTACATGGCAGTTCACATCAGACTTCTCCTTGACTGGCGTAGTGTGCCTATATTCTCGCATCGACTCGCTCAGTCGTGCAGAGCACTTCGAGTCCGGTATGCTAGTCTTCACCACAACGGCAACATCGCGCTGTCCAATTTGAATTTCCGACACTGTGTCACCGCTGCCATCACAGTTGGATTTCTAGTCCAGTTGCATCCGTGCGGCGTCAGCTGGCTCGACAGCGGCGTCAAGAGTTGGGCTGCCAGCCCCAGTTTCAGCTTCCTCCCGGGTTTCCTGTCTCTTGTCAAGCGACTCCAGTTGCAGCAAGTGTTTCTTGCGCTCAAACTCCTCTGGATAACACGTCAGTACCACCCAATCGAAGAGCTTGAAGCGTTCTGCCTCCGGGACAGGGAACGGCGCAGGCCTGTATGGGGGAAGGTGGTCCAGCCTGCCTTTTTGGATGAGCTGTAGGACTTTGTCAATGGCATGGGGAAGGTTGCTGTAGCACTGTTAATTTTGGCTGTACAAGATGTCCGAGCTCCTGGGAACTGAATACTTACTGAATCTTCCCATGGACCGCCCAGCCCTGCCTTTGCACCTCCACAGCAAGCTCCAGTTGGTGATTATCCATCAATGTTGGATTGGGCACCACAATCAAGGGAGCCCCATATCTTCTGACTTCGAGGATGGTTCCCGCACCTGTTTAAATATCAGCTTTCTCAACTCCTGGGTATGAGTGATAAGCAAAGAGCTCACCCGCGTGCGCAATGACACACCCTGCCAAGCTCTTGCCTAGCTCGCCACGGCATTCCAGCATATAAGGCTTCAGAACAGGAGCATAGGAGAAGCACTCCACCTGCAAGTCTGCCAGCAACTCCCCTGAGCGCAAGGCCTCGAGTTGAGTCTCAAACCAAGCAAGGTTAGGACCACATTGGACCGTCAACTTCTTGAACCCGGCGACCTGTAGGCGAGTGAGGAAAGGGCCAGTGATGACCTGCTCGAGAAGAGGCAGGAAAGAAGCGATCGAGCCGATGGTGACAAAACAGTTACGTCCAGAGAGGACTGGGGATTCCTCAGTCGAGGCCATTTGAGGGGCAGAACTGGGTGTTGATGTTGATCTTGAACTAGATGTGAGGTCCAAGCAGTGCCCATTGTCTTGGCTCCTGTCCGAATCGGGACAGGTGGCGTCCGTGTTAGTGATGGCAGCCGGCAATGTCCTGTTATCGTTATCGGGCATCATATCGATATCGAACGACCTTGAGAGGTTCCTCACACGTTCAGGGTCGGGCTTTTGCTGGGAACCGCCGTGGTGAGAGTCCCCTGTATCGTTGAGGGTCCCAGCTACCGAGTAGGCAGGACTCGGTGGTGTAGCGGCCCTGGAAGTTGAAGTGGTCATGCTGTCGTTGTTTCTTGTGGCTGTGAGCTAGCCAGTGCGAATGCTGAGGGTGGTCAAGATTAGCTTTGCAATTCCACCAAATTCTGGGAACGAAGTGAAGAGAAGGAGGTAGAATAAAGTTAAGTTCTCAGTTAAAGAGCAGAAATTTCTTTCATTTGGCCATGAGGGCTCTTGTCACAACACTGGCAAGTGCTCGCAACTTGGAATGTGCAAGTCCAAGTGTGGCGCAAAGATGTGGCTCGTGCTCAGCCAAGCTCAGCTCAGCCAGCACCGAGCGGCCGGGCCAAACTCCAAATTTTTGGCGACGAGAAGTTCCGGCCGCGCAGTGGAAGCCCCCGTGTAAGCACCCCTCCACCGATCCCGACCGACCCCAACTTCCCGGGATGGCTTCCGCCGCCAATTCTTTCCGGCTATGCCTCCGGGCTAGCAGACAATTATCAGTACGACCTGCAGCGTCCCCCCTCCTGCGCCGGGCCTTGACCACAACCGCCCCGCAATGCGCTCGCCCAGGTCGCAAAAAGGGCTGGAAAGACCCCAGCGACAACTTCGAGTTTCCTGAGCCATACGAGGGCAGGGTCTTCCAAGATTTGGGCGAACAGTTGAGGTACTCTCTGGAAAACGACGAGTTGGCCGAGGCCGACAGGGCTGCCGTTCAGCAGGCCCTGGCGAGCTGGGAGAACAAGCCAAACGAGGAGAAGATGGAGGAGCAGCAGATTGTCAAAGAAATTGACAAGGAGTTTGCCCCTCTGAGAGCACCTGTTCGTGCTAGGAGAAACTCTTTCTGGCACGAGGAAGAGCAGGATACCGACTTGATCACCGACGAGGTTGGGGAGGACGACTTTGAGGAGAATGACATGATGGCTATGGGTCACGCCAAGCTGGAGGAGCACCGCGAGTACAGAGAATACGCACGTATTGCCGTGTGGGAGATGCCATTGCTTTCGAGTACGTGCCTCTGAGTCATGCTGCTGAGAGTATGTGGTGCTAACACCCGCCAGAATTCGCAAAGAAGTTCGTGCCGCCCAAGAATAATGAGGTTCTTCGTTTCCGGTACACCACATATATGGGTGAATTCCACCCTGCTGACCGCAAGGTCGTGGTCGAGTTTGACCCCCGGGATTTGTTCGAGCTCACCGAGGTTCAGCGAGACAAGCTTCGCAAACTGGCTGGTGCCAGATACAACCCAGAAAGGGGAATCATCAAAATGAGTTGCGAGAAATTCGAACTCCCAGCCCAGAACAAGCGATGGCTTGGTGACACGATTGCCAAGTTGATCACTGCGGCCAAGGTAGGATGAATCGATCCTCTACCGAGACCATAATGCTGATCAGATCATCTAGGACCCCACGGATACGTTTGAGGACATCCCCTTGGACACCCGGCACCACAAGTTCAAGAGCATCCCGAAGTACCCCAAGGAGTGGTACATGTCAAACCAACGAAGGCAGCAGCTCTTGGCTCAGAGACGAGAGTCTTTGAAGCTGGATCATAACAAGAGACAGAACAGTCAACTGATTGATGGTGTAAAGGTGATCCAACAGGGCGCGCTTTCTACGCTCTCTGCGTCGAAGGAGAAGGAGCCCGTGGCAGTGCGGGTCAAGCCTCTATAGAGAGAGCGTGTGAGAGGGTTCTCACCCGGCGCCACTACCGTCAGCCGCCTGGTGGTATGCTGGCTGGCGGCTGTCGTAGTTGGAGCGGAAAATGTACATCATCTGTAAAAAGTAAAGAGAACATGTCAAATGTGTATAATAGACGATTGGTACTGATTGCCGGTGTTGAAGGTTAAGGGGCGACCCCTGAAGCAAGCCTTGCACCCCCACAACCCCTAACCCTATAGGTTTCTCTCGTTAAAATCTCAACGGGTTGCCAACTTGACTTGCCAGAGACGTCAAGCATGAACCTGGTACCTGGGAGGCTCCGAAACGGCCCCACGTCTCGACCGGAGCATATCCACGAATGCTTATCAAGCTGGCGGGTTTCTCACTTCGGGAATTAAAAAGAAACCGTCGATCGGTATTCTTCGCTTTTTGGAGCAGTTCTGGCTCCTCGAACAATCAAATGTTTGAAGGTGAGAGCCTCGGCAGCCCTTTGTCTCTGAGAGGGTGGGGTAGCATCCAGCACCAAACGTTTGGGCCAACTTGTGCCACTCGACTTGTGAGACTCGAGAGGGGGATGCTGCAGATGACCCCTGCATGCAGATGGTTAGTTGACTTCCATTGCAGTTCACACAGAGGATGCCATCTCAGCCTTCTATGAACTGGATCTCCTTTGGGATCCCCCGAACGTTTCACTGAATGGAAAGATAGTACACGTGTCGCCCACGTCTTGTCTGCTGCAACGCAAATCTAAAGACTGAACTCCGCCGAGAGTTCATGACTATATACCTAAGGCCCTTCTAGAAATGTTCAACACCACGTAGAGGCCGATGTAATTAGCGGCGGGCATGATGGGATGGCAAGGGGATGCTAGTGCAGCGCAAAGATGGGGTAGCACTCTGGGCGGCGAGAGGTGCCTCGGCTCCATCCACTTATTTTGATTAGGGATGCATCGGATTTCGATCGCATGCATGTTTCTTTTTCTTGAAGAAGGTCAGCCCTCCGGTGCCGTTCCTGCTTCTGGATAAAGACCCTGCTCCTGTGATGATTTTGGGACTGCCTACCTAGCTGTTGAAAACTCTTGTTTCTGCCACCTTTTGCTTCTCCTTTTTCTCTCGAACTTCCAGGTTGTCTGCTTCCATTCTCTCCATCGCTTTTGCGCCAGTTCATCGACCCTGCGCCAAAACCGAGCGGACCGACGCACGCACGCACGCACGCACGTGAAAGCCACCGGCGGGAAGAGACACACGACACAAGATGGCTACCAAAGCTCCCGAGTTCCAGGCCACGGCCCTGGAGGCCATTCCCAAGATCGCCAGCCTCGCTCGCGGTCAGTTCCGCACTCACAAGACCAAGAACGTCGAATGGCGCAAGACGCAGCTTCGCAAACTCTACTGGGCCCTCGAGGACTTCAAGCCCCAGCTCGTTGAGGCGCTCAAGAGCGATCTTGGAAAGTCTAGCTTCGAGGCCCTCCTCACAGAGGTTGACTGGGTGAAGAAGGACTGCATGTGGATGCTCGACCATCTCGACAGCTTTGTCAAGGACCAGAAGCTGGGCTCTCCCGATGTCCCCGCCACTTATTCCATCATGAACTTCCGCGTCAAGAAGGAGCCCCTCGGAACCGTCCTCATCATTGGCCCCTACAACTACCCCATCCAGCTCCTTCTGTGCCCTCTTGTTGGCGCCATCGCCGCCGGCTGTACCGCCGTCCTCAAGCCCTCCGAGCTCACCCCCGCGTGCGCCATGTGGACCAAGGAGCTGATCGAGAAGCGCCTCGACTCTGGATCCTTCTCGGTTGTCAACGGTGCCATCCCCGAGACCAACGCGCTCATGACCGAGAAGTGGGACAAGATTTTCTTCACCGGCAGCGCCCAGGTCGGCTCCATCATTGCCCAAAAGGCTGCCCAGACACTCACCCCCGTTGTCCTCGAGCTCGGCGGCAAGAACCCCGCCTTCATCACCAAGAACTGCGGCAACTTGGCCCTGGCGGCCAGGAGACTCCTCTGGGGCAAGACCCAGAACGCCGGTCAGGTCTGCATGTCCCAGAACTATGTTCTCATCGACAAGGACCTCGTGCCTACTTTTATCGAGTTCCTCAAGGTCGCCTACAAGGACATGTTCCCCAACGGTGCCAAGGCCAGCCCCGATCTTTCGCGCATTGTGAACAAGAGGCACTTCCACCGCATCAAGAAGATGTTGGATGACACCCAGGGCAAGATCGTCATGGGTGGTGAGCTGGATGAGAGTGAGCTGTACATTGAGCCCACGGCTGTGCTGGTCAACTCTGTCAACGACTCGATGATGCAGGAGGAGTCTTTTGGTCCTATTTTCTCCATTTACCCGGTCAACACTTTGGATGAGGCGCTCAACATTGCCAACTTGATCCACAAGACGCCTTTGTCGCTGTTTACTTTTGGTAACAAGGCTGAGAACAACAGAAGCACGCGCCCCTTTTTCTACCCCTTAACCATGACAAATAGCTAACGGCATCCAGTTCTCAACGAGATGACCTCGGGCGGTGCGACCATCAACGACGGCTTCTTCCACGGCGCGGTCAACACGGTCCCCTTTGGCGGCGTTGGCGATTCCGGCTGGGGTGCCTACCGCGGAAAGGCCTCCTTCGACTCCTTCACCCACTTCCGCACCATCGCCGAGACGCCCGGCTGGGCCGAGAAGCTCATCCGCGTGCGGTACATGCCCTACGACTTCAAGGCCCTCGCCTTCCTCAACCGCCTCACCGAGAAGTCGCCCAACTTTGACCGCAGCGGCAAGGTCGTCAAGGGGTTCGGCTATTGGATCAAGTTTCTGTTTGGTCTGGGCGGCAAGAGCGCCAAAGGTGCGTTCTTGAGGTGGCTTGTTGTCTTGGTGGCTCACTACATGTACACGAACCGATCCTAAGGATTCGGGACTGTGATTTGTGACTTTTGTACAGGGTTGTTTTGGGTGTTTTGTTTTAGCCTTGCTTTTTTGCGATTCCCCCCTGTGTCATGTTATACTCCCGATGAGAAGAAATGAAAAAGAGAAGAAACGGTTTCTAATGATTTTTTTTTTTGCTGTGTTTATAGACGACGATTATGAGAGACTCTCTTCCGAAGCTTGATGTTAGCGGACCACTTTTTGACCCAAGAGCCGAGCGACCACCTTTCCAACCACCACACCAACCGAACCGAACTGGATGAACTTGCATCGGCCAAGCTTCCTTCCACGACACATATTACTACCTAATCTTTTTTTATACCTCGTGCTGTACTATCACCATTACTTGTACTATATGGGCTGGCATATATTTTTTTCTTCTGTTTTTTTTATTAAAAAGATTCATGAAAGGCGGCAGGTGGAAAAGGAAACGGCTCATGCTATTAGGCTTGATGGTCATGGAACAGGATACCGGGTCTTTTGTTTTCAGGCATTTACAACATCATATATGTATTACCTACGCAAGCAGGCGTGGCATATTTTTATGGCGTGTCTGGTGCGGAGGGAGTAAATTATATCTTCTTTTTGATATCATATGCCAAATTGTCTTGTGAATGGGTGTAACATGCATGCCCAACCCGAGCGTTCCTTTTTACATTATCTATCCATTCCCCCCCCCCTTTCCGATCAATTCCTCAACGTTCTTGTCAACTCCTCCCCCCTCTGCCCGCCCAAATAGATATCCTCCGCCCCCGTCTCCCCCAACATGGCCATCTCACAAGCCTCGGCATACCCCCGTATCACCATATCCTCATCCACCCTGCACCCATTCTCCACCAACGCCGTCACGACGTTCCTCAGTCTAGCAATCTCCCTCATGGTAGCGCTGTCAATAAAGTCATTCTGACTGCTGTACACCCCCGCGCTGACATTCTCCTCCATATTCGTAATCCCCATATGCTTCTGCTCCAGCTCCTTGGCCACCTGCTCAACATGCTTGCTGATCCAGACGTAACCATTCACCCCCAGTATAACATCCATCTTCCCCCCTCCGTTCTGCCCCTCCATCGTCCAGACCTGTCTCCTCGACCGTACCACCCCGGACCCGCCGCCCTGCCCAGAAAGAGCAACAAACAGCCCGTTGCGGAGTTTTCCGTATTTGAGCGAGCGCGTGTGGAGGATTGCGCCTCCGTCCTGGAAGAGCTGCTGCACTTCGGCGACGACGAGGTCGCCCTCGGCGAAGAAGGTGCGGATTTGGAGCTCGTCGGTTTCTGTGCGCTTGCGGAGGATGCCGCCGGGGAGGTTGATGGCTGAGAGGGGGAGGGAGGCGAGCTGGATCGAGTTGATGTCTACGCGCCAGCGCTTGGCTTGGACTTCGAGGATGCGGCCTACTACTAGGTCGCCTACCTCGGGGGTGTAGCGGGCGCGGAGGGGGGAGACGGAGATGAGCTTGTTGGTGCGTGTGGTGATGCCGGCGAGGGAGGAGGTGATGTTTGTAGTGCTGGGGGGGATGTAGGTGCCGTGGCCGCGCATCCATTTGGGGGTCTGGGGTGATGAGGGTGCCGGGGGTGACCAGGTTTGTGAAGAAGAGAGCTGTTGAAAGAGATGGGTGGATTTTGGTGGGAGAGGAGGCCGAGGGAGGCGAAAGTCGAGGTGGGCGCCTCCTCCGCCGTCGTCGCTGGAGAGGTCGGAGTCGGAGTCGGAGATGTCGTGGGGGGAAGGGGGTGGGTGGGAGGGTTTGAGAGAGAGAATTGTGATAGGCATTTTCTTGTGAGTGAGACCTCAGAGGTCTGATATTGAGGTGGGGTGAGATGAAACTTCGATTTTTGGAAGGATTGATGAAGTTGATACGGTGGCGGTTTGAAGGGTATCTCTAGACTCTCAAACGTCGAACTTATTTTGCTGTTGTAGAGTTGGGTTGTGAACTAAATGAGATGAGTGTTTTCTACTTCCTCACATCTCAAAAGCGATGTGAAGCTCGAGCCTCCAAAATTCAGTTTCCACACTTCCGTTTCCCGAACGGTAGCTAGCCAAGCAATGCCCCACCCCCGGATTTTCTCCGTTTTTGATTCTAGCTTTTCTGCAGCTTTTCTTGCCTGCCGCCGCGAGTCCCGCTAATGCTTTCCCGCCCTCGCTTCCCGTTCGTGACCCGAATCCGTCATCTCATCCCGTCACTGATCACAAGCAGCTTCCTTGATTGATCGATTGATTGATCATGACCTCTTCTTTCCTGCTGTAGCTCATGAGGCGACCGCCCTGAACCGTCCCCAGCTTCACATGGCTGGGACACTGCCGGATATTACATGTTTTCTACAACAACAACAACTGCAAAGCCAACACCGATTATGACTCTGCTGCTACGAGGGCCCTGTCGCCTGCTCGCCCCCCACAGACATGCGACACGCCGTCCCCGCGCAGGGGCAGTCTGCACATCACCACCATCGTCACGGTTCATAGCTCAACCACAACGCCGAAATGCCTCGTCTTCTTCCACCGACAACAATGCGCAACAGCAGCCCCCTTCCTCCTCTCCTGCCCCGCGACGAACTCGCCCGAAAACAGCCCTCTTCTTCCCCGGTCAGGGCGTCCAAAAGGTCGGCATGCTCGCCCCTTGGCTCGAAGCCTTCCCCACCACCGCCGTGCCGATAGTCGAAGAAATAGACCACATTGTCGGGTATAGACTCTCGGACGTGATCGCCAATGGCCCGTCCAAAGACCTCAACCTCACCCCCAACGCCCAGCCCGCCATCATGGCGACCTCGATCCTGATACTGCGTATCCTAGAAAAGGAATTCGGGTTCAAGGTGGATGAACGAGTGGATTTCACACTGGGACATTCCCTGGGGGAGTTTGCGGCACTGGTGTCGTCTGGCTACATTGAATTCGAAGACTCGCTGCACATGGTGCAGAAACGGGCCGAGGCCATGGCGGATGCGACGAGGAAGGCAGAGGAGGAGTACGGAGGGGAGTATGGCATGGTGGCTATTGTTTCCGAGCCGCCGCACATGCAGCAGTTGATAGCTGCGATCGAGGAGTTTGTTGGGTATGGGAGCGAGGGGGGGAAGAGCGAGAGTGCGGAGAACAGGTCGCCGATCGAGCAGGTGCTTATTGCGAATGTTAATTCCAAGAACCAGATTGTGCTGTCGGGGAATATTGAACGGATCAAGACGCTGGTGGCGCATGTGAGGCAGTTTTTGGGGCACGATCCTAGGGCTGTGAGGCTGAAGAGTGATAGTCCTTTTCATAGCCCGATTATGAAGCCTGCTGTGGGGGTTATGCATAGGATTTTGAACGGGAGGAGTCGTCGGGTGAGGGGGAGGGAGGGGGAGGATATTGTTAGCTGGCCGGGCTTGGTGCCGTGTGTGAGTAATGTGACGGCGAGGGTGTTTGGGAGTAGGGAAGAAGTAAAGGATTTGCTGGCGAGGCAGTGTTTGGAGACTGTTCAGTGGTGGGGGAGCATCAAGTATTTGGATCAGGAGGAGAAGGTGAGGAGGTGGGTGGGGATTGGGCCGGGGAAGGTTGGGAGGAACTTGGTGGGCAAGGAGGTGGGGATGAGAGGGAAGGATGCGGTCAAGGGGGGTGGTGTGTGGGCTATTACTGATCCGAGCGAGATTGAGGAGGTGTTGAGGGGGTTGGAGGAGACGGAGAATTTGGTGGAGGAGGAGGCCGAGTGATTTTTACGGGAGAGAGTATTATTATACCACTTGCGTATGGATATGGACATGGAAGTGGTTTGGTTTGACATGTTCAACAGCGAGCAGCGGGCGGCGGTTTGGCGTTTGGGTTATTTGGGGGGGGGATTGATGTGCCCACCTAGGATACGGACTGTAATTGGTTACCCATTTATTTTCTACTCTTTACTCACGTCACAGGGGTAATTGTCTGTGGCATATGTTGGATGCTATGTCTATGATAACTGGATGTGTAAGTGAAGGACTATGGGCCGCCCCAAAACGGTGACCCACCAGTGCGGTACCTAGACTAGACTAAGCCCCTGCGGCCCAAACAGCTGGCGTTAGCGGGGGGAGCTTTGACCGCTGACATGCGCCTCCTTTCCAGCGCCCGTCCATCGAGGTTCTCTTTTTAAACCATACCACCACCCTAAAGGTAAATCCTCCGCACAAGATGTCGACTACCCTCCCCTCAATTGCCTGCTTGGGCGTAATAGGTCGAAACGTATGTCTCTCTCTCTCTCTCTCTCTCTCTCTCTTTCTTCTCTTTCTTTTTTTCTTTTCACTCTTTCTTCTAGGAAAGCGCAAACTGACGGTCAACTTAGAACAACCCCCTCCACATCTCCATCTTCAACTCCTACGACCCCTCCACCAACTCGTTCCGTCCAGTCCGCACGCCCCTCCAATTTTCCTTACTGCTCTCCTCCACCCTCGACATCTTTGAGCTCCGATCCCGCGCCCACGCCGCCCAGGGGACCGGCCTGACAGGTGACTTTGGCCTGCTGCACGCGGTAGACGAGAAGCTGGCGGCCTATGGCTTCGAGACCAACACGGGGGTGAAGTTTGTGGTCGTGGTGGACATGAGAGGGAGGAGAGCGTCGACTGCTGCTGCTGGCGTGGGAGAGGATGGGAAGAAGAGCAGCGCGGTGGGGACGACGGGGGTGGGGCTGAGAGAAGGAGAGATGAGGGTTGTGTTCAAGGCGATGCAGGCGGCGTATATCCGGTTGATGCAGAACCCTTTTTACGATCCGGATGAGCATAGCCCGCTGACGGGGCCGGGGAAGAAGATTACGAGTAGGAGGTTTGGGGAGGAGATGAGGAAGATTGGGGAGGGGTGGGTGCCGGGGGTGACGAGTTTGTGATTTTGAGTAGCTACGGTGGGTGTGTGTGCTAATGGGCGTTTGAAAAAGGGGATACCTGGGTGTTTTTGGCGTTTTTTTTTAATCACAGCATTTCTTTTTCCAACGAAACAGAGACATTGTTTCTTTCAAGCAAGCGAAAACAGGGTTTATATTTACGGTTAGGATAGGTACGAGAGGTAACCAATCCGGAGAAGCCAACCAAAACGCCAATCATCATCCCTAGTATGTACAGGAACTTCATCACCAGCAAATCTCGTCACTCGAACGAATTCGTCAGACTAAATTCCTCAAACGGCATTCCCTCCTCCCAGGCCTCCTCCCCTCCCTCGGGCCTCACAACTTTTGCCCACCCCGTCACCAACGCCCTCCAGTAACACGCCTCGGCCGCTTTGGAGAAATACCCCCCTCCGACAAACAGCTCCCTCTGCCTAGTGGCGATCCCCTCGGCAACCTCTGGGTTTTCTTCTAACCACCTCACCGTCTCCTCCAAATCAGACCAGTCAGGCTTGACAAAAACAATATTCGCCTCCCTCGCGTCCACACCCGTCCCCCAAGCGCCCTTGACTCGTTCAGTCGTCTCCCACCTCTTGCCGGTCAACTTCCCACTGTAGACGGGTCTCACAAGATGGGTGGTGTGCTGCATCCAGAGAATGGGGGGCGTCAAAACGACGCTCTGGCACATTTGCAGAAATTGAAACCGGCCCGAGTAGGCGATTCCCTCGGTGTGGATGACGTATTTGTAGCGGCAAAAGTCCTGGATAGGCAAGGCGTTGGTTGCGTTGCGGTTTTTGCCTGTCCACTCTAGCTTTTGGACGTCGAAGATTTCGGGGTGGGGGCGGGTGGTTTGGAGGAGGTTTTGGCGGAGGTGGGGGGAGCGGACCGAGTTGAACCAGGTTGTTCCGCGCCAGACGGCTTTGGGGATTTTGGAGGGGAAGGGGAGGGTTGATTCGAGGGAGGTGATGAGGGAGGCGGCGTGGGGGAGGGAGCGGATGAAGGGGAGGGGCCAGGACCAGAAGGAGAAGTGGGGGATTAGGAAGAGGCGTTGTTGTTGGGTGTTGGTTGGGGAGGGGGCTTTGGGGGGGAAGATGGGGGAGGAGGCGGGGCGGGAGTAGGACCAGGCTGTGCGAAGGGTGTCTTGGAAGTTGCGGGTGAAGAGGGTGTTTGGGAGGGGGGAGGGGGAGGTGAGGAGGGCGCGGTTGAGTTGGTGGAGGGAGGCGGTGCGGGACTGTTTCCCCCTGGGGGGGGGGGGAGGATGTTAGTGAGGGGGGATGAAGAGGGGGGGGATGAACTGGGGGGTGTTTACGTTTGACATTTCTTGTGACAGATCTTTTCGTCGCTGGGCGTGGATGATGTAGATTTGCCCGTCTTTGATCCTTCCTTGTAATGGGCCTTGGTTGTTGGAGTATCTCTTCATGGTGAACGGACCCTCGGCGACGGCATCGTCGATTTCTTTGGTGAGGCCTGGGAAGGCAGCATTGCATTGGTCTTCGTCTAGGGAAAGATTGTTGAGCAGCTCTGGGGGTGGCGGTCTTTGGCTTAGTTGTTGTTTGGAAAGTGCTGGCTTCAAAGACGACGACGACGACGACGACGATGATGATGATGGTGTCCTCCAGAGAAACACAAAGCAGTAAAACACGAGGATTCCACCCGCGATGAGTGTTATTTGTGTTATTCGTCGCTTTTGTCGGTGTTTCATTTTCATCTTCATTCGACTCGAGGATGTGTGTATTGGGAGAGATATTGGTTTGGACATCGGGATACTGAAGCGCTTTTCGAGCATCGTGTCGGTTTGATCTCATCTATCGTCGCTTGAATCTGCGGAGAGAAGGATTTCTTCACCACAACCTGGCCCAGGCAAGGAGAAAAAAAGATGTACATCAAAGATGCATAGTGTTGAACATGTGGTTGCTCTTCTCCCGCGCTGTTCCCGAACCAGCACGGCGATGTGAAAACGATGTCATCAGCACCTCTGTCCCAGGAAAGAGAGACGGCAGGTAGCGTACAAGACGAATGGCACACGGGGTCTAGCGAGAAGGAAACAAACAGTATCAAAATCTGGGGAGAGTCGCATGTTGGACCTGCGGGGTCTCCCAAGACTTCAAATCCCAGGTTGAACGTTGACAAGACCTCAACCCGCGGCGGCTCTTGCTCCGAAGCCATCGATCGCCCCCGATGTAGAGAGAGATCATGCTCACCCTTACAGGGAGACACCGCATCTAATTTGAGGAAGGGGGTGCTGCCCGGCAAAAGAAGCGGTACTTACGCAACCAGCCACAGGAAAGCTCGCCAGATTTCAATCTATCTTTCTATTCTTCCAGTGGTAGCTTGTGCAACAGTACCATACAACGTGCAAGTGCCTCTTGGTGTTTCCCCTACCCTACCACTTCCCCCTCCGAGAGCTGCGCGATTGTCCCGATCTAGCAACTCCCCCAGAGCCACCAAGACTCAAGCCCCCCCGATGTAACCCTGCGACCGTTCTTCCCCACAAGTTTGACCAACCAATCGTTCGAGTCGTCGAGAGTTCCGATTCCGTGTCTGTCAAAACCTGGGGGGCGCTAACGCACGATAAAAGGCGAGACGGGTAGGTAGCTTGTGTGTGGTTGTTTCCGGGTTTGATATGGGAAGCGAAACACGGCACGATAGGGTGTGAAAAGCTTCATGTCTGAGATACGGAGGCATTGAGAGCTGCTATGGTCAGTTTCATTCTGACCATGGCGCAAACACCAGGTAAACGCCTGTGAGCTATCTCGATGTGATAACTTCCTATAGGGGGGATGGTTGTTTCTGAAAGTTCAAGATCAACCACTTCATAGGCACGCAGTTTTGCCCCTCATTGTCATTTTCACCTCGCCACTGCACAGTCACAATATTGACCAGCATATCTCACACCCCTCTTTGATTCAGCAAACACTTTTGAACATTGCTAACCCTGCCCACAGTCCACCTCTGTTGACTTCTGGACTATTCGAGACTGTTCATTTTCCAAGTAATGCCTATTAGACCCAAAGAGATACCTAGTCACGTTATCGACAAGATAAATCTCACTAGAACAACAGCAACAACAACAACAGCAACAACAACAACAGCAACAACAACAACAACAACAACAACAACAACAACAGCAACAACAACTCATGTTATAAACCTGACCACGTCCCAGACGATATCTTAGTCAATACCCCTTTAAAGATACCTAGTCAGCAGGCCTTCGAAGATCGACTAACAGCAGTGTCTATGGGTTTAGTATAGTGAAAAGTGGTATAATTGGGGCTGACATAACTCGAAGCGGTATTGCTGGGGCTACCTTAGGGCGCCTGTAATCAATGTTGTGGGGACCGGGACGACAAACATTAGGATCTATAGAGCTAGGGTAGCGAGAACCGACGTTGCTGGGGCCGCCATGACGAAAAGCTATTTCGGTCGAGTCGCTGCTTTCAGAGCCGGTGTTTCTAGAGCCCCTGCTGCTAGGCCCGGAATAATTAGCAGAAGTCTTGTTGGGGCCGGTATGACGAGAATCGATACCGCTCGGGCCGTCTTGGCTGGTGCCGGTGTTGCTAGAGCCAGTGTTATTGGGACCGGCTTCCTTAGAATTGGACCTTGGTAGTGCCTGGGCCGGTGTTGCTGGGTTCCAGGGGTTGCTAGACTCGGCGTGCCTAGAACTGGTATTACTGGATTTCGGGTTGCCGGAATCAGCTTGCCTAGAGCTGGTGTTCTTGGACTTGGACTTGGGGTTGTTTGATTCGGTGTGTCTGGAACCGACGTGTCTGGAACCGCTGTTGGGGGCGTTGCTGGATTCAGTGCTGCTGGGCTCGATTTGCCTAGGGCCGGTACTGCTGGACTCGGGGTTACTGGACTCGGCATGCCTAGAGCCGGTAGTGCTGCTCGTCATGTTGAATACAGCTGTTGGCTAGAAGTATTATGGTAAAACGAACGTGGTCGGTTATGTGTGTAGTCACATTTGTGAGAGGACAAAATGGTGCAGTTGAATGACGGGAGCTTGGGTACCTGAGTTTTCTAGTGATCCCTTTTGGGGAATCACGGGAATTAGAGCCCCAGCAACAACCAGAGGCTCTTGCCGACAGTCCAAATGGCAAGAGACATGGAGATGTTCTTCGGTAGTTGGGAAAGTACTGCAGTGTGACAGCCCTGGGTTGTCATACACGCCATAGCACTCAGATTCCGAGACCTATTGTTCATGGAATATATATACATTGTTTTGTACATGTTACCATCAACAACTCATCAAAAGACCCTCCTTCCAAATGAGATTAGGATTACAGAGCCTGTCGGTTATGTAAACGTCAAATGAGCCCATCTGAAGTCGTATATACGCCACCTTTCACCTCGTCTAGAACCGCAAGCCAAGAGTCAAACTAAAACGATATTGTGACAGCCCTCCATGAGTCTCCGGCTACATACGTACAAGAACAAAAGCACTATACATGAATACACCCCAGTGGTATAAATAAACGCCTCTTTATGCTTCCCGGTCTAATGATTCTGTTGTTCCCTCCAGCTTCATGGAAACCGCCACCGCTCCCAAATCCCAAATCCGTTCAAAAAGATGAAAAAGACTCCGCTGTGTCCATGCGTTCCAGGCGATGCTATGCGTTTTGGTCATCGACAACCCAGTGCCTCCCAATCGTGTGTACCCTCCCGAAAACGCCGAGAAAAAAAGACCAAGAATATGATGTGCGTGTGTAAAGTGTGCAAAGGCGTATGAGTAGTTCGAAGCAAGTGACTAAACGTGCCTTGTGCGTTTCCCACCGCCAAACATATCCTTTCCGTTCCCGAGATCGACACCGTTTAGGTCGAAGTACTCAGCGAGGTTCATCTTTCTCTTGTGGCCCGCGCCCTGTCCCAAATCTCTCCGTGTCCTCCCAGGTCGTACATCTCTTCTTCTGGTGTTGCGTGGTGTCGTCCGGTTTGATGTGTTATGGTTTGATGCTTGGTTGGCATCAGACAGGTTGAGGTTGGCGAGCCGCATGGCCTCATCGTGAGGATAAGCATGTGCTGACTGGAAGTTGAAGGTATCCTGCGTAGGAACAACAAAGTCGACCTCCTCCACTATCGGGCTAGGCGGACAGGGAACCGTTGCAAGAACCGGAGGCGCCGAATCTCTCATCTGGACCTCGTCCCGGTCGACAGATGTTTGTGCTGCCGGAGGGCTCGTTCGTTGTGCCTGAGGGGATGAGGCGGCAGGCTCGGGCTTCTCGGGCTCGTCGTCGCTCTCGATGGATGGGGGTGTGGTGTCCCTAGTCTCTGATCTATCCATCGCCCATTTCCGGATCTTTGAGCCTACATCACCAGCAGACAGTCCGATGTTTTCTTTGTCCAGAAAGGCAATCAGGTCTTCAAGACAGTCTTGATAGCCATCGGCGCGAGACTTGGTTTGCGCGGCCGCTGACGTCTTGTAGAGCTTGGTGACGGACAGTGCAGCAGCCCGGAAGGCATCGAGAAGCTCGTGCGAATCGGCGCTCATGGCTGAATGTGAAGCTGTAGGCGGTAAAATGAGGCGAGGTCTCGTCCACGCCCTGGCAGTCTATGAGGTTGTCGAAGTCGGTGGAAAGCTTCGGGGGTGATGACTCTGCCTGATTACTGGGGAGATCGAGGTACTGAGGGGTTTTCGCTAAACCAAGAGAGCCAGGTTGAAGTGGGACTTGGAGTGGAGATGGACCTGTCAGGGTGTCGTTTTTGGCGGGGCGTTGCCTGGGAGCTTCTTCTTCTTCACTGTGGAGGCCCAGCCCGGCCTTGCACTTGAGGTTCTTGAAAAGAGTGTCGGTCGGATTAGAAGAAAGATCAACACACAATATGGCTATGATGTTTGGCTATAGGGATAAGATGATTGATGCTTGAGTCGGGCTGTCAACACGGCCAAGTCTGTGTTGTCATATGCTGAGTGAGTTGGACGAGCACGGGACTGGCTCCAACAGAGGCCATGGAAGATTGGCTCCTTTCTTTCCAACAAGGCCAGTTACGGTTCAGGGGTGGTTGCATACCGCCTACGGCACGTGCGAAGCTCGGGCAAAGGCCGGTCCTCTCTCTGAGCCGTGCACATTGATCTCGAAGTGCTTCAATGAGCATAATACTCTGTATCTGGATCAGAGAGACAATGAATATAGAGAGAAAAACTGCTGTTTAGACTGAATAAAGACTAGGTCACATGAGGTAGTTGCTTCAAGGTCAATGGAGAGCCTGTTGGCTGTTTTACTGTATATTGTAAATATGGAGCGAGGCTGTCTCTCACTGGCCCTTTCATTCATCAGTAGTGTTAGTCAGCAGGGCGGCGGAGCCTTTTGGACGACGGCACTTTAATCCCCTCGTCATCCAGGGCCTGTGATTGGCTGGGCTGGATCGCGGTTTGGCCAGTTTGGGGTTCCTCGACCTCAGAAATTCGCACCTCACGGCACCCACCCTTCCTCAAACAACTACACCCCAAGCCGGCTTTCTGATTTTCACTCATTGCGCACACCAGACGACTTATCATCGCCAAAAAATCGTCGGCACCATCTCCGGGATCATAGCAACCTTCTCCGACTCGCTTACACACGCGAGAGCGCGTCTTCGTCGCGTATAATTGATCCAAAGCCTCGACGAGGTACCCAGCAGCCACCATGGCTCCCCGTGGCCGACAGAGCGGCAACGACACCGACGCGTCCATGCAGGATGCGCCCGAGTCCGCCAGCCACGTTGTCGACGAGATGGTGAGTTTTATCTCCCGACTTGCTGGCCCAAGCCCAATCAACCGAACTGACCATATCTCCAGGAGGTCGACGAGACTCCCGATTATACCGACTCAGATACCAATCCAAATACTACCGCCAGCAGCGTAGCCGGGGAACCAGTTCCAGATGGCCGCAAGAAGCGCTCGGAGGCCAACCAGCTGCGAAGAAGCATATTTGGTAAAAAGCACGACAGGTTGGGAGAATCAAAGGTAGGAAGAGTGAATAGGCGCAAAGAATCATGCTGCCCGTGTCTGTAGGCTGACAATTCGATAGGAGGATGACACGATTCGCCGGTTCCGATACCTTTTGGGTTTGACTGATTTGTTCCGCCACTTCATCGAGCACAACCCAGACCCCAAAATCCGCGAAATCATGGCCGAGATCGATCGCCAAAATGAAGAAGCAGCGAAAAACAAGAAGGCCGCTGGTCGTCAGGGCGGCGCTACTAGTGAAAGACGTCGCCGCACCGAGGCCGAGGAAGACGCCGAACTTCTCAAGGACGAAAAGCACGGTGGCTCAGCCGAGACCGTCTTCCGCGAATCCCCCGCTTTCATCAATGGCACCATGAGAGATTACCAGGTTGCCGGTCTGAACTGGCTCATTTCCCTCCACGAGAATGGTATCTCTGGTATTCTGGCCGACGAAATGGGTCTGGGCAAGACACTGCAGACCATCTCTTTCCTGGGCTATCTTCGGCACATCATGGGCATCACTGGTCCCCACCTCATCACAGTTCCGAAATCAACTCTGGACAACTGGAAGCGAGAGTTTGCAAAGTGGACGCCCGAGGTCAATGTGTTGATTTTGCAAGGCGCCAAGGAGGAGCGTCACCAGCTCATCAACGATCGGTTGGTGGACGAGGATTTCGACGTGTGCATCACCAGCTACGAAATGATTCTCCGAGAAAAGGCCCATCTTCGAAAATTCGCCTGGGAGTACATCATCATCGACGAGGCCCATCGCATCAAGAACGAGGAGTCCTCGCTCGCCCAGGTCATCCGCATGTTCAACTCGCGCAACCGTCTTTTGATCACGGGAACCCCGCTACAGAACAACCTGCACGAGCTTTGGGCGCTGCTCAACTTTTTGTTGCCCGATGTGTTTGGTGACTCTGAGGCTTTCGACCAGTGGTTCTCGGGCCAAGATAGAGACCAGGATACGGTTGTGCAGCAGCTGCACAAGGTGTTGCGGCCTTTCCTGCTTCGTCGTGTCAAGAGCGATGTGGAGAAGAGCCTTCTACCCAAGAAGGAGGTGAATGTCTACATTGGCATGTCGGAGATGCAAGTGAAGTGGTACAAGAGAATTCTGGAAAAGGACATTGACGCCGTCAACGGTGCAGGAGGCAAGCGCGAGTCCAAGACCAGACTTCTCAACATCGTGATGCAGCTTCGAAAGTGCTGCAACCACCCTTATCTGTTTGAAGGTGCGGAGCCGGGCCCTCCTTACACCACAGACGAGCATTTGGTCTTCAACTCCGGCAAGATGATTATTCTCGACAAGCTTCTCAAGAGAATGCAGGCCCAAGACAGTCGCGTGCTGATCTTCTCGCAAATGAGTCGCCTGTTGGATATCCTGGAGGACTACTGCGTCTTCCGCGGTTACAAGTACTGCAGAATCGATGGTGGCACAGCCCACGAGGATCGTATTGCGGCCATCGACGAGTACAACAAGCCAGGATCTGAGAAGTTCATCTTCTTGTTGACAACAAGAGCCGGCGGTTTGGGAATCAACTTGACAACCGCCGATATTGTTATTCTCTACGACAGCGACTGGAACCCCCAGGCCGATCTGCAAGCCATGGACAGAGCGCATCGTATTGGTCAAACCAAGCAAGTCGTGGTCTACCGGTTCGTGACAGACAATGCCATTGAAGAAAAGGTACTGGAGCGCGCGGCCCAGAAGCTGCGTCTTGATCAACTGGTTATCCAGCAGGGTCGCGCTCAAATTGCCGCCAAAGCTGCGGCGAACAAGGATGAGCTTTTGTCCATGATTCAGCACGGCGCCGGAAAGATTTTCGAGACCAAGAGCGCCTTTGGAGAACTGGCCGAGAAGGGTGGCGAGCTTGACGATGATGATATTGACAGAATTCTGAACGCTGGCGAGAGCCGGACGAAGGAGTTGAATGCCAAGTATGAGAAGCTTGGTATCGATGATTTGCAAAAGTTTACCTCCGAGTCAGCCTACGAGTGGAACGGCGAGGATTTCGCCGCCCGCAAAAAGGATGTCGGGCTTAGCTGGATCAACCCAGCGAAGCGTGAGCGCAAGGAGCAGATTTACTCGATTGACAAGTACTACAAGCAGGCCTTGCACACTGGTGGCCGGACTGCCGACACCAAGCCGAAGGCGCCTCGTGCCCCCAAGCAGGTAGCTGTACACGACTACCAGTTCTACCCACCCAGGCTCCGCGACCTTCAGGACAGGGAGACCGCCTACTATCGCAAGGAGATCGGCTACAAGGTTCCGTTACCCGAGGGCGACGACGACAACCTGTCTGAGCGGGAGGCCGAGAGGGCTCTCGACCAGCAGGAAATCGACAACGCCACTCCCCTGACCGAAGAAGAGCAAGAGGAGAAGCAACAGCTGGCTCAGCAAGGCTTTGGCGAGTGGAACAGGCGAGACTTTCAGCAGTTCATCAACGGTTCCGGTCGTTATGGCCGGAACAACTATGATGACATTGCTTTGGAGGTTGACAACAAGACTCCTGCAGAGATCAAGGCATACGCCAAGGTGTTCTGGCAGCGCTACACCGAGATCGCGGACTACCCCAAGTACCTAAAGGTGATTGAAGATGGTGAGGACCGCATGCGCAAGATCGACCACCAACGCAAGATGTTGCGCAAGAAGATGGGCCAGTACCGTGTACCACTTCAACAGCTTAAGATCAACTACTCGGTCTCGACTACCAACAAGAAGGTGTACACCGAGGAGGAGGACCGCTTCCTGCTGGTGCTGCTCGATAAGTACGGCGTGGACACGGAGGGCATCTACGAGAAGATTCGCGATGAGATCCGTGACAGCCCGCTGTTCCGGTTCGACTGGTTCTTCTTGAGCCGCACGCCCACTGAGCTGGGCCGTCGCTGCAACACCCTTCTCACCACCGTAGTGAAGGAGTTTGAGGACGTCAACACGACGACCAAGACCAACGGTACGAACGGCAAGCTCAAGAGGGAGCTGGAAGATAATGAGGAGAATGACGAGGATAGCATTCTTGGGTTGGCGCCGGCGAAGAAGAAGAGCAAGGCTAACGGGGTCAAGGTGAGCATACTTGTTATCGGATGACCAACGCGCTGTTTTTACAGAGTGCTGACCAAAATCTCACAGAACAAGGCTCTTGATAACGTTAAGTCGGCGACTGCCAGCAAGGCCAACTCGACATCCCCGTCAAGGGCGTCCAGTGTCGGGTCTACCAACTCGACTGCTGCGGCTACTAAGAGCAAGGCGAAGGGCAAGAAGAAATAGATTTTTTGTACGACACAGACATGGAAAGGAAAGATGATGAGAGCTACGTAGCCAGGAGGGTTGTTGGGAGTTTCTAGCTGTCATGGTTATTTGGTGGCCAGCAAGGTCATACCAGTGGGTCGGATTATTAGAAGGCGGGTGGGGGAGGCGATGTAAATTACTATTGCTTGGGAAAGGGCGTTATTTGGGGTGTGTATTTGTGGGGGATTTTGTTGTTTCTTTTGTATTTATTGCCTTTGCGAAAACAGGGGGAAGCGGGACGGGGAAAAGCTGGTTGTCGTCTGCCGTCGTTTCTTGCTAGTTGCTGATGGTGGCGATGCTTCTTCAGTGCTTTGCAGGTAATATCAGCTCGCAAGTAGCAAAAATGGGGTGCTTTTACAGCTATAGATATTCAAGTCTTTCTAGATTTGTCTACCCTGCCTGTGTCTAAAGTTATATTTTGAGTTTAGAAGAAAGAAAAAACCGCGGGAAACCCCGGGCACGCAAGATAGGCTTCAACAGTGGCCCTGCCCACTGCAGCAAAGACCGAAAGCTAAACTTTAGAGACGGGAGGCTTGCAAGTGTCTAAAGTTATATGTTCGGTTGAGCAATACTATGGGTTATAGGACGACGGTGCCATTGTTAAGAACACAACGAACAAGTGGTAACAATAAGAACGACGCATGAAATGGTATCCGCATCTGTTACGAGTTTTACAATCAGCTCCTATATCTGGGCGAGAGGGGAAAAAAGACCGGCTTTCATGTCGCTTTTCCTTCTCTCTACCAAAAGTAGTGACATCAAAAAAAGGGGGTTGGTTTTCCTGCCTGGATCCCCCCCGCCTTCCCCCTTTTCATCTTTCTTGTTCACCCTTTTGTGTGTGATCCGCGTGTGTCCGCCCAAGAATCTGTCCCTGAACGCCATTGCAAATGCCGAACTCAAACCACATCTTTCATTCGTTCATCCGCCTTCGCCTTCATCGTTTCCACCCTCACAACCCAACCAACCAACCACCTCGCGGCTCGTTCCCTTCTTCCTTTCAGATTGTCCCATGGAAACCCCCGTCATGATTTCTTCATCATTTTTTTAAGTCCCCCATTAAAATTCTTTTTATTTGCCACCCTGGGCAGCTAACCTGTTTAGCCTCTCCCTCTCCACCTCGTAGTTGAAGTCAAAGTACCCCTTGTCGAACTGGTGCACGCGGACGTAACCGTCCTCACCACCAGAGGCGTAACCCTTGCCCGTGGGGTCGGCGGCGACTGTGTTGAGAGGGCCGAAGTGGCCACGGACACGGCCAATCTCCTCCTCAAAGATCTTGTGGTAGAAGCGGGCCTCGAATTTGCCCTGTCTCGCCGAGGTGGTTGTGACATCCATGGCGGCCTGACCACCGCCGAGGATGACGTACTCCTTCTTGGGGGTGATGGCGGCGCTGTTGAGGGGTGTGTCGGCGACGTACGTCTTGAGGACTTCGAGCTCCTTGGCTGTGATGAGCTAGAGGTTTTTCTGATGTTAGTAAAGAATGTTCTCTTGCGGATTTCACACACACAAGACAAAAAACATAACCTTGGCACTCTTGTCTTTTGAGGCGGTGATGAAGTATGTGCGGTCCTGGTTCCACTGGAGATCGGTGATGGGGGAGCCGAGCTCGTGGACGTTGACATTATAGATGAGGTCGCCCGTCTTGCCGTCGTACTGGGAGACGCTGCCGTCCTCGTGGCCGGCGATGATGTACTTGCTGAGGTAGCTCCACCCGGCAACGGTGGCCTTGCTCTCCTCGCAGACGATGGTCAGGACCTTCTCGTCCGACTGCTCGGCATCGGGGTCGACCTTGATGTCGAGCACGACGATGGTGCCGAGGTGACCCATGCGCTTCTCCGTCACGCCGAGGAGCTTGGTGCCATCCTCGTTGAACTCAACGCGCTTGACGGCGGTGGGGAAGTCCCATGTCTTGAGGAGCTTGCCGGTCTTGACCTCCCAGAGGCGGATGGTGTTGTCGGCGGAGCCGGAGGCGATGATGGTGGAGGTTGGGTCGACGTCAACGGTCCAGATGGCACCTTGGTGGCCCTGATATGTGCCGAGACGCTCGCCGTTGTGCGCAAACCAGGCGCAGATGTGTTGATCCTTGGCGGTAGAGAAGAGAAGATCGCCCTCGCGGTTGTACCTAGCAAGAGAGAGAAGGTGTTAGACAGGAGGAGGTCTTGGCTCTATCGGTCAGTGTAAAGGGCAACGAACTTGACCTGGGTCAGGGCACGTTCGTGGCCTGACAAAAGAATGGGCCTCATTCTGAAGGTTAGCTGTGGGGGGTTGTTGTCGAGGGATGGGAGAGGGGCGGTTTCTTTGCTCGGTGGGGTTGGGGATCGAGGGGGAGGTGGTCGATTATTATTTTATTGTCGGGTATAGGCAGAGTCTCTCTGTCGTGAATGCGGTTTCTTTCACAGAAGGCTTCTTTCTCCAGCCGATTGATTTGGCACACCAGTAATTTTTCCGTGAGGATTGTGCGCCGCCGATAGGCCACAGACTTTCCAGCGCGGGGCGAATCCTTGGACTCTGCCCCGCTTAACAATGAACTTTGCCTGACCGCCTTCTGTTTTCAGAGCATTGAAGTCAAAAGTGGGGGTCTTTTTTCCAATTGTTCTCGACTGTCACGACTGTGCCATCCCAAGTTGGATGTTGGATGCTCGGACTACAAACAGAACATTGTTCCTCGACGATCCTTCCAGTCTTATTTTTTGTTTTTGGATGATGACTCTTGGCCGGTGACTCGACTCTCTATCCTTGTGACTGGAACTTGTGTTATTGTGTCATAACTCGGCACAGCCAGAGAGGCACGTACACTCCCAACCCTTGAATTTTTGTTAGCGCAAGACCAAGGCAGAGGGATCTTACACTTATTTTCAACTTCTCATAACTTTGGCCTCAGAAACACCACAACGTTACTTTAAATTAGAGGAAAGAAGGTAATTCTTGAAAGAAAAGCTGTATAATAACTTCTTTCCCCGGGAAAAATTGGTGTGGTTGCGCTTTTCGGGGGTGAAAATATCGTGAAGTCTCGCGCTAACAAAAATTCAAAGGGTTGGAGTGTACATGTAGACATTTCTACTCGTGAGATTTGCTGGAAGAAAACATGTAAGTGGCAGTTGCGATGTGGATCCTTTTTTTTTTTTTTTTTTTTAGTTTGAGCCTCTCAACTCTAATAACGGTTTTTGCTCCTTCATCAATATGAGGCCAAGAGTCGGGATGAGGGACCACACCTTTCCTCTGCAAACCCGGGAGGAGCTCGAGTGAGCTATATCGACACCAATCATCGACACATAAATTGATATCGAATTGCCTTTCCAGGGTCCTGGGTTTGGACCCGTGGCGGCTGCTGGGAAAAATATCGACCACTGTCATAGAGCCGGCGCTGCCATGCACAGGTACTTTACACATGGTGCTTGTGTCCGTGGGATGGATTGATGATACATAGCACCAAATCGACATGCTCTTTAAGACCAAGTTGTTGCCCAAATCAATGTCTTGATTCTACATCTCCGTACTGACGCCAGGAATGACACCATATCGTTAAAAAAGCCAACCCTTGCAGTGAGTGACACATAAATTTCACTTGTGACTCAACCTCAGTCGCTGTTGCTCTCCACACTGACCGGGCAACCTGGTAGGACCGTCTGCCCTCGGTTCTGATATCTGGAAGGCATCAGTCAGAAGCTCACCGCATAAGCAACAGCGGTACACAACAGGAGGATCGTGACTGAGACTAACTGTTAGAGACTGGCCGCCATGACGCTCTCGAGACTGGCCCAACGGGTCCCGACTCCGGTCCTGACTGGCTCCTGCTCCACGAACAAAGCACGCCAGCGGCTTATCAGCAGCCGTTTGAGAATCGAGTCAGTGGATGGCCACAAGCTCGTCAGCACGTATATGCCCGAGTTTCGGCGGTGTTCCTCGGCTCAGCCTGACGACCGCCACTCCGCTGCCCCGCGTTCGGCACCCCGCCAGGCCCAGTCACCGTCACCCGTTAAGGTCGCCCACGCCCACGCCCACGCCCAACGCCTACGCCTCGGTCTCGGTCTCGCCAGGAACCACACCACCGCTCTCTTGCACTCTGCATCTGCACAACCAAACTCATTCCTTGCTCACAGGGCCTTTTCCAGCTCGTCAGCAGCCATGGTGGCCCAAAAGATTGACGGAACGGCCGTGGCCAAGCGGGTGCGCGAACAGCTCAAGGCTGAGATTGCCGAGAAGAAGGGAATCAACCCACGCTTTGAGCCGTGCTTGAAGATTATCCAAGGTGCGTATTAGTATCCCGGCCTTCGTTTATTTACCTGAATGACTGACTAAACTAACCAACGTCGTGTAGTGGGCGACCGCTCTGACTCCTGTAAGCCACCAACCATACCCCAAAGCCCCCAAAGCCGCTACCCCGCGTGGGCATTGTTTAACTGATTCTGGACGGATGACCTGCAGCCACCTATGTGCGCATGAAGTTGAAAGCCGCCGAGGAGGTAAGGATGCTGTAGACCACTCACATCTCATTCGCGAACGGCACACTGACCCCCTTGATATCAGTGCGGCATCTCATGTGAACTCATCAAGTTTGACGAATCGGCCACCGAGGCCGAGATCGTTGCTCGTGTTCATGCTCTTAACAATGACCCAACCGTCCATGGCATCTTGGTCCAGCTCCCATTACCAAGCCATGTTTCTGAGTACGCTGTCACATCCGCCGTCCTGAGCGAGAAGGATGTCGACGGCTTCGGCACTTACAACATCGGTGAGCTGGCCAAGCGTGGTGGTAACCCCTATTTCGTCCCCTGCACACCCAAGGGTGTCATGGTCCTTCTCGAGGAAACCGGTGTCGACCTCAAGGGAAAGAACGCCGTAGTTGTTGGCAGAAGCGACATTGTTGGCAGTCCTGTCAGCTACCTCTTGAAGAACGCAGATGCCACCGTCACTGTTTGCCACTCCAGGACCAAGGATCTTGACCAGCACCTCAAGAATGCCGACGTCGTGGTTGTTGCTATTGGCAAGGCTGGTTTCATCAAGGGCGAGCAGCTCAAGGAGGGCGCCGTTGTCATCGACGTTGGCACCAACTACATTCCCGACGCTACCAAGAAGTCTGGTCAGCGTCTTGTTGGCGATGTCGAATTCGAGTCCGCCTCCCAGGTTGCCTCTCACATCACACCCGTCCCCGGCGGTGTTGGTCCCATGACTGTCGCCATGCTCCTTCACAACGTTGTCGCCTCTGCGACACAGTGGTTTGATGCCGAGAAGCAGAGGAAGATTGTGCCCCTGAGCCTTGCTCTCAAGGAGCCAGTCCCATCAGACATTGCCATCTCGCGGGCTCAAGCGCCCAAGCACGTTACTCAGATCGCCAAGGAGATTGGCATTTCAAACTCGGAGCTCGAGCCATATGGTGCCTACAAGGCCAAGGTCGACCTTACTCTTCTCAAGCGCTTGGATCATCGCCGAAATGGTCGCTACGTTGTTGTTACCGGTATCACCCCCACCCCTCTCGGTGAGGGCAAGTCTACCACCACCATGGGTCTTGCTCAAGCCTTGGGCGCCCATGTTGGTCGTCTTACTTTTGCCAACGTTCGTCAGCCAAGTCAAGGCCCAACGTTCGGCATCAAGGGCGGTGCTGCCGGTGGTGGTTACAGTCAGGTCATTCCCATGGACGAGTTCAACATGCATTTGACTGGTGATATCCACGCCATCACCGCTGCTAACAACCTCCTCGCCGCTGCTATTGATACCCGCATGTTCCACGAGAGCACTCAGAAGGATTCCGCCCTCTACAGACGACTGGTCCCGGTCAAGAACGGCAAGAGACAGTTCTCGCCTGTCATGTTCCGCCGCCTGAAGAAGCTCGGCATTGACAAGACCAACCCTGATGATCTTACCGAGGAGGAAATCGGCAAGTTCGCCCGCCTTGATATCGACCCAGAGACTATCACCTGGAGACGCGTCTTGGACGTCAACGACAGACATCTCCGCGGCATCACTATCGGCACTGCTGCCACCGAGAAGGGCCATAGCCGCCAGACCGGCTTCGACATTTCGGTCGCCAGTGAGTGCATGGCCATTCTCGCTCTCAGCACTGACCTCGCCGACATGCGCGAGCGTCTCGGCAGAATGGTCGTTGCCAGCTCCAGAAGCGGCGACCCCGTCACGGCCGACGACCTCGGTGCCGGTGGTGCTCTTACCGCCCTCATGAAGGACGCCATTAAGCCCAACCTGATGCAGAGTTTGGAAGGCACACCCGTATTCGTCCACGCCGGCCCCTTCGCCAACATCTCCATCGGCAACAGCTCCATCCTCGCCGATAAGATGGCCCTCAAGCTCGCGGGTACCGAGCTCGACGAGGACCACTCCACCAAGGCCGGTTTTGTCATCACCGAAGCCGGCTTCGACTTCACCATGGGCGGCGAGCGCTTCTTCAACATCAAGTGCCGCACCTCCGGCCTCGTCCCCGACGTCGTCGTCGTCGTCGCCACCATCCGCGCCCTTAAGGTCCACGGCGGCGGGCCCCCCATCTCCCCCGGTGCTCCCCTCAGCCCCGTCTACAAGGAGGAAAACGTCGAGATCCTCCGTGCCGGCTGCGTCAACCTTGCCAAGCACATCGCCAACGCCAAGTCCTACGGCGTGCCCGTCGTTGTCGCCATCAACAAGTTCTCCACCGACACTTCCGCCGAAGTGGAAGTCGTCCGCGAGGAAGCCATCAAGGCCGGCGCCGAAGACGCCGTCCTCGCCAATCACTGGGCCGAAGGCGGCAAGGGCGCCGTTGACCTCGCTCATGCTGTCATTGCCGCTTCGGAGAAGCCCAAGGACTTCAAGCTCTTGTACGGCCTCGAGGGTACCGTCCAGGAGCGCATCGAGAAGATCGCCAGGGAGATGTACGGCGCCTCGTCAGTCGAATTCACCGAGCTGGCCCAGAAGAAGGTCGAGACGTACACCAGACAGGGTTTCGGGAACCTGCCTATTTGCATTGCCAAGACGCAGTATTCCATCAGTCATGACCCTGAGCTCAAGGGCGCGCCGACGGGCTTTACCGTGCCGGTTCGGGATGTGAGGATGGCGGCGGGCGCTGGGTACTTGTATGCGCTGGCGGCCGATATTCAGACGATTCCTGGGTTGCCGACTGCGCCTGGGTATTTGAATGTGGATGTTGATTTGGAGACGGGGGAGATTGATGGGTTGTTTTGAAGAATTTCAAGTGCTTGAGCCTTGTGTTTTTATATGGCGTTAAAATTGGGAGGTGGGTGTAAAGGTATATCAATGATCAACTCGAGCGAAACTAAGGCAGGGGGAAAGTGGAAAGGGAAAAATGAGATGTTGAAAGTGCATGTTTTAACACATGGCGCTGATGAAGGGGGGGTTAATACCACAGGGGTGAAGAGGTTTTAGAAACCAAAAAAGCTAGCCATAGATGGAATAGATGAAGTTCCTCTCACTTTTGCTCCCAGCAGTGACAGTACTGGTAATGGCTAAAGTTCTTGTAAACATTCAAGTGCCTTCATTTTAGCTACTGTTTTAAGACTTCACCGAGGTCAAGCACGTCCAAAAACAGTAAATATGATGATCAATATCTCTCATTATTCATGTTGTACAACAGGAGTACAAAAACTAAGTATTAAGTCCCTGTTCCTCCTCCCCCACCCACTCTGTCTGTTTTACTGTATGTTATACAACCAACCCCCTTTCCTCTTTCCTTGTCTCATAAGCCCCCCTTTCGCATTTCCCATTAAACTCCAAATACACCTTATTTTCTGTATGTGCCCGAACCCAAACCCAATTTATATCCATCATATAAAATTTTACCCATCTGCTGTTGAAGAAAATAATAAGGTAAAAAGTACAAAAATGATGTAATGTAATATATGTATGATATGCCAAAAAAACAAAACAAGCAAAACAGAAACAAACGAAAAAAAGAAAAGATGCGAAAATAATCGTACAGAAAAAAAGCAAAAGTAAAAGTACAGAAAAAGAAAAGGGGATGATCGGAAAGGTATGTTGTACAAGTGAAATGAAAAGAGTGTAGAAGAAGGAAGCCGCTTTTCTCCATTTCGTCGCCGTCATCTCATGTGTATGTATGCGATTGTCGTGTCGTGTTTGTGTTGTGAATGCGCAGAAAAACGCCGTAGAAAAAGAAGAGAAACGAATGGATGTCAACCAGCAATGCCATGCCCCTTATCCCACACAATATATGTCCGGAGCCAGTAAGTATCCTGTAAATGCCATCGCCCACGCCAAATGCTCCCCATCCCATGTAAAAATATGACAAGAAAGAAACCCCAGAAAGAAAAAGGCGCCATTGAAAACCATTAAGCTCCCTGGCTGGTTGAAAAACAAAAACAAAAAAGAAAAACGTGACGAAAAGGAGCTAGAACCACCTCCTGATAGCAGCACTCTCCTCAATCTTGGTCAACACTCCCATGGCGTCCACATACAGCTTATTCCGACTGCCGACACAGTCACTCTCCATCCGGCGCCTCACAAGCCCAACCACGCCCGCCGCCTCGCGATGGGCCCGGAACCTTAAGACGTCCTCCAGACGGCTGCACTCAGCCACCCTGCGCAGCCAGCGGATCGGCTCATCATCAGAGCTGTTCAGCGTGGACGCGGTCGACAGCCCGCTCGTTCTCGAGGCAGGACTGCTTCCACCGCTGGGCCCGCCACTGCTGCTTCGTTGCCGGGGGTGCACTTGCGCTTGTTGCTGCTGCTGGCCCTTGCTGCTGTTCCGCAGACCGTGGTTAAACGCCCAGCAGACGAGCACGCAGACGTGGAGGGCCCAGTAGTCGGATATATCTGCCACCCTTGACGATGCAGCTGAGCTGCTGCTGCCGCTGTCTTCAGACACATTCCTGCGATTACTGTCCAGAAACCCGAGCAGGGCACGCGAGGCAAAGAGGGTGGCTTTGAGAATGTTGAGGCCCGGAAGGCTGCCGCCAGCCCACTGCCTGACTCGCCTGACGTGTTCCTGGAAGATGGTAGCAGGAAGGACCTTCTGGGCGTAGGCCCAAGAGTCGCCGCTGACGGCCAGGAGATCACGAAGGGGCGTGTGGTTTAGGGCGAGGTAGGTGTTGGCGATGGGGCAGGTTCGGAAAAGCCGCTGGATGCGCTGCTCGGCTTCCATGTCCTGGGGTTGCTGCTGGAGACGTGCTTGCTGGCTTGAATCAAAGTCCGGGGCGGGAGAGTTGTCGGCTGAAAGGGCAACTGTGGATGATGACGCCGGCCGTCGAGGCAGACGCAGAGCGCATAGGCCAAGAATGACCATGCGATCTGCCCGGCCGCAAGCTTCAATGTATTCTGGGGTGAGGCTTTCAATGTCGGAGACGCAAGCTGGCTGGGCGGCAGCGTGGGCAGAGACCGGGTCGCAAGCCTGTAGGGCGTGCCACTCCTCTGCCGTGGAGGCTCCCCAAAGCTTCTCACTGTTGCCGAACAACGGGAGGCTTTCATTGCCATCCAGAACGCGCCCATGCTGCTGGTAGATCGATGTATGACCATCGCAAATGAAGCAAGCTGCGAGAAGCCGACGGCAGGACTCGGCTTCAACCCAGCGCTTCCACCTCTCGTGGTCGTTGACCAAGTGCTGGTCCGAACTGAGCATAGCTTGATCGAGCATGCCGGAGTCGGGACAAAGGGCCTGTGTGTCGGAGACAAATTGTGAGTACGCCTGCGCAGAGCTCTGAGAAAGAGTCGAAAATGAAAGAGAATTCCCCGTCGCCGGTACAGAGTCGTATCGTTCGGGAGAAAAGAGAAAAGACCAGATCCGAGAGATTTCTCGCGAACGAGCAGGAGAAGGAGAGGTGTTGGAACGAGAATGATGCGTGAAAGAAGAAGGATCCGTGTAGGAGGACCCAGGAGAAACATAAGATGAAGGGACAATGGCCTGTGGCCATGATGTGTTCGAGAAGGGGCTCAGGTGCCTGAGAACCATGGGAGTGGTGGTGGCAATGGTAGCCGGCGTGATGGAATCAAAGGAAGAGACAGAGGAAACGGGGGAGGATGTTGGAGACCAGGCGCTGGTGTCGAAGAACCAAGAAACAGAATCCTCCATAAGAGAGAAAGACAGCGGTGCAGTAATGGACTGCTCAGTACTCACCCTCTGGTGGAGATGCCTGAACAGGTCTGAGGGCTTGGTAACCGGCTTTCGGCCTCGGAAGCGCGCAAAGTACTCGCAGAGAAGAATCGTCTGCTTGATTTGCAGGCTCCATTTGGCTGCCTGTGTGGTGTTTCCTTGTTAGTTCCAGTGTTGCTGATGATGTGGTAAAGAAATGGGTGCATTTGCACTCACTCGCTTCGCCTCTTGCCACGCGTGCTCGTGAAGCTGGTTCCCCCGGTTGCGGTCCTCCTTGGTGTCGAGATGCTGGGTGGCTACGGCTGCCATGGCACACCTCAGCACATCTTCCGGCTCGGCTTCAAATGACTGCCGATGCACAATTGGAAGCACAGGGTGTACCTTCTCCCAATAGACATCAAGATAGCCAGGAATAGCAGTCCTGATGGCGGCCGGAAGGGGGATGTTCATGGACGGTGGCATGGAGGAGTGCATGGCATACTTGCTCCCCAACTCCAAGTTCAACCCTGTTATCTCGCCACCCGGGCTCACATCACCACTCGCAGCATATCCAACGCTCATATCAGTCATCATGGCGGTTTGGGCACCTAATCGTGTGTCCATAAACCCCTGCTTCTGACGAAGCATTCCGAGCGAAGGGTCAATGCCAGTGGAAAGGACGGGGGCGGGTGTGATCAAACCGCCACTTGCTTGAGCCGAGGTGCGCGGCTCTGGGGTGAGGCCTCGAAAGCCGCCGGCCATTGTGTTCCCGTGCATGTTGCTCAGTCCGGAGGCCTGATGGTTGCTGACGTCTTGACCGCTAAAGCCCATAGTATTTGGGAAGATTGTTCCGGCCGAATAGGTCTGTGTGCTGTGGGGGTTGGAGGAGTAGGGATTCGGGTGAATGAAACCTCCAAGTCCAGGCCCGGGGCTGACTCGAGAAGCCGGATTAGGATATGGGGAGAGAAGGTGGTTTGAGCACCCCCATGGCTGTGCATTTCCCAGTGATTCCGATACCGGTGTCGAATAAGTGCTGTCCGTGGCCGATGATGCCCAAGGGGACGGTTCCCGGTGCTCGGGCATTTTAATATCCTTTGTTATTACGGACAATTGCCCCATCTGTAATGTCCTGGGCTGGGAAAACGTCTGTGAGAACCGTGTTGGAGATGGGGTGACTAGAATGGGTGTCGGGGACATTGGGTAGGCCTCGTATTCAGGTGCGGCCCCTCTGTAATCTGCGGTTGGATGAGGCGAGCTGGCGGGCTGAGAATATGTTGTTGAAGGCGTCTCAGAAGAGACGGCCGCGGTGGAAAGTGTTTGCCCAGACCCTTGGGCCGGCACTGATGAGCTGCTCTGTGACCCAGAGATCTGTATTGGCTGTGGTGGTCTTGGTGATGGCACAGCATATGGACTGGCCTGATTAACCGCTGGCTGGGATGAGGATTCACCGTGCTCGCTGTAAACATGGTTAATAAAGTAGGCTATTGCCGTTCCAGCTTCTGTACTCACTTCTTCTGCTGATGTCTAGTCAACAGATCTTGGCGATGAAATGCCTTGTCACAGCCCGAGCAACGAAATTGAGGCTCTTCATGGCTGAGTTGGTGACGCCTATATCTCAAGTGTCAGCGTATACCGCTTGCCGATGGCTCAAGTCTTTCTCACCTCAAGTGCTCGGCTCTTGTGAAGGTCTAGTGGTGATTAGTATGAATGCCCTAATGAATAATCAACAGAAGGCGTCGTACCTTGGCTGGTTTGCAAAGCTCGCAGACATGTACCGGAACGCCCTTCTTCGCTCTGCTCACACGACCAGTGATGGGGGTAAGTCTCATCGGTACTGCATCAGATGGTTGAGGATGAGGGGGCATAGGTCTCATGGGTCCGCCTCCCATTGATGACGACGAGGCGGGAGATCCGTAGCCTCCTGACCGGTCCATTGAGTCGGTGCTTGTCGTGCTTCGACGACGGACTGAGGGTCGTGCGGTGGCAGGAGACAAGGTCGTCGATGGGACTGGAGTATCCAGTGATCCGCTTGCCGTTCCTTGGGGGGCAGTTGGGGTTGTGGTTGATGTTGTCGTCGTTGGCTTGGGACCCCTTGAGGAAGCAGCACGTTTCTTGTTCAGGGTAGAGGGGGAAGGGGGGTTGATATCCTCTTCGGCGGCCAGACCGGAACTACTAGCATGCCTCGGGTGTGGTAGTGGGTTGGGTTCTTCTGGTAGCTGACCGGTAGTGGCCGGCTTGATTGGGACCTTGGCCTTTTTATTATTCTGGGCCTGTTGACGGTCCGGCACCTGGTGGTCGTCGTTGACATCCATTATGAACTTGAGACTAGCCATGATGGGCGGCAGATGCTCAAAATGGATGTCAGATGTGTACCAAGATGGGAATAACACAGCCCTGTTGGACTTTCTTGGACAAATGAAGAAAAGTAACAAAATCAGGGACGAAGACGGGGACGGGGTACGTCAGTACTGTACACGCGCGGCTGCAGCAATACACGCGAAGAGGCTCAAAAAGAAGACAACAAGAGAAGGAGGGGAGAAGAACGAGATCGAGGCAAGCCTCAGTCTGCGGGGGATGTGATCAAAGCTACTTAGTGACCTTGGGTAATCATGGCATGTACACGCAGCAACGGGGCCCATCCGTCGACAACGACAGCCGAAGCATCTGGGGTGCAACTCTGCGGCGTACATTGCGGCACATGTTTTTATTGAGATGGCGACAGGGCCCTCTACCTGCGTGTGCAGCTAGGGAAAAGTTGGGATGAGATTGTACCGCTCTTGGCCCTCCATTGCAGAAGGGGCTTGGGTGCTCTTTTTGGAGAGGAGGCTGTTGCTTGAAGGGCCTGCTTGCCCCCTGTTCCCCGTCAGCTCCTTGGCAAGGGTAGGGAGTGAAAGAGGGGGGCGGGGGGGGAGGGGTTGCATTGGCACTTGCTGAGGGAGGGTGCTGAGATGGTTTTGTCCTGGGAACGAGACTCGACTCGAAGAAAAAAGACAGTTGAGACAAATAATGTACACTTGCACTGGCTTTTCCTCTGAAATGTGTATAATCTGAGCCCTTGAAAGAATGAGATGTGGGTGGGAAACAACCAACTACCGTAGGCAGGTAGGGACAACTGAATTTCCAGGTCAGCTTCCACAACCCTTCCATGCCAACCCGGGAATAGGAGTGGCCATCTTGGATAGAACGCATGGCCATGGTCCGTGGTCGTGTGCCGCTCCGGGGATCATTGACGACATGATGCCAGGGCCATTTCTCAGTTGATTCCGTAGGGCTGCCGGGATACTTGCGATGAGGTGCAGCACAGCGTATGCGGGCATGTTTCGGTAAATTGGGTCTCCTGTTTACACCCATTTTTTTGTTCATGCCCAGGGAGCACTTTCATATCAAGGAGGGGTAGTATCGCGTGTATTTTGCCCTAGCGGTTTGTTCGTGTACCCTTTTCTTAACCGCCGGCCTGACTTGTAAAGCGGCGCAGTGTGAGAAGTGCGGAATTTGCTGCAGCAGAGGCAACCATGCCTATTGGCCAGTATCCTCGGCATACAGTCCCATAGTATGGCCGGCCGAGTTGTCATTTCGCAGACCATACTTGGAGAAGTGCTCGCCCAGTGAGAGCGCCATTCAGAGCTCTTCGAGAGCAGAAAACGGTGACATACTGACAAGTGACGAGGAGAGGGGTGATGGGGGGTTCCATGGGCAGACTGACGGATAGGGTTGATGTGCATAGGTACATACAGGGGGCTGAGGCGATGTGATGTTTCCCATTGGCCATACCGGATCTGCAAGGCGTGCTCTCAGTGAGATCCTATTTTTGTTGGTTCCCAATACAGCAAAGCGTCTTGAGAAAAAAAAGACGTGCATGCAGCCTTTGCAGAATTTGGCCGTAGAGTGGTAACTTGGCGGGATCTGTATGGTTTGCAGTGGGAGCGAGCGTGGGCGATGATCAGAGTATTTCAGTGTCTCTATTGCGGGAATAGAACAGTATATTGGGTGCCTGGATGCAACCTTTCAGGCCTGTCGAATCGCTGCTCTCTGATCGCCATGCATCTCTTCCACCGATGGTAAATTCGGGGGCCGCCCGCCATGGCTATCCGTCTGGGGAATCTCTTGGTTGCGGCACTCAGTCGGCACTAATTAGGACCTGGCATGATCAAAATGAATGACCTGCATGTAGCAGTAGCAACACTTGTTGTTTGCTTCGTTTCTCTAAACATGGAGAAGAAAGCGCGTGGGCAATGGGAGGGCGGGCTGATGGTGTCATTGGTGCCTCCGTCAGTCAGTGTAACGGCAATTGCTAAATAAGCAGCCACGACAAGCGCCTATGATGCATCAACCTGATGGCATTGAATACAGTCGATATACAGCCACCATAACGATGATGCTTGTGGGCATATGTAAGGAGGCCGTTGATGGTGTCAACGTTGGTGATAGTAGACAGTAGTTTGCGCTAGGGGCGCTTAATCTGCCACTGCCGATTCGTCTGATCAGTGGGCAAGTCAAGACCCGGTCACGCCACTCGGGACGGGCCTGATGCTTCTAGTGTGCAGTTCAGAACTTCAGACTTCGGGTCGCTCGGTGGGTGTGTGTGGTTCACTGCGCAAGTTGCTTCTCGATTAGGTATGGTCCTAGCTCACTGCCGCGAGGCGGGCGCTTGTTTCAAGTTTGTGATACGCCGCGCTTGTGTGACGAGCGCTTCTGTCTTGAGGAACTGGGCTGTGGCGTCGTACTGAAGCAAGGGGAATGCAGTATCGGAGGTGTTCCGAGCCCGAGAGGGTGGTGATGCTGCGCATATCTGACGGCATACGTTGAGAAGAAGAGTTGGTTGATCTCGAAGCTTGTTCGACCTGCGGGAGGTTCCGGTTCATCGCAAACTTCTTCCCTATGGAGGGGTTATTACAAAGTGAGGTGATACTAGGTACCTGCTGATCTTGTTGATGGTGTCTGATGTCTTGAGAGAAGCCAGTGTACAGATACTTACAAGTTATAATATCCTTTCTGCGATGCATTATGACCTGCTGTTGACTGAGGTGATCGATAAGATCGTGGTCCAAACTCTTGGCTTCCAGCAAAACCCCGCTCTCCTTCACAAGGTCCGTGCATTAAAGCTTTCGGCCGGGCGCTTAGCACTATTAATAGCGCTATGAAGCGATCATTGCAGCTTGGCATCGGCTTTGGCAGCTGCCCAACAGGAGTCCTCCACTCTGAACCTCACCTCCTCACCTCCTCACCTGCACCGTCGAGTCTTGCTTCTATGTACCTAATCAACTCAACTGCTCAGACAAATTCAGAAACCCGTTGCCCGGATCAATAAAACTGGCAAATGTAACCATCCCGCATCTGGATCCGGATCCAAATGTGGCTTCCAGCAGTTTCACGGCTTCTTTTCTTGGGGGCTTAAACCTGTTACACCAGCATCTAACCGCCATCTTGATCGAAGCATGGACGTTCTACGCACCAAGCCTCCGCCATAGATCCATACCGTTGGGTCTGCCACGAGGCGCGAGGACGTCCCCCCGGTTCATTCAGGTACCTACCTACTCTCTTTGCAGTTCCCGGTGGTTCAACATGCCACAGTACACAAAATAACCAGATTTGGCTTTTTTCCTCTCTCTCGTATTCGTCGAATAGGCATCTGCTACGACAAAGGCATCGGTTGTGTTGCATTCGAGGTCACATTGGCCCACAAAACATGCTCCTTTTATCCTATCCCTTTCCAGCCTTATAGGTTTGGTTTTCTACCCGCAACCCCGGGGTTTGTGCCTGGGTCGATCGCGGGAGACCTGGAGATAGAATACCCGCAAATAGGTGCTGCTTTGCTATCTATGGAAGCGTACCCCGCAGCCCTTGCTACCTTAGCCAGACCTTCACAGTTCTCGCTTCACCTCGACGCTTGCTTGCTGCCATGTTCAGCATCAATACTTCCAATTTAGCAACGTTTCTGCTTACACTTCTGGGGCAAGCACTCGGCTCTTGCTCCTCTACCAGGCAAAGTTGCTGGTTCCGGGACGTCCCGTCGTTGGCGGCGACAGAGAAGGCCGTAGAAGGGAAGAAGGTTGCTAGGCGCGGCGTAGTGATGATAACATATCGTTATGGGCGGGAGGACGGACTCAAGCGAGACTCCCGAAATCCCATCGGCCGATTCACCACGTTGATGAATGATGGCTTGGCCACGTGGGAAGGCCGGCTGGCTGGGGGCTGGGGCACATCAAGTCCGGAGCCTGTAGCAAACGGTCCGATCAGTACCTACATACCCCAGCTTGGCTTAAAGAGCCCCCGCACAGCCTCAGCGCAGGTCGAGGATGTTGCCTAGTTCGTGTTGCACCACGACAGACGAAACTGCTCTGCTGCATGCTGCACCTTACAGAAAAGATGCTACCAGCTTACTCACCGCCAACACCACAGGGCGCCCCTCAACCGCATTTCACTCGGTCAAGGAGGGGGAATGGGAGCGACAAGCACCTGCCACGAGGGCACTTATGGTACCGATGTACTTCCAACATGAAACAGTTTCAGGTTCAGAGCTGCTGATGTGTACAGCATCTTCCACATCTTGACCTGTTGGTTTATTCTCGTTTTTCAGCTCTCCATCCGGCATCTCCATCATTCATTGTCTCTCCATGTCCATCGGCAATAACCATTTCTCGGATTGCCACCGCAGATCACTCAGCCAGCCGTACGCACTCTAAAGAATACGAATTATCGGCCGCAGAGTTGTCGCCATGCTCCGGCCTGCGAGCTTCCGGTGTATTTGCTCCGCGAACGCTTATGTAGGCTCGCGGGACAGTCACTCCTATTGTCTCTTTCACACTCACCAAGTAGTCCGGAATAAGGCCAGGCCGAGGTTCAAAGGTCCTTCAAGCTCATAGGGCTGATCGGGTCGATGTGGCAGGCCGCTGCCGGTGGTGTTCTGGGGCAACAGCCGGCTTGTATCCGTCTTTCCGCAGCAGACATCTCCTCTCCTAGAACATGCCTGGCTTCCTTTTCTCCGTGTGGGGACCTCGCATCAGGTGCCGCGTCCACTGAGTGTTTGACTCCTAGCTGGATAACTTCGAAACAAGGCCCCCAATTGTTGACAGGCTCGCTGGTCAGCGCCGGGTGGCAAGCGTCAACCCCATTTCCCCAGATCCCTCCCACGCGGTTAATGTGCCGGCCGTTTTTGAAGTATGGATATGGATGAGATAGTGTTCTGACAGAGCAAGCGGGTGCCTGAGGCTGACTGCAGACCCCAACCCAGATTTGTCCTCGCCACTATATCCATACGTGCTACCTAGCTGATACAGTTGTGCTGCAAGTTGTACCCTCCCACCCGAGGCCAGGCATGCGGCAGGTCTTGCTGTCAAGCTCACATGGGCCTCGACCTGGCGTCGGTGGCGCTCCGGTGAGTCTCTCCTGGCAGAGATCGTCGCTCGATCAACAGTATGCCTTATCTCTAGGGCTGGTGTTACTCGTGTGGTTTACGAGTAAATCAGGGAGCCTTGAGATCTAGGCCGAAGCAGCGTTACGACATGGCCGATATTACTGCGACCTTTCATTACAGAAGATCAGCCAATCATGTCGGTGTCCTTACGAGCTCGGGAGTGTACCAGCTAGCTTCGCTCCTATTGTCACCAGCCATCTAGTCTTGGAAAGGGGGGGCAAAGTTGCTCCTGGGCCAGAACGGCTCGGCCTATTTATTTTGACTGCACGGTCGGCGGGTATTACCGAGCTTTATCTTGATATGCATACGCAGGTGCTCCGACCGAGGCCAGCCTGGTAGCAAAAGACAGACCGTGGTAAAGCTACTATCGGGATGACAATATCACCAATACCGTGGCCGCGCGAGGAGGTCGTCCTCTTACCACGAGGTCTGTATCATCCGGCGGCTTCCTGTTTTGGGGAAGGTTATCCGTCATGCACATATTAAATGGCTGGCCTTGAACACAGAATTACCTCGTCAACTGGGTCGGTCATTCGATCACATGCTGGTCTCCAGGGGGGAAAGTGATGAGTATACAAATCATTGTCCAACCACATCATCAAACAGAGCTGACCCAGCCCTTGCCTGAGGGCCATGGTCCGACGACGACTTTGCATATTCGAGCTTTGTTTTTGCATACTCTATTTCATCCCCTTTCTTCTCACTGGACTTTCTTCCCCTTTTCATCGACCGAAATGGAAGGCCGAACTATGCGACCTTTCCTTGTCGAAAGTGTCAGAGGTATGAGGCTGACACTTGATGTCTTGTTTTCTGGCCATGCGGCACTGGGGGAAGTACTTATGGTACTAAGTTACAGAAGATTATCGTGAGGCTTGATTGTGTTGCAGGTAAGCAGCCACTGCTCCTCCACCAGTGCTGGAGGAACCCCCAAGTTTTGTCGTTTTCTTCTCCACGACGGTACGTCAGGGTGTATATATTGGAAAGGTGGGACGGGGTTGGTTATGTTACATGGGTTGTTTTGGTGTGGGGGTACGTAAGTGGGTAAGGGGGGGGAAGAAAAGGGATGTTTTGGGGGGGTGGTTTGACTGACTGGGTCGATTACCTTTTTACTTGTTACATCGTCTCTAAATAACATTCGGATCACCACTAGCAATTGGGTCACATACCAGCAGTGAGGTAGAATACCTAAAGTTATCAGCTATGAACATTCTTGTTTAGGTTTATTTGAATACCGGAGGGGGGAGGGGGGCAGAATGTATTCTCTAGCTATGGTAAGATAGAAAGCTAGCTGAGTGAAATGAGAACTACCTCACCTTTAACATAGTGCCTACCTCGAATAATACCTACCCACACAAGCTAAAAGGCAAGCATGAAAGACCAGTATTCCATCAACAAAAGCAACACAACCCCTTTTCTTTACTAGTTTCGTGACGAACACAGACTAATCTCCCTGGTGGAAACCCCTCCCTCGTCTCACGGGCAAAGCAACAACAATCTATACTTCCCCCATCATCTCCAGCTAACCACAATAACCCAAGTAAAGCAAAGTACGTCAAGTCTCGGTTTTGATTTCATCATTGGAAGTTGATAAGTCTCTTGTTTCAGAGCATCCAACAGCGCGCACGGACACAAACACACTCAGGGGTTCAGGGGCTACCTTAACCATCCCGCTTTGTTCAAGCACAAGACCTTTGTTAGTCCAACTCTCTCTCTATTGAACCGAAGCCTGACACATTATAAGGCAAAAACAACACCAAAGTAACCACCCAGGCTGAGCCGCATCTCTCGACTTGGAGCGCAGACTATCTTAGGTAAATGAGCCTGTCAACAGAGTTGCTCTCTCTATGAGACCTTGACACAAAACCCTATATTCATTAACGGAGAAGAGTACACGTATCTCCTCCCGACCCGCTTCCCTACAGAGTCAAATGCCAGCTAGTTAACGTTGTGCCCGTGTTGTTGCTTCCCATTTTTTGATCACGATAACTCAACTCACACCACCCTCCAACATCCCAAACCCAGCTACTCTTCATTAAAATTGTTTAAAAAAAGTTATCATGATCCGATTATCAAAAATCAAAGACCACTTCTAAGTAAGAGTACATGCCTACCCGTCTAAGAAAAAAAAAGACGACGAGGCCAAAAAAGAGAGTTAGAGAAACCATGCTGCAAAGAAAGAGCATTCCCCCAAACACATGAGAGTCCGTGTATCTTTTTTTGATTACTTCCTTTCCCCCTCCCCCCCCATTCGACTTGACCATTGTGCAGCGCCTCCCGTCCGAATCATCGTCTAACCAAACGTAAAAACATAAAATATCCCATGATCTGGAAAAACACATGCCTCTTTTAGTTGCTGCTGCTGCCGCCGGATTTCAGTTGCTGATTCTGCCCAGAAGACCGTCTTCTCTCAGTGCTCTCTTTCGTATTGCTGCTCTCCCCCTCTTCAGACTCATCGTCACTGACTTGCTGACTGCCATCGTCCTGGGATTGACTTCTCCGGTTCTTGTTGGTCATCTAAACCACGCAGGTTAGCAGTGCGTCGGAAAAGCGGTAAAGAGCGAGAGATGTACGTACCCAAGACCTCACACCACCGATCAAACCAAGAGTATAACCAGTCACAAAGTCGTTCACATTGCTGGTAGCCCGTTCTCCAGCAGTAGTAGTGGCGCCGGGACTCCTCGGGCCGCTAAAGTACCCCGTGAACGACGGAGGACCCGATGGGCTACTGGGCGTGTCGTTACCATTGTTCGCCATGGGTCCGTATCTTGCTGGGCTCTGAGGACGACTAGACGGCCAGAACTGACGCAACTCCCTGCTGAGCTCCTGTCCCGTCGTGGCCCAGTTACTGCGGATATTGTCACGCAGATCCTGGACATGGCGCTTCAGTTCGAGCTCGTTCTTCTTGAGCCAACTGACGTTGAGCTCTTGGCGGGTAGTTCCACGCTTGAATTGGCGGGCAATGTATTTTCTCGTAATCACGGACGATCCTGTTTGGGCATGAAATTAGCTTCCACTCTTGACTTCTGAGAAATTCTCGGCTGCTTACTTGGTGATAATACCCGTGGTGCTCACACCCTCCGTTCGTTGCGTCACCAAGAACTTTCCTGCCGCCTTGATTGGGGCGTAGATGTCATCACCCTCATCGGCGCCATATGGAATGTCGTCGTGAGCAACATAGTCAATCTTGTGCTTCTCAAGGAACTCGGGAGTGACGATCCAAGGACAGCTTTCGACCACCTCGTCCACCCACTTGCAATGTCTGACTGTCTCCGCCCGCTCCTTGCCAGAGAGAACTGTCAGACCCTTGCGTCGGTGGGTGTCCTCATCGCCAGTAACGCCCACAATCAAGTATACCTCGGGGAAAGCCTTCTTTGCTTGCTCGAGCTGGCGCATGTGACTGAGGGAGTACTCAGGTTAGCAATTGGCCCTTAGGTTCCAAGCTAGAAATAGAAAGAGCTTACCCGAGATGGAACAAGTCAAAGACACCGTCAGCATATACTCTTACCGGCCGGCCTGTGGGGGGATCGTTTGTTCTGTAACCCACGGGATGGGTGAGGGTGCCAATTGGAGGAGGGGCCATGGACTCGTCCGGCTTGTCGAATGAAGTGGTGCTTCCATTGCTGACCTCCTTTGACACAACGCTCTTCCGGGTTCCCTTGCGAGTAACACGCTCAGCAATGTCGGCGCTCGCTTCGGTGGTGTCGCTAGGCTCGCCGGGGTCAACCGCCTGGGCGTCTGTTGTTGTCGGTGCGGAGGCCGAGTCCGGGTTCCCACGCAGGCGTTTGCTGGGCGGGTGTCCGGCGGTGGCCGCACTGGCAGCTCGGGCGGATTCGGGGGCTGTGGTGTCGCCCTCCTCGGCCGAAGCGTCCCGGGACTCGGGCTGGGCAACCTGTCCTTGCTGGATGTTCATGGCGCCGGCTGTGTTGTTGCGCTTTCTCTTCCCGGCGCTCTGCGACACTGAGCTTGGAGACGACATGGTGGATTGGTAGTTTGGTGTTTGTCCGGTAGGTACTAAGAAGAAGGCGAAGGAACCGTAACCGGGACAGCGCCTGCAAAAGAAAGACCGGGCACGATGGGGAAAGCGCTGGGTTTTGTGGGGCCTTCAGCGCAACTTTGTGCTTCGCGGGAGGGACGATGCCTGTAGCGAAACGGTCAAGGTCGAGATGAGCGGGGACCGTGGATTCTGCCAGGATTGGTGCAGGTTAGCGGATGCAGCTTGATATTTTGTTGAGTTCTTCAGGGCAACCACAGCTGTGACGCGCTTATATGGAGGAGTGATAGAATGAAGAAGCCAAGGCGACGCTTCACATGCAGATGCGACAAAGGCCAAAGACGTCAGATCTTGGGGTTGGTGGCACTCACCACTAAGGATTTAGAGCGAAAACCGGGAATCTGGGACACGATTGGATTGGATTCGATGAACCTATCCGTACGGATACACACCTTTGGATGGAAGATGCCAATCAGCGTGATGTGTGTGCTCTTCCTCTCCATGTACTATAACAATGCGAACGCGTCCGAGGGGCAAACTGTCCTGTCGAGTCCCGACAAGGGGAATTTCTCGAACAAATTTCCTTTGGATGCTTCAAACGTCAGGGGGCTGCTTCGCAATCCCTGCCCCATTCCCGCGACTGCTGCAGCTGCTTGCAGTGCCGTCACGTCATTACCTGGTCTGTGCCCCAGCTTGTTTTGTTTGACACCTGTAGAAGCTCAGCGCTTTGATTGGTTGACGATTCAAGACTCTTCTTCATCAACACCATCGAGTTTCATAGTCTTTGCATAAGGTAGTGATGAATGTGAAGAGAACTTTTCATTCGGTTTTGAATCTCGAGTTCCTCATAAACTTCATCTCATTTTTTTCAGTAGAAAGATAGGAGCATCTATCTGAGTGCCATCTCTAAAGTCTGAACAGCCTCCACCTAGAGACACGGATAAATGAACAACACCAGCCAAACTCAGAATCTCACCTAATATGACCTCTCCCCTACAGAATTTCCTCCTGGCTCATACCTAGCAATAACATAAACTCCTCTTTTTCCATCCCCACTCACACCCTCCACAGCTGCAATCCCAACCCTTCTTGTCCTCGGCCACATACACTGAGTATAATGCCCAGTCACCCCCTCCGCCGGATCCCCCACTTTCTGCCCCCTATACCATCGCCCTTCGTTCAGCCAGCTCCTCGTCGCATTCACACATGGTTCTTTCTCGATTCCACCGCCGCTCACCCAGTAAATGTTCTCTCTTTGACTAGTGTCGGCTGCATGCTGGAGTTTGCCGATGTTTTTGGCTAGGTGTTCTGCCCATTGACGGGCGGGGTCTTCGAGGAATTTGTCGTAGGTAAGAGGGGGAATGTTTCTAGAGCGGCGGAGGGAGTTGTGGAGGGTGAGGGCTTTCAGGATGTCTGAGGGGTTGGTGGCGTTGGAGGGCGCAAGAGAAGATGGCTCGGGTGCGTCTTCTTCAGAGGGGATAATAGGTGTATTACTGTCAACTACATGTGGTGGAGGGAGTGACTGTTTCTTGAGTAATTCCTCGGTGTCCTGTATCTCCTGCTTGTTTGCCATGACTACGACCAACTGACTTGAATGAGGGTGTGGGAAACCCTGGGTTGGTAAGTTGTTGTTCTATTGATGTATCGAGAAAAATCAGAACAAAAAAGTCAAGAAACAGGCAACCAAGCCTATATATTCTCATAAATCGGCATATTGAGTGGGCTTTTAACCCTCATAATTAGCCTCCTGACTGAGCCAACACGGCATGGCCGTCAACTCTGAGTCGGTATTGGCCGGTATTCGGGTCATCCCCCCCTCTCAGCCTTACACATCGAAACGGAAAGACCCGAGCCCTGTACTGAACAAGGTAATAATCATCAATCTCACTGCATCCAACAGCTGGTCTGTTCCCCATGCATAGATAAAAAACAGAGACAATGCTGATGTGAGGTGCGGGATGCCAGATCCATTGTATAAGGAGGTAAGAAAGCCGGGACCCCAAAACTGGAACCACGAAATCATGTAACACCCCGAAAGCTTTCCTTGGGTATCACATTGACCAATACTCTCCTCTGAATGCTCTCTCCAACTTCCAGTCAGCTTCCAGCTGTCATTCCCAACACTGAATCTTGCCCTCCCAAATCCCAATCAAGCCATTGTATCTCACCCATACCGGCTCTTTTTGACAAAACATTCCGACGAGTACACCAACTGCAGAACACTTAGATGCATGTCGCCCAAGCTCAAACCAAGACTTTATATTGAGGATGAATTTGAGGTGTAAGTGCGATTGATAACACTGATAACAGCCAAGATTGCCTTACCACCGCGCACGAGCCACTAGCCGCAGATCCACACAAAACGTCTCCCTTCTCCGGTTTTGGCTGCGCAACAAGCCACAAACCTCGTCAGTGGCGGGGGAGTGACCGTTGAGGTCACGTCATAGGCTTGGTCTGTGCTTTCGGGCAGATGGGTGATGATGGTATCGAAAGGTGAGCTCGACATGGGAAAATGAGCACGACTCGAGACTGAGGGAACACGATGTTCAAATGATGGATAGAACACTAGCAATATAGATGCGAATGCCTTCGATTCATGCATTGTTGTAAAAAAACTATAAAATTCATTATCATCACCTACCTCCACACTCTCATTAGACCCAATTCTCATAACCGAACCGCCCCAGAAACTATCAGGACCAAAATACCCATCATAAACTATGGAACCCAAAAACTCTCGCAAATACCATGCTTATGCTTATACCGTCCCAAGTATCTGCCCCGTCGCCTCCTGCTGCTGCTTCTTCACAGCAGCACCCTTCTTCTTCCCATGCCTGGCACACCAATTGCTGTGCCTCGGACTAGACCTTTCACATTTCTTCCTGGCCCCCTCCTCCGCCTTCGGCCCAAACTTCTGCGTGATATCACAATACTCATACTTCTCCCCCATCCAATCCTTGATGTGCGTCTGCAACTGACACCTACTCACCACACACTTCCTGCAAAGTGCCTGCCCTCTGACCCTGAGACATATCAACGCCTTCCTCTCCTCGGGATCCAACCCCTCCTTTGGCCCTGGCTCGTTCTTCTGCGTCAAAAGTGATGGCTTGGCCGCGACATGCTGCCCGGCCAAGTGCCAAGCCCATTCTAGCTCGTTGGGCCCGGCGCGGTGAACAGCCAGCGGGACGGTGCCGTGGAGCCGGCGGTGGATGGAGTAGAGGTTGGAGTTGGTCAACCCAAGGCAGGTGCTGTCGATTGGGTCGAGAAAGTCAAAGATGGCGTAATGGATCTCGGGGGGGAGGTCCATGAGCTGGAGGCGGCCGCCAGGGCGGTGGTGGTGGGGAAGCGGTTCCTTATCTGTGACGGAATAGGAACGGCGAGGGGGCCCGAGGGGAGGTCGGCGGGGTGCAGCGACAGGATGGGGCGGTTGTTGCTGTAGCTGAAGCTGCCTGTTGTGTTCCTCTGACGGGCTGGTTACTGTGGAGGTTTGACGAGAGTCCTGTGAGAACCCGGGCGATGGCGGAGGGGAGTGGATGGTCTGGAGTGTGAAGACTGGTGGTTGAGGAATGCAGTAGTCATGGTGAGTGTGTGACCTTCGTGGAACACGCTTGTTGTCTCCGTTCCTTACGAGGCTTTGCTCGTTTAACCAATGCTCCTCCCTGGTATAGGGAGAGGGGACCTGCTCCAGCATAGCAAGCATGTTGGCGGTGGATAGGTAAAACCTGATTGGGCGTGTGCGTGAAGAGTGAAGGTTAATAAGTGTTCGCCCTTGAAATCGGGAGATATACCGTATATCAGATGTTAGGGCAATCGGACGATAGGCGATGATATGATGGTTGCTGTGGGTGTTGAATATCTTTGGACTAGACCCGGATGGTGTCTGTTTATAGATCGGGCTCTTATTGTGTATATCGAGCAATGTCGGGTATCGATGCTGAGTGGTTGCGTAGTTGAGATTTCATGTGCCAAAGCCGAAAGTCTCACGGAATGAATGCGAAAACCCCCTCAATAGCAAGCTCATGAGTTGGAGGGATAACACAAGGTTATTAAATATGCCGTCTTGTTCAAAGGAGAGGGGGGGAAAACGTCTTTGTAGTGGTGGAGGGCCGGATATAAAGTGAGCAGAGGGAGGGGCCAGGGAGTTGCCGTGTGTCTGGTACGGTCCTCAAGAGAGGGGCGGAATGCCGGAAAAATCAACGATGACAAGTATAACACCAGTCAGCGGTAGGACGGGGAATGTTGGAGAAGATCTGGTGAGGGAGGTGAGTGTAACCGTCAAAGACGAAAAAATCTAGGGCTTCAGTGTTGAGACGGACGAATAAAAAGGATTCGGAGGGAGGGGACTGATCGGCACCGCCTGATTAGCTGGCTGTAGTGTAGGCCTGTCCCTGGCCTCCCTGGCCCGGTTTCCGGTGGTCACCAGCCCGGCCCTGCTGGAGAACACGACGAAATGTGGATTCCTCTCGATCTTCAAAAGCCGGGGCATGCTTTGCCCAACATGCACGACCTGCCGCCGACGCCGTGCGCTGCAACCAGTGGGCAGCCCAGAGTCAATTGTACAACCCAAGACAGGCCTCGAACGACAGAGTTATGCACCTCTGTGCTCCGGCCAATGGGTGCGGCGGTAGCTTTCACTGGAATCCTGTTTTCTTGGCTCGCGCATTGGATGTCAACATCGGTCGATCAAAGAGGCAATGATAAGTTGTAACAATACCCCGAACGCCCAGAATCTAGACAGAACAGCAGCCAGTGGGCGGCTCTTGGGTGGTGTGAAGGGGTTTGGCTGACGGTTCGAGACTGGCAGGGGTGGTCATGAAGTCGATATGGGATTTGTGGGGATGGGCTTGTCTGGATCATTCTCTCTGCAGAAGCGACGATGCATCCTCCTGCGTGTCAACGTCGCCAATTCTTGGCCCAGATAAACGCGGCCGTTGGCAAATCGACCGACGGTCACCGGGCCTGGCACCTCGCCACTTCCGTTGTCCGCCCTCAGGTTCTGTACTGTTGCATTGCGCTCACAATTTCAGACTGCTACAGATCAAGCAGCACCTTCAGCTTGTGAGTGTAATTCTTGGAACTTCCAAGGCGGGGATCTCCGTAGGTTAGCAGCATCTCCAAAATCTGGCAGTTTTGAAATTGTCATGTTCCAAGCACTTGGGATAAGTGGTAAACTCAAAAAAAGATCGAATCACTCTGTTTCCGCCTTCTCGATCCCAACACCCAGCCTGTCGGAGCATCCACTGCATCCTGTCCATATCCCAGGAGGTCTATGACGACTTACACGTGAGCAAACGGTCAAGGTGGCATCCAATGCAACAAGAGATCAGTAAACGTCAGCGACTGCAAGAGCAACCCCCAAGGATCTACAATCAGACCACAACTGAGATATTTGGTAACTGTTTTCAGCTGCTGTGACATACGATGGCAGCAGTTCGAACTGTATGTGAAATCTCCCGGTGGCAAAAGACATCACCGGAGACAAGAGATCTGCCATGATTGACCGTGCCGCCCCCGTACCTCTACGGCCGGCAACTTGGCCATCCTGCCCCGGACTGGACCCGGCCCGTTGTCTCCTGTATCCTCATGTGACAACAGTTAATAATTTTTGAAGAGAGCACTTCTATGAAGAAGATACGACTACTCGGATCAAGCCAAAGTTTTTGTGTCGAATTTAAACCTCAGGAATGCAACTGTTTGTATGCAAAATGTCATAATGGGATAGATAAACTACCCCTCTTCGAAGATAATCCCGATAGCCTTACGTATGCCATGCGTCATTTCCTGAAGATCTTCGGGTCAATAGTCTCCGCATATCACTTCGCAATAGTCTCATTCGAGCAAAAAGGTGACAAAGAAGTGATACCTGTGACAGCTGAAACCCGTCCAAAGGGTAATTACATATCAACCTCAATAGACCAGGGGCCACAAAACCGAGTATATTCAGACCGACTGTTTACACCCCCTCCTCGATTGTGACACCACGTTGTGGATAAAGAAACAGAGATTGCTAGGTTGGATGAAGGCCTTAAAAGACGATTAGCAGGCCCTTAAAGAAGGTCCATATGATTTAAAGACAACTACATAGGTGTTGAGTATTCATTATAGTCTTTGAAAATAGTAGAAAGGCCTCAAAAGATCGTGCATAGGCCTTTATAATAGTCAAAAGGCCTCTGTTATCTTTTTAGCCCTCAATCTTTATCTTGTCCACAGCGTGACTGTCACACCACGCACCGATTGGTGCAACATGTAAAGAAAACCATCAAATTAGAAGTATCGTTGCCTGAATAGCAGCACGCACGCCCCTTCCCCCCTCCCCCCCCTCACAAAACAAAACGAAGGATGACTGCCAAACTCGCTTTTTGAGCATGACAAGTAGTATCTTGATCTTGTTTCAACACACCAACCCAACACCCACCCCCCCCATTCTGCTCACTTCTCCGGGTCCATGACTCCCTAAACGGCAATCCAGATAAGCATCAACACCACATCCAGCCCCTTGGCATCGCCATCCCACTTGTAGCTCCACATTCCATCCGTCTTCTCGTTCCAGTAACCGCCCGTCGCGCTGTGCATGCCCCGGCGGCCAGCCTGCTTCTTCGCCGCGGCAGCAGCCTCGGCGTCGGTGGTGCCTGTACTTGTCGGCTTGTTGAGCTGGGAGGTGGGGACGACGTGCTGGACGATGGTGCTGTTGATGGCGAACTTGTACTGGGGGGATGAGGCGCCGGCGGGGGTGGCCTCGGACATTAGCGCCTTGAGGACTTTTTGCTGTTTGGCGGTATGTTAGCCATGTTGATAAAGTAAAACCGAGGTTGGTTGGTAGGTAGTTGGTACGTACGATAATGGTCTCATTCCATCCTGCGGTCTTGGGGTGCTCGTAAAACTCGACGTTCTCGAGAACGCTGTTGCAGGCCTGTTTATCGCATTGGGTTTTGGTTAGTTCGGGTTGATCGTTCGCAAGGCTATCGCATCTTGGGGGTCGTAATGTTGGGGTGGTTTTTGCAGTCGGGAGGTAAATATCGTGAATCAAATGTTCAGGGCGAGAAAGGAGTCAAACGGGAGGGTCGACGCACATCGGAAGCAATCTGCTCGAGACGCTTGAAGGGAATTGGCTATTTGTTGATAAGGTCAGTATTAAGGCATTCCGTGTCGCGGATAAATAAGAAGCCTGGGATAGGTAATCATACAGAGGTGGACTCAGCCATGTTGTCTGTTGAACTATTTATTATTATGGTTTGGGTGATTGCTTTTCGCGGGGCTGTTGTTGTGGTGCTTTGGGAGATGCGGTGACAGTCGCTTACTTGTTTGGGTTTCGTTTGGATGCCTGCGCTCCAAGAACCGTAGCGAATAGGGTGCGTTGTGCCTGCGTGTTAGCCCCAAAGGCCAGAAGCTGCTGTCAACAAAAACAATGGGATTAGACACAAAACCCAAGAAACACACTGCTGATTAGGATGCAAGGAGATATTAGGAATGATAGTATCTTGTAGTAATATTTACAGCTTGCGCAAGCGCCATTGTTTGATGACATCTCAACCCAAACACTAGCTCTATTGAGGCTTGCCACTAAAGGCGCTCAAATATACGGACAAGAAGGCAAATTCTTTAAATAAAAATTCAGAGAGTTGATATTAAGAAAAAAGCCGTGCCGATTACTTTAGTACTTGCTTGAGTTATGATTAAATACCTATAAACTATTTACTAAAGCTAAATAAATTACGTATTAAGGCTAGATAAAGCTAAAGCTATATACTACCCGCTTAAATCTATATACTACTTACGAATAACTTTATTTTATTTATGTTACTGCTGTATACCATATCGCGCGTAATTACTACTACTATATTTTGTATAGTTGTAAATGATATTTATATAACATTTTATGTATAAAATCATCTTGTAATTAAAAAATAAAAGCGTATAATAAATAAATAAGTAATTATATTTGTAAATATTTAATTGAATATTAGATAAGTATGTAGTATATAATTGAAGTTGCGAAAATGCGGTTGAAAAGCTATAATCCCTACTTATATAATAGCAAGTAAATAGCAGGTGTAGCGTAAAATTGGATGTTAACTTTCTAGATTTTTATTTTGGAGAACTTACCTTATCGTCCGTTATACTCAAGGCTCTCAACGGCTCTGTAAGAGGCTAGCCACAGCTCCATGATCCCCACCACTTTTGGAGAGCAGTGGGCGCTGCGCGGCAACAAAACTCATCACGTGAGCCCTTCAACACCAACCACTCAAAACCAGGGACCAGACCCACGTGCATTCGTGTTTCGGCTGCAAGCGCTGCGGGACCCTCTGACGTTGTGTCTCATTGATCAATATTGAAGCTTCAACCTCTGCGCCCCCAACTGGCACCATCTGGAGCACTTGCACTGCGGCGCAACAGCTTTTTCCAGTCGAAACAGCACCACCATACCAACCGGCTCAATCTCAACGGTATCGCCAAAACATCTCTTCAGATAATCGAGTTCATATCTATATACCACCCACCGTCCGAACGGATAATTATACACACAACCACCGTCACCATGTCCAGCCAACCACTCCTCCAAACCGCCCCAGGTTTGTCTCTCTCTCTATTTCACCGCTACCAATTCTCAAAATCTAACTTCTCGCCCTAGGCAAGCGCATCGCCCTCCCCACCCGCGTCGAGCCAAAAGTCTTCTTCGCCAACGAGCGCACCTTCCTCTCATGGCTCAACTTCACCGTCATCCTTGGCGCCCTCGCCATCGGCATGCTCAACTTTGGCGACCGCCCCGCCTTCATCTCCGCCTTCTTGTTCACCGGCGTGGCGATGGCGACCATGATCTATGCCCTGATAACGTACCACTGGCGAGCAAAGTCTATACGGATGAGGGGGCAGGCCGGGTTCGACGACAGGTTTGGCCCCACGTTTTTGGCGATTATTCTGCTGCTGGCGGTGGTGGTCAACTTTGTGTTGAGGATCACGTACTCGCATCAGGAGGGGGAGAAGCCTTGAGTTGGAAGAGGTGGTCTTTTTGGGATGGAGAGTAAAGGGAGGGAATTGTGGGGGGTGAGGGGAGGGAATGGTGGTGTTGAGAAGAAGGCTCGGGCCGTACTGGCATTCGCTCTTGTGGCTTGGGATCGGTGTAACAACAACGGAATGATATCTTACTGGGGCCTGTTGCGTGAATTTGGACTAGTATTCGCATGGCATTGTATAGCATTGCATTGGCTGCATGGTAGTTGGGTGTCTTGGTTTAGATTGTATATGAGAGACGCGGCGCATTTTTTTCTATCAACGTTTCAATTGATATAGTGGGAATTTCGTAGGAGGCCACAATTTCATGAGGCCAATGGGAACAATATTCACAGCTCCAGTAACCTGAGGTTGGTTCTCGCGCTGTTGCTGCCTATTCTACAGAAGTCATACATGCAACCCTTGTCTTCTAAGAGGGAAAAGAAAAAGAAAGAAAAAAGTCCAGATCCTGTAGTGGCAGACCCTTCTGCCCGCGAAATAATGCCGGGTATCATAAAATATTGCCAAACGCCGTGACTCTCAAAAGACCGTGCCGTTGACGCCTCGCCATGAACACTCTATCCCACATAGACCGATTTATGCTTCGCCCAAAGTGACCTCCTAACCTCCTAACGAGCCATACCATCCTTCCTGCGCCGGATATCATCGATAGTTTGCTCATTTGTTTGAGCGCCCACGTTTGCCAAGACCCTGAGCTCCTCCAATGGAACCCTCGATAAGAGAACCGTCATATGCGCCTTGTATTTTGGTTTGGCCGGGTCGACAGCCTCCTCATGAATGATGGGTCTCATTGACTCAAAGTACACCTCCTCCGCAGCACCACCCTCAGCATTGCCCTGGTGACCGTTTCCCTCGCCCTCCACATCCATGTGTGTCTGCTCCACTATCGAGGGGAAATCGTCGGCTGCCTTCTGCATCCGAGGGTCGTCGTACACCACCGTCTCGCTCAGGATGTTGTACTGGTACCACTTTTGCTCTGACTCACCAATTCGCCTCCTGATCAGTTCCGCAATGGAGATAAGCTTGTTGGAGGTGGTCGACTTGGCGCAAAGCAGCACCACGCCGGGAAGGACTGTGTCGTCCCAGGCGCTGAACCGGCCGAGGTGCTGGAGGGCCTTGTCGACGTGCTTGGATATGCTCGTGGAGGGGATAACGCTCATGGCTCTGACTTCGTATTTGGGGACGATTCTCTCGAGGACGGGGTTGTAGATCTGAGCGAAGGGGCTTGTATTTTGTGGGTTTGTTGATGACGAAGGTGGGAAAGTTTGTGTTTGTGACTGGATATTGTGGGATGAGCGTCCTTCTAGTCGGCCGGTACCGGTTCGCTTCTTTTTCGAGGAGGGGGGATTGGTATCGTCGCTGTGGAATTTGCGCTTTCCAGGCAGCGCTGCTGACTGTGGACGCATGGTATCTTGTGGACTCTTTGTGGATGGGAAGGCTTGCAGTGCGGCCATATGCTTGTATGGGTGGGTGGAAGGGGTGGTATCGGGTCTGACAGTTGCTGGTGAAATGTTGCGCAAAGAATTGGATTGTTGTGTAGTTGATAGAAGGCTGCAGCTGAGGCTGGCCGTTGCTCAGAAAATCCAATGCCACACGCCGCTCGGTCATTATTTGACGCGTAAAACACTGTGGGGTTGACAGGTCATTATCGATAAGATTGATAAGACTTGCCATCAAAGAAGAGGCAGGACCAGAAGTCAACGCGCACAACTATTAATACGATCTTCTGAATTTGTTCAGAACAAAAGCCATCTTGACCTATTGTGGATTTATTTAGGAGGCTTCACTTCTGTCTCGATGGTCATCTTATTCTCAGCGAGTGCAAGGTCTCAGGTATACACGACCTTATCATCAGACGACAACAGCAACACAAACAAAAGATATCCGTATCGATATTCTAATGCAGGAAGGAGCAACCAGAAGTATTCAATCGGGGTATTCTTGAAGACCTGAAGAGCTACCGCATTTCTTATTTTTGGTCGCTCATTTGTTGTCGCAAGACAGAAGGGCGAGGCTATCAGCTGCCAGCTCGACTCCTCTCATATGTGTTAGTGCTCTGCACCTGTTGTGAAAGGCTGCATAATTTCGAGTGTCGAGATTGGGTCCTAACAGTTTGCTCCATCCAGTCTCCATCAAACCCAGCCAGCCTTGCGAGTGACATGTTGCTGGTTAGGGGCCCAAGCTCCAGTGTCAGCGGGCCCACACCTGTGTTCCTAGCGTTGATAAGCACACTCCCCAAAACATATGCACATAACGGGTTTCCAGCTCTGGCATAACATATGCAGCTACCCACACCAGCCAACCTTAATGCACGATGAGGGTCGAAACAACTCAGGTTTCGGCCCGGACAACTCCTCTTGAGGCGTCATGCGATGTGTCCACTGACGACATCTTCAAACTTTGCGATACGGAGTGTGCTGGTGGTGTTTTACGGTGCAACTTTGGAGTTGATATCAGCAAACACGAGGTGGGAGAAATGCATTCATAAAAACAGAGTCGCAATGCCATCGCAAATGACGGAACACGGCAATCTGTGTAATACACATGCCCAGCCAACCGTAATTACAGTACGGATCTCTCTGCCTCCTGAATGGGACCTATCACATCAAGGGATGGCTCGCTATTCCTGGATCCAATAACAACTGGCCCCCGAGATGCATGCGAGAGCTCGCACACCACCTTGTTAGTAGTTTGCGTGGCGCACTGCCCTCTCTCCTGCCCCCCGTCTCACGCACTGTGCAGCTCGATGGGCAAGCTTCAAGGCTCCAGACCAGCTTAGCTTTGCACCGGCTGCTCCCAACGCTCCAGTTTTCGTGGAGAAAGGCATCTGGCAGATGGGGAAGGCTCGTAGCGGTGAAAGAGATGCGAGGGACCACGTCAGAGTGTGCTGTCGTCTCCTAGTCGCCTGTCTACACCGTGTTTTTGTTATCGCCGACCGTTGTGACGTTTCTCGCTGCCATGTCTGCGTCTTTCAAGATCTGGGGCTTGGCGTGGTCTCTGTTCGGCACCAGCGCCGCTCTGTTGCGTCTTCCTGGAGCCTTCGCGCTGCTTCCTTTCCCGGCTGTGAAGCTGCACACAGCTCATGCAAGACAAGGCGCCCCGCTCTGCCCCCATGGCGCCGTGTGGTGCCAGCCAATCACATGACACAAACCGAGGAAAGGGGGTGGTGGTCCGGGCGTGCGTTTGTGACTAGGCCCTTGTCCCCTTGCATCCACTTTTGCCTCTCTGATCCAACTTCCAAACAATTTCCCCCTTGGATGCAGCGTCTCCCCTTACAACCCGCGTGACAGCGCCCATCACCCCCCAACTCTCTCCATCATCTCGCAACAACCTCAAGCTTCCCAGCTGAACCACGCAAAAACCTCCTCAAAAAACGCATCGCGACCCAAACCTTGTTGCGTTTTTATTCTCGCACTCATTTCGCTGCATCTTTTTTTGAACAAAGTCTCTCCTTTCTGCTCCCGACAGACTGTCCGCGACGCTTTAACTAGCTTTCGCGCGCATCGCACCTCGCTGTTGACGAGCACTTTCATTCCAGCCATCGCAAGGCAATCGCGACACTTGCGCAAGCTCCAGAGCGAGGGTGGCGCCAGCAGTTTGCCTCTGGTCTGACCCTGTTTCCCGGCCGCCTCTCAGGCCTCGCCCACTGCACACCCCAAGTCAACCCACGGACCACCTGCAAGCGACCTCGGAGGTTACGTCAGCCTTGCTCCGACGACCAATCACCGTCTCCGACCCACGCTTCAACCACTTCTGTCTCGGCCGCTGCTGCCTGCCTTGCGACACGCCATCGATAGAAGAGTCAAGACGTGCTGGTGCCGCCTTCTCTTTCTCCGCCGTCACTGTCTTTTTGACACATGCAGGCTCTTGTCCAGGAATCGCCCATGTTTCGCTTTTGGTCCAACGACCCAAGGGGAAGCAACAAGGCAGTAGAAGAGGGTCACCTGCTATCAACGTGTCCCGGTTCTGCTGTGAATGCTCCCGGCGCATCCTCTGAGGAACCTCTCACACCCATCTCACCCAAAAGGCGCCGACCGAGCTTTGTCGATACCACCGCCTGCCCAACAGCCAAGCGCATCAAGACGGCAGAGCATCCCGGTGGTCTGCCGTCGCCCACCTCGGCATGCGCCGATAACGAGGACAAGAACATGCTGCGCGGGTCCAGCAAGAGTTCCAACCTTGAGCGTGCCAAGGATGCGATCCAGTACCAGTTCGGGCTCGAGATCCTCCTCAAGCACGACGAGCTTCGACTCATCGACCAGGAGTTGGCCAAGTGCCAGATTGCGCTCGAGCAACTCCGCCGGTGTCACCTGATTCCCTATCCTGTCCAATGTCCGACTCCCAGCCAGATGCTGGAGATTAGCAGCGGAAAGGGCCCTGTGCTTCAACCAAAAGCCGGTCAACCCGTACCCAAATGGGCGCCGCCTTTTGGTGTTGTCGACGGCCCTTATGCCCGTCATTATGCTAAGTGGCTTATCCCCGATCCCATGTTTGATGGCATTCAGCCCGAGACCCCCGGCCTTACAGAGACTGGCCGGGCCAGAAATGTCACGGCGGAAGGTAGGGCGACGAGGAACAGCATGTCGGATGCGGGCAGCTTTGGCAAGCAACGCCCTGCTCGTGGAAACGCAGGCCAGAGGCTCAATGCCCTATCCAGTGGATACCCTCCGGTCAAAGACAAGCAATCCCCGTGCACTGTCAAGCGTTCTGATGGCCTTACGGTCAAGTTGGTGTGCATCGACTGCCACAGATGGGACTTTTCAAGCACCCAAGGCTTCATCAACCACTGCCGTATTGCTCACAGACGGGATTTCAAGAGCCACGAGGAAGCCGCTGTTCATTGTGGTCACCCTATCGAGGTTGATGACAGCGGAGTCATCGTTGCCGATGAGAACAAGGGCCCTGCGCCCACGCCCTCCGTTCCCTCTGGATTGATCCATCCCCTGGCCCGTAAGGAGTCTATTTCTGACCAGCAGGCTTACAAAAACATCCTTGCTCGCATCAACGCTTCGCTGGAGCTTTACCATGCCGGGAAGCTGCCCAATGTTAAGTGCATACCCCGTGCTCGCAAGCCGTCAGGGTCTAATGCCGCCGGGTCGTCCTCTGCTGGTTTCGTTGCTTCTTCCGATGCGCCTTATCTGTCCCAGCTGATGCAGAAGAAGAAGTTGAGTGGTAACCTGAAGGATGAGTTGAACGAGGCCAAGGTCAAGATGGATTGGGATATGCTCTCTCCTGGCGAGGACTCTGATATGGATTTGTGTTCTGGATCGGATCGTGCTGCAACACCAAACAAGGTTTCCGGCTCAGTCGCGCGGACGCCTGCTGTTATGCGGATGCCGGCACGCTCTGCTGTGTCTCCCTCCCAGCCACCGGTTGTTCCCCGCCCCGCCAGTAGCAAGAGTCAGGCTTTGGCTGCCGCCGCTGGTGCTGATGCCGAACTTGATGCCGACTCGCCAGAGACCCCGAGCTATGATGATGAAATGGATGTGGAACTGAGCCCCAACACCATGGCCAGCAACAATGCGCCTTCTTTGGTTAGTGACGATGGAGAATATGACGACTCGGACGATGCTGCTTCCGACAGTAGCGATGCCATGGAGATCGAGTCGGTCTCTGATGTCGCCGAGATCAACCTTGAGGAGGACGTGGATGTTCGTGACAGTGCTCCGCGGCCCATCCAACACTGCCGCAAAATAAACAACACAGACAAACTGAAAAAAGATGAGAACAGGCATGTGACCTTTGTCAGTCCAGGTCCTGTTCCCAAAGCCAACACCAAGGGGAGGCGGAAGCAAAAAATGTAGAATTATAATGGGTCACCAACCGCTGGATGGATCTGACCACCGCGGCTAACGCTTCTTACCGCTCGACTTACACCTTATACGACACTTTAATGAATTTTTGTTTTGGAGCCCGGGAATGGTTGTCACGGCGCAACCTTCACCATGCTCTCTTGGATTTTTTCTTACGCCAACCTTTACCCTCCTCAAAAACGAATACAACAAATGGGGGTTCTTCAGCACTTATAGTCTTTTTTGGTATCGACGATGGGAAGACGGTTCTGATTCTATTTTATGTATGAGCGGGCGCATGGGGATGCTTTATTGTTTTTTTTATGGCAACGGTGGCGGCTGTTTTTATTTTTGGTTTAGGGGGTTAACGGCGGGCCAAGAAGTACGATATCCGGTGTTCATCTTTGTATCTTTCTTCTTCCTCGGACACGGAGGGGAGCGGATCGGGGTGGCAAGTTTTTGTTTTATACTGGCGAGTTTGGCTGTCGAAAGATTTTTCCTCTGCCTGGCGAAAAAAAAGACCGAAGAGCTGGGAGGAAAGATGACGAGGTTGGGAGGAGCGGGATAAAACAAAATGGTTAGCTAACCTTGCGGTCAAGACTGGGTTGACTGAGAAAGACAAATGGTTTCTCTTCATTTTTGCTGTGTTGTTCTGTGTGTCGTGCGTGTTGTTTCTGTCTAAGTCAGTGAAGTTTGCAAATGTGTGTTGATGTAGTTCAGTGAGAGATAATCACTGGTTGCTATGTTATATCGGCAAGCTTTACGAGCATTTCGTGAAGAAGGTAATGTTTCATAGCATAAAACTGCCGGCCAAGTATAGATAGCTTCTAACAACTCATTGTCACCAGTGTCATCACCAAATGTTTACTCTTGCTCCATTCAAAACTACATAAACAAAATAAGTAGGCAGTGCCAGACTGACTCAACACACTTCCAAACTCGCCCCCGAACTGCTTTCCCGCATAACATATTGCCATCAACCGAGCGCAAGTATCAATCTAGCTAATTGGATGATGAGGAACAGCCTCTGTGGTTTGAGCGGAGTGGTGGTCTGGTGAACATGCCGATGACCGTCAAAGTCCAGATACCCTCGAACCACCATCCACCATAGATGGGTTAGGTGACATCCCCCACCGCTCTAGCTGCTCGCGAACACGATCAAGACCCCGGTCTACCACGGGCACCGGAGACACAATGGATGGGGATGGCCTGTACTGAGCGTGGGGATGTTGGTTGTAGTTTGGTTCGAGGATGGAGCAGTCTGTGAAATCCGATGATGGAGATTGGGAGTGGCATCGCAGGGGGAATACTCCTGAGAGCGATAAGGTGTTGTGTTGGAGGGCATATCTGTTGGGACGCGAGGGCGTTGGTAAGTAAACAGAGTCTGGCGGGGAGGAAGTACTTCATGCTGCTCCGAGTCGGGGATGATGTGTCTTTTCAGTCTTGTATGAATAAACTGTTCCTGCCCTTTTTGCATGTGATTTTCGACCCTACGGTCCCGGTCCTTCTTTTTCAGTTCCTCTTCTTTGGCATGTTCAGCCCATTCTCTCTCGTTGGCTGCTCGGGCCAGTGCATCTCTTTCTGCTCTTGTGAAAGGAGGTTCTGGCTCCGGGGTTGCGTATTCCTGTTTACGGTATGTCTGCTCTGGCTGTTGGTCGTCCTGTGGGTGGTATTGTTGTTGCTGCTGCTGTTGCCGTTGCTCTCGTTCTTGCTGTTTCTCTCTTCGTTTGCTCCCGCTCTTTTTGCCGTTGCTCTTGGTCTTGTTGCTCTTGCTCTTGTTGTCCCCGCTGCTGCTGTTGTTGTTGGTCGTACACCCACTTCGATCTCGATGGCATTTCTGTTCTCTGCTGCCGTTGACGCACTTTCTCTCTCAAAGCCCGCTCACTTAGTGGGAGTGGTGTATTTCGAATTCGGTCCCTAAGATGCGCCTCTTTGAACGCGACCTGCTCCTCGTGCAACTGATTTTTTGGAACTGATGCGGCTCTTTCTTCTGCTTCTCTCCGCCGTCGACTTTTTGACCTTTTTCTTCTGCCCATTGATGCTTCTCGGCTACCTCGTGATGTGTTACGTCGTCGACTTTGTGTCCTCTCTCGGCTATCTTGAGGGGCTTCTCGTGCCTGATTTTCCCGTCTGATTCGTGAGGGTTCCCGTCTTCGTGATGGGTCTCGCCGTTCACTTCTTGACCTGTCCCAACGTGACGGTGGATCTTGCCACGGTTGACGTCTAGGGTCTTGCTGCGGTCGACTTCTCGCTCTTTCTCGTCGTAGGTCTTGTCTGCGCTTCTTGATCTTGTGCGTGGTGGTGTTCCAAACTCTTCGTGCCGTTGGCCGTCTTGGTCAACCCGTCATTTGCTTCTTGATCTTCTCTGCTGTGGCATTCCGGGTTCTCCAGGTGGTGGCCTCGCCGGTTGGTTCCGGCGTGCATGTTGGTTTTGCTCTCCTGCCCACCCTCTCATCCATTAATGCCAACACTGACACCACTACCTCTTCAAACAGCAAACTGTATGCCCTCAACATTATCTAACGCCCCGTCAACGAACCAACCACAGACACCCCAGGCGACACCTACCACTCCGCCATCCTTCCCCCAAGACCCGTACGTCTCGCAGCTTGCACCGGAACAGGGGCCATCAGCGGCGCTGTGTTGTAGCCGATCTTAGCTCCCGACTCTGAGAACGATAGGTCGTTATAGCGAACCAGGGGGTCAAGATGTCGTGGTATTAAAACAGGGCGTTCCGAAAAGTCGGATGTGGCAACCCCAGGAACATATGGCGAAGAAGGAGTATGAGAGAGTAAGGGAGGGAAGTCCTGCGCAGCTTACGGAGGTATTCTCTGCCTCGTCCGCTTCTGCGCGTTGTTCCATTCTTTGGATGTGGGCTTTTCTTTTGGCTTCCTCTGCGGCGAGGAAATTGTCGGGGGATTGTGGCTTTTCTGGCTGGGGAGGGGGGCTGGCTTTGCTGGATAGGTAGGTTGGGGTTGGGGTTGGGGGTTGGAGTTTTGTAGTCGTGGATCGCTTCCTCCTCGTATTCCTCTTCTTGTTGCCAACGCTGTTCTTCCAGGACACGGTGCTTGGACCTTCATCGATGGTGATTGTCAACATGGCTTCGTGATGATGCCGGTCTGCTCGGGCTGGTAATAACCCGACCAAATTGAACGCCTCGTTTCGTAGCACCCCTTTTTTCTGCCTGCTGCTCTCGCCGAACTTCTTCTTCTCGCCCTTTCTCTCGTCATAGCTCTCGCGCTTCATCCTCCCGAAGTTCCCTCTCTCTGTCTTGTCGTTCCCGTTTCTCCCTTTCCCGCCTCCGAGATCTTGCCTCTTGTTGTTTTCGGTCCTCTCCTTCAAATCGTGACAATTCCGCTTCATGCCCAAGCCTTTCTTCCTCCCGTAGTTGACCATCCTTCTCTTTCCACTGTTTATATCCCTCCTCCTCCCGCCGCCGAAGTTCCTCCATCTTTCTAGCATCTCCGAGCAATATACCCCTCTAATTCTGCATCTCCTGACTCGGTGGTCCTGACGCGCTCGTGGTCATCTCTATATCTCATATCAGGTGGTCCCCAGGCCCGTCGCACTCTCTCTTTTAGCTCTTCCAGCTCGCGCTTGTTGCGTGGCGTGCACCACTCTCCGCTGTTTGGTGGCGGAAGTTGGCAGGAGTGTCCTCGTGGGTTGACAAAGAATGAAACTTTACCAAACATTTTGTAGGCACTAGCGAGAACGGCTTCTTGCTCTTGGATACATGTTGCTCGGGTGACAAAACGGGCGACGAGATGGATTATGTTGTAGTAGAGAGGTTGATATGCCCGCCGTAAAGGTCAATGAAGAATGGGAATGTTGGTGTGCTTGATAGGATGTTTCCCGAATGTTGTCTTCATAGTTGAGCGTTCGTCCATGAGGAGACACGTTCAGTTTCCAAAGGCACAAAAGGGCAGGGAGCACGGGATATATATGCTTGCAAGTCGCCATGGTATTAGATTGTGCCTTCAGGCCAGGTGAGCAAAAACCGCTCTACCAAGGTGCTTCGAGAGGTCAAGTGGCTCAACTGGGTGACAAATTCGAGTCTCAGATTTGCATCATTGACGAGAATGGGTTGGAAGAAAGAAAGCTCAGTTCTTGCATCTCAACATTAATGATACGGTATACTCATAGCACACACAAGAGGCAAAGTGAAAACACAACTTACCTGAGATGCAGGATGTGAACTGACACGCCTGTTCATCAAAGTACTAGGGATATATACCTTTTGATGTGGCTCCCCAGTTGTGGCATTGAACTGATTCATATATCTACCTCACATGGACAGACACAGTATTATCTATACATTTGCATGATTTGTCCCGCTACATGCCCAAGGCCTATCTTACTCCCCCCCTTTTCTTCTTAGCACTCCTTTCATTTAGGCCCGTTGCCTCAAATTTGCACACTCATTGCTCCATATGCTACTCCTTGATCATTCCCTAATCGCCAAAACAGCAATGCATAGCCGCTCAGAAACTCGAGCAACCCTGAGAAGGAGAAACACAACGCAAGTAACTCCACTCTTCCATCCCACATCCGCTATCCTACAACTCCCCAAGTGAAAACCCCTTAGTCAATCTCAATATCGATACCGAGATCCAGCGCCCCAATGATATCATCATCCATCAACGGCGCATGCACCAGCGGCAACCCGTTCTTGGCCGTAGCCCGCTGCTGCTCCTGCAACTTGGCAATGTGAGGCAAGAGACCCCCGTTGCTGTTACCATTGGCAGCAGGTGTGTTGCTGCCGCTCTCCTTTTGAGAATCGCCCTCCTGGCTAGCCTTATCCGCCGCGGCGACGTTCTTCTTGGGGATGATGGTACGGGATCTCTCCTTGATCTGGGCCTTGCGCACCTCCTCGGCATTGCGGCGACGGTTCTCGGCGTTCAAAAGAGCAAGCTTCTCCTGCTGGGTCAAACCCTTGCCCTCGGGCCTCTTCTTGTCAGCGGAAGTGAGCGACGTTCTAAATGCTAGCTTCGGCGTGCTGAGGTCCTCGAGCTTCTTCTGGAGGCTGTCAACAGCGTCTTCATCACCGCGAGCACGGGCGGCCTCGAGCTGGCGGGTGAGGTTGTCACGCTCAGTGCTGCTGAACTTCTGCATGAGGCTGTTTTGACGCTTGAGCTTCTCGGCAATCTCCTGCTCAGTCCACTTGTGACGGACGAGGCCGTTAATGTCGCTAATCTTGTTGACCAGCTGGGTCTTAGTGGGTACGGAGATGCCCGCCTGCAGGCAAACTTGCTTGTAGCGATTCCACTCGCTCTGAATTGACGGTTAACACTCTCGAACCGCAAACATAATCAGGAAAATACATACCTCGGTGAAGTTTCGGTCTGAGCAGCTGATGAATGGCCACTCTCTTACAGCATCTCCATGGGCAACCTTAACATACAAATCGACGACCATCTGATGCCCAGAGCTGTCAGGCATCGCATAAGGTCTACCGGTGTTGAACCCTGAGTATGGTCAGTCAGACTGTCAGAATACCCTGCGTGGGCGATGTGACATACCCTTAATGATAGCCATACGGTAGACATCTTGGCGAGTAGTCTGATCAGGACCAATATTGATGCGCACAAAGCACCCTGTGATGGCCCGCTCGAAGCCAGGGTAAAAACAAACCTCGGCGAAGCGGCTGCGGCCAACACGGACACGCTCAACATCGCGAAGATCAGCCGGCAGGATCTCCTTCTCGGGCGTTCTAGACTTTTGTCGAGAGCTTCTGCGCCAGTCGCCCGCGTCGCTATCACGGTCGTCGTGGCTGCGGCTTCGGTCTCTGTAGGAAGGAGAGCGTTGCTTGCGGCGATCCATGTCCCGCTCTCTCTGCTCTCTGCGGCTGGTGCGTTCCTCGCGAGCACGACGCAACGTATCCATCTTCTCGCTAATCTCGCCAGCCTTGGTGCGGGCACGGGATGGCTTCCGCAGCTCATCTTCGAGGTCGGCGGCGCTCGCCTTGCGCTTCTTGCTGTCCTTCTCCTGGTTGACCTTGAGCTGTCGCAGCATCCTATTCTGTCGAATTCGCTCATTCTCCTCTCTTCGTTCAGCAAGAATCTGTTCTCTCTCGATCTCACGCATGCCCATGATGCGGGCCTTCTCCTCTTGACTCTTGAACAGACCCTCAACGGGGTACTGGATGGCATCGTCATCTCCACCGCGAGCTTGGGTCGGGGCCGCGTCGGAGTCGGAGTCGGAATCGTCCATGGAAGCTGAGCCTTGTGAGCCTGGAGAGGCGGGAGGCGAGCTGCGCGGGGCCATTCTGGTTAGTATTCGTCTGGTGAGCGCCATTGTGGACGATGCTTGGGTGATGGTGAGATTTGTGGTGAGAAAGTAAAGCCGAAGAGTGAAAGTGTGAGCAACAGAAGCCTGGGGAGGTTCTGCAAAATAAATTAAAAGTGGGAAAGTAGCAGAGCGGTAGATGGTAAAACAGGTGAGGGAGGGGAAGGTGGAGGGGGAGGGAAGGTAAGCTGGCAGTGTTGCGACCTGAACTTGGAGGTCGCAAGAGTCGCAAGAGTCGCTCAAGCGACTTTCCAACCCCCTCGAACGTGGGCGACCACTTGGAAGCCCCTTGGAGTCGCAGGTCGCTATCCATACACAACAACACACTAGGGGACAACTCACGCCTCTCCTTCATCCTCCGACTCGTCATCGCTCCTACTACGTCTTCTCGTCTTCTTTGCAGGCGTCCTCTTCACAGCTACACCTCTGGTAGTCGCATCAGTCTTCTTGGAAGATGCAGGGGCTGGTGATGTCGTGCGCGACCTGTCGCCACGGCTTTTGTTTCTGGGCTCATCGTCTTCGGAGTCGGAGTACTCATCTCCTCCGGCAAGCGCAAGGAGCTCATCATCAAGCGACTCGGCGTCAGACATTGTAATTCCTTTCTCTCGAGGATATATCTATCGATCGTTTGGCGGTCGGACTCGACGACGCGATGGGAAGACGCGGTTCGGGAACGAGTGTCAGTTTACGCGAACGTTATCAGTCGCCAGATGGTTCTCGGTGGTGTTCGTGACGGCCGAAGGATGTGACAGTAACAGCAATGAATGCGCAAACAATCGGGGGGCGCAAAGTTGGCTCTTCTGCGACAGGAATTATTCGAGGTTTACTTTTAATCTGTCGAGTGACGTTCCAAAGCCTCCCCCAAAAGTCACAGCAGTTGTCAATTGGTCCCGTCGGCTTGGCAGGCAACTGGCAGGGATTGCTCGAGCCGCAGCCGGGAAAGGCTTGGCAACAGTGGGTCCCAAAGCATCATCAGTCTCCCACTTTCATCGAAGCTTCCCCTTGGCCCAGTCGTCGAGGTTCACAAGCAACAAACACCACACTTCACCATGGCCTCTCCCAGACGCCTCCTCCGAACAGCCCGCCAACTCACCTCAATCAAAACCCCCTTACTCACCTCCCAATTCCCCCGCCATGTCTCAACCACACCCTCCCCACCATCACCATCACCACCATCACCACCCCTACCACCCAAAAACCTCAAACCCCTGACAGAATCTCAGCGGGAAATGCTCTCCTCCTTCCTCCGCGTCAACCAAGCCGGCGAGCTAGCCGCCACCCTCATCTACACAGCCCAAACGCCCCCCATCCTCGCCCGCGAGCCCCACCTCCGCCCCCTGATGAAGCACATGTACGACCAAGAAGCCGACCACCTCCGCGTCTTCAACTCCCTCATCGCCAAACACCGCGTCCGCCCAACAGCCCTCTACCCCCTCTGGTCCGTCCTCGCGACCGGACTAGGCTGGTCCACCGCCGTCATGGGCAAAGAAGCCGCCATGGCCTGCACCGAAGCCGTCGAGACTGAAATCGGGGGCCATTACAACGCGCAGATTCGGGAGCTCCTCAAGATGGTCAGCGAGTGGGAGGCGGAGGGGTATGATGTCGGCGAGGAATTCACCGAGTTGATCAGCACGCTGAGGAGGATACGGGACGAGGAGCTGGAGCATTTGGACCACGCGGTCGAGCATGACGCGCAAAAGGCGGAGCCGCACTGGCTCCTGACCGGAGTCATCAGAGCGGGGTGTAGGGGGGCTATCTGGGTTAGTGAACGGGTGTAAGAGTGTACCATATGTGTGACGGGTTGAATCTGTATATCTTGTACGAGTAGAACAACTGGGAAGGGAGAGAAGACCAGCTTCAGCAGCAGAAAACATCTTGTACATTAAAAAAGTTGGCTATCAAAATTGGGTTTGGCAACACCCAAAAAAACAAAATAAGAAAAGAAACAGTAAAAGAAGTTTTAAAAAAAAGGTAATAAGAATCAAGAAAGAATGCCCCAATGCACAAACCCCTATACATGTTCCACCAGGCGCCTGCCTCACCCCCCAACGCCAACGCAATGATGCCACACTCCTCCAGGGGGAATCTTCACCATCATAAACACCTCCTTATGATCCCTTCTAACGCTGGACTCCAACAGACCAGCTCTTTCAGCAATATAAACACTCAGTTACTAGAAAAATGGTTAGTCAAAGTAATGATGGGATAAGAGGCAACATAATCCAACTTACTAGATAGCCAACGGAGCCACCTGGTCCACCTGGAACAGCCAGTTGCCATTCGTCTCCTCCACCACAAGCCAATCATACGGGAACTGCACCAAAGCACCTTGCGTCATGTTAAGCAGCTCCTCAGCATCGGCGCGGTTGAGCATATCATCAGTCGGACTGAAGCCCTTCCGGCTACCCCTGGTGGTAGTCCGCCGCCTGGGGCGTCGTTGAGACCCAACTGGCTTCACACTATTGCCGTTGGCATCAGTATTGGCAGCTGACGCAGTGCTGTCGCCCGTCTTGGGGGGCTTCTCCTGGTTGGAAAAGGTAGCCCTCCGCTCCCTTGGTTTGACAACATCAAGCTTCTCCGTCTGGGGCAAGTGATCGTGACTTGAATTGGTCGGATGATTACCCGTGTCCAAGGGGTCGACAGACTTCTCTGGGTCGGGGTTCATATCACCCCACGAGTTGTCTTGCCCATAGTCATTTTCTTGCATGCCGCGCTTTTCATCAAGAACGGCATCCTTGTTTGGCTCGTTGTGACTGAGAGCGTCCCTGACAGCATTGCCCAAGGGACTTGCCAGTTTCTCAGCCGCCGCGTGACTGGCAGTAGCAGGACCGGGCGCGCCGATACCAGCTCCACCACCTCCAGCCTGGGCTGCCGCGTGGCTCATGGGAGGCTTCTCGCTCTCTTCGTCGGAGCGGTGAAAGTCCATGCTCTCCTTGAAGCGTTGGTTGTAAGCGTCGAACTCCTTGTACTCAGCCCAGTTGGTTGCTTCCGAGTCTGGCATGCAGCGGAACACGCGTCGGTAAATCCTGGTGTTGTTCTCAGCCACTCTCGACCAGACTTCATCGTAGAAGGCTGGGTTGAGAGGATCGCGCATACAATCCTTGTGGACATCGGCCAGCTTGATATCAATAGGAAGGGTGTGGGCGGGCCCGAAGCTCAACCTTCCGCCAGCGTCAGTGTGAACGGGCGGGCCGCCAATGTCGGTATCGTCCACCATGGGCAGTGTTGGCAACTGGTTTGCCCGTGGCAGTCCAAGTTGCTCCGTGGTCCGCCTGTCAAATGGTGGCATGGGAGGAATACCGTCGTTGTCAACACCTCCTTCGTCACGAGAGGTGGCGGCCGAGGGGCGCCGGAGCTGATGAGCTTGCTTGGGACTGTCAATCGTTCCCCTTCCGCCAGACAAAACATCATGAACCAACACTTCTCTATCATTGACAATAACAGAATCACGCCCCTGACGAAGACCTTCCTCCTGAGCGGCCTTCCAATGATCAGCACCGAGACCTTCCACTTCCACCTTGTGCTTGTCAGCCTGTGGAATGTCAATTCGTAGACCGTCGGCAGAGCCCTTGCCCTTGGAGACCCTGGAGGAAGACCGGCCTCTGCCCACCGGCTTCTCCGGATCTGTATCCTGGTGATCACTGGCGTTCTTCCGAGATGGGATATTGAGCGGCTCTGGGCGAGCCGAACTACGGCGTCTTGAGCTCTCGGCCACAGGAGACAGTCCATCGGACTCGTCGCTGTAGATGCGGTCCATCTCGGCCTCGAAAGCCTCTGCTTGGTCGAGATCGGCCTGTCTCTCCTCCTCCAAAATCTCGTCAACATCCAAGCCCAAATGCTCTCTCATCAACCGAAGACGCAGCGTGTGGGCGAATCTCCCGACCTGATAAGGGCGTCCGGCCATCGTGGACCAAATCATGTCGGTGTCGCGGACGATGGCGGCAGCCTCGGAATCGCGGTTGCCCAACATGGAGCGCTCATTGATGTTGGCCGATCCGATCAAAGCCACCCGGTCATCAACGATGATGCACTTGGCATGGATATACAACATCTCGGTTGTGAGCATGCCGTTGGACATCTTGCCCCACTGCCGGAGACAAAAGAACTGAATGTAGTCCTCAGGGTCAATGCCGGCAGCCTTGAGGCGCCCAAAGATCGAGTGCTCTCCACGACAGATACTGCGGTATTGGCACTGCAGAATGAGACGAACGCTGGTGCCATCTTGTTCGTTCACCTCGTTCTGGAAGCCAGGCATCAGGGGGATCAGGATAACCGCTCGCCAGTCCTCGTCGTTTTCGTGAGCACGAATGATGCGGCGAACCAGGGCATCGCCGATACCGTTGACCATCTTGCTATTGAGGGTCTCGGTGCTGGTGATGAAGAACTGATTCTCCATATACACGAAATGGTCCGAGTCTTCGATCATCTTGATATAAGCCAAGTGGATGCTTTGTTCCGTGTCTTCAATGCCTAGAGACCAGGTGGATGCCGAGCGAAGGATTTGCACCTCACAAGTGCCATTCAAGCCAACTGCCTCAAGCTCCTCTGGGTTGCAATCCGGCGGAGGCAGCAGGAACGGCGTAGGTCTGGTGGGCTTGCGTCCGCGACGGACGTAGTTCCACCTCTGAACAAAGTGACGAGTGAGATCGCGAGCTGGCTGGCCTACTACCTGCATGGCAATATCGTGCCATGGCATGCGTGGGATTCTGGAGCGATCATACATCTCCTCGTAAGGCTCGTTGAGGCGGAAGAAGTCGCGAACACGGGGGTTAGAATAGTCCTTTCCGGGGAAGAGTTGAACGTGCTCGGCATCCCTGGGCTGTCCCTCTTGAGGCTCGAAACCAGTAGGTTTGTCGTCCACCACAGGATGTTGCGGGCAATCCCAACGACCAAAGCAGAGATCGATGCCACCGACAAAGGCGATATCATGATCGACAATAACGATCTTTTCGTGATGAGCAAAGAAGAACTGGTTCTTCTTAAACTGATGTGGCGAGCGCTGGACAAAAATGTTCGGGTGCAAGTTAAGCAAGGAAAATTTGGTATACTCGGAATCAATAGGGATAGCGGCTTCCACATTGCGGTAGACAATCACAAAGACCTTGACACCTTCGGCAGCCTTTCGCTGCAGCAGACGATCAAGTCGCCACTTTTGGCTGATACAAGCGGGACGTCTCATGTACAACTCGGGACTCAGCCACCAGTCGTGAATGTAGATGACATCCTTTGCCATGCTGATGGCACGCGAGACGTTCCACATATAGTCTCGGCCGTCCACAAGCCACTGGGCATAGGCCCCAGTGCGAACAGGGGCAAAACTGCCAAACCGATTGTGCAAGTGCCATGGCGTGTTCTTCAGCATCTCCACGATGGACTCCTCGAATTGCTGAATGAGGTGCTGATTCGGGGAGAACAACTTGACCTTTCGCTCCGAGGTAAGGATCTTGAGAGTATGGTGCTTGGCCACAGGGCGGGGAGCCGTCAAGTCGAGATTTTCAACATCATCCTCTCTATCCTTGTCCTTGCCGGTAAGCTCCTTGCCCTTGGTGTTCTTCGATATGAGCTTGAACTTGGGATCAACGAGGTAGACGTCGTAGATATTCATGTTCTCCGGGGACTCAACGCAGACGATATAACTTTGACGCACAAGGAACCATTTCCGACTGTGTCTAGCAATCACCTTTCCTGGCGTCAAAACCCGTCGAAAGTCGAGTCCCTTGGAGGACTGAATGTGCAGGTAGCATTCTTTCCCGTGATAGCTGCCTTCTGCAGCAAGGCGCACACCAAGGGCAGAGAGTTCGAGGAAGCGGCAGAGACGGTTGCTATCCGCGCGGAACATGAGCCAGCGAATCATGTCTTGAAGATACTTTTCCAGCGTCCTCTGTTGCCGCTCAACGTAGCGTCTCTTGGCCACACTGGGGTCCAAAGCACTGGCACCAAGATCGGCCATGGATCCGAGCGCTGAGGTCTTTCGTCGAGCACCCAGGTACGACATGCGTGAGCGCTTTTTCCGAATCGGGGCGTCGATATCGGTCCCTTCCTGAACAGTAGCTTCGCCTGCTGTTAGCTCCCCGGCCGTCTCTTCAGCCCTATCGTTGTTATTAACAAGCGGGTTGGGCGTAAGCTGGCTGTTCGGAGCATCCTCCTCGTCAGACTCATCCAAGCCTCTCACTCCACGAAGGTAGGGAAAGGCAGACAAAGGAAAGCTGGGCTGTTTTGGTCTCGCCCCTTGATGAATGGAAGGCAACTTCTCGTTCCCTAGCGTCAACTTATACTTCCAATGAAGGTTGAGAATGTCCTTGATGGTGCGGTGGATGATCCACTTCATCTGACTTGGACCACTGCCGTACTCGAGCTCGATTTCAAAGAGCCAATGTCTCTCACTGTCCTTCTCTTGGCTTGGCGTACTACTCTTGACTTTAAGCCTCAACTGCTCGAGCAGCACGGGGATCCTCTTGTTACCATGCTCGTCCCGCTGTATCATGCTTGCCAGCATCAAGACAGCGGGGGTAACCGCCCGTAGTTCGGCCATGAGCTCTGCTGATTTGGCGAAGTCAAACTGCTCGTCTGGCTTTTTGCGCAGCAGCTTCAAGGCACCTTTAACTTGTTTCCATTTTTGTGCACTGAACGTACTGGCTCGTTCGGTTCCGAAAAAGGGCCTTCTGGGGCTGATGGCATCCCCATCACTGACACCACCACCGCCACCGCCGAGGGCCGAAAATCTTCTGAAATGATGGCCAACCCTCGAACCTCCTGGGCTTTCGGCTTCTTCCCCGTCATCATGACCACCTCTTGAAGACCATGGCGTAACTCTTCTGGGGGCCCGTGCATTAGTCAGGCGGTCACGACCTTCACCCTCGGATACAACGCCATGGTCGTCTACGCCTCCCAACGTTGCACGTCGCAAAAGCCCTCCAAACCTCCCGTATCCAGCGGCGGCAGTATCCTGGCTCCCCACACCAACTTGAGGCGTGTTGGGCGTCGAATATGAGTCCATTCTGGGTCTCCGGATCCGTCTCTTCTTTCGTTGTTTACCCTTCGCAGCTCCGCCAACCGTCTCATCGGCAGTTTCCTCGGCATCTGCATCAACATCACTACCTTCGTCTGCCGCGCGAGGTATTCTTGGTGGGTTACGGAGTGCTGTTGGCGAACTTGCGGTGGATGGGAGTTCCGAAGGACCGGCACCAGGTGTCCTCGGGGTATGCGATCCGCCAGTGCCTTTCAAGTCCTTGAGTATGGCAATGAAACCCGAGCCACGGAGCTTTCCAAAGGCTTCGCGGGTGTCCCAAGAACCCTGCCTCGAGTGTGCTGTTATTTGGTCTGGCGCGAAGTCATCCTGGGTGAATTGTACGCTTCTTCGGTTTGAATTCGGCAAAGTGAACTCGGATGTGTCCAGTAGGTCGGATGGGCCTGAGGCAGCGGATCTAGGGGGGTTCTCAATATTGAGAGCGGACGGTATGGGCCCATTGCCATATCCAGCCGCAGGGGAGATTGTCGGTCATGGGCAACCCCCCCATTCAAGTAATCTGTAGGCTCGTTCTCGGCAATGCTCTGCCCGCGTAGAGAATTCGGTCTCGTCGCCGGGCGGGTAGCAAAATCGACATGGTCGGACAGCAATGGTGATGAGTGAGTGTGGAGGAGTTTGGCTTGGGGGATGGTGGGCAATTCGTCGAGCGTGCCGGAGGAGAGGGTCGTCTTTGCTTCCTTTCGAGGCGTGCCCGAAGCTCAAGCCGGGGGTTATCCGTCATGCTTCTTTTTCAAGTTGTAGTCTTTTCTGTGGCAAGAAGACAAGCCGGCGGTTCGTGAAGATGATGGGGGCCTCAATAGCGAAACATGGGTTGGCGGGTTGTTCGCAACGTCTCGGATTCGCGCGGCACGGATTGTTCGAGGGGAACGTGGGCGTAGGGGATGACTTCTTCGCTAGATTAGAGATGGTGTGTCGGTACAGCGGCGCGTGGTGCGCGTCAGTGGCATGCGTCTTGATGCAGGTTGTGGAACTGGAGTGGAAGGTTCAACGTTTCCTGATTCAAGGAACCTGGAAGCTAGAAACCAAGAAAGCAACTAAAATGGCCTACTCCTACACTAGTGTTGGCTGGCTAGTAACAGGAGGACGGTAGGACGGCAGGAAGCAGGATGCGATCGATGTGCAGTTTTCAATAGAATAAGGTAAAGATGGGGATGCAACCAAACTTTCAAGTTGCCAGCCAACACCTTCACTTCTTCACCAGGAACATGGCATTCCCACAGCCGCGGGATGGACGTGATGGCACCTGACGTTGGGTGCATCGACAGGGGTGTAACAGCGGGAAATAACCTACAATTTACTGACCCCTTCCATCGGGCCTCACGCCTCTGGGCTGCCCCATGTTTCATCATTTCCAGCAACATCATCCAAATCTCGACAGCCTGGAACTCAAGTGCTGGTTGGGATGGCCTGGCACGCAAAATTGGCCCAATTACGGCCGGGTAAGGTATTCATGCAGCTGCAGCATTTTCCAGTTCAGATGGCAGCTCCCACTTGCTGAGGTCAGTTAGATCATAGGTCCTACGGAGATACAAGGTATCTCTGGTGTATCTAGTCATAGTCATGGAAAACAACATAATGTCACCAAAGCTGTAAAAAAAAATAGGGACATGAAATTGACATACGTAGCACCTTTGCTTGAAGATGTCGCTGAAGAAACAAAGTGGTACCGAAGCTGCGGCTGACAACCCCGGAGCCTCAAAGCCTGGGCCAGTGTGCGCTAGCAAGGGTGCCCCTCCACGACATCCAAGAGGCGGGGTCTCAATTCGCGTCTCAAACGGCTTCAGACGCGTCGGAGCTCCAGAAATCGACATCATCGTTGTATCTTCCCATTAAACATTATCCCGCCGATGCCACCACCATGCCAAGAGAAATAATCACCATTCAGGCAGGCCAGTGCGGCAACAGCAGTCAGTATTTCCATTCTTTATGCCATATCCTGTTCATGTCGTCCCTAGACTAACAGTCCATCTACCACAGTTGGCAGTCAGTTTTGGCAGCAGCTATGCCAGGAGCACGGCATCAGTCAGGACGGCAACCTCGAGGACTTTGCAACCGAGGGCGGCGATCGAAAAGATGTCTTTTATTACCAGAGTGACGATACCCGGTACATCCCAAGAGCTATCCTAATCGATCTGGAGCCACGAGTTATCCACGGCATCCAAACAGGCCCATACAGAAACATATACAACCCTGAGAACTTTTACGTGGGCAAGAATGGTGTAGGGGCCGGAAACAACTGGGGCGATGGGTACCAGACGGGAGAGTTAGTGCACGAGGAGATCATGGAGATGATCGACCGGGAAGCTGACGGCAGTGATTCTCTCGAGGGCTTCATGATGCTGCATTCGATCGCCGGAGGCACAGGCTCAGGCTTGGGTTCCTTCCTACTTGAAAGGTTAAACGACAGATTCCCCAAGAAGATCATCCAGACATACTCCGTATTTCCCGACACGACAAACTCCGGCGACGTGGTGGTACACCCATACAACAGCATGCTCACCATGAGACGCCTCACCCAAAATGCCGATTCAGTGGTTGTCCTCGACAACGGAGCTCTCTCCCACATCGCAGCAGACAGACTTCACATGCAAGAGCCCTCCTTCCAACAAACAAACCAGCTGGTATCGACCGTCATGTCGGCCAGCACCACCACCCTCCGCTACCCAGGTTACATGCACAATGACCTTGTCAGCATCCTCGCATCTCTCATCCCGACCCCACGTTGCCACTTCCTCATGACTTCTTACACACCCTTCACCGGTGATCAAGTCGAGCAGGCCAAGACAGTCCGCAAGACCACCGTTCTGGACGTCATGCGTCGTCTCTTGCAGCCCAAGAACCGCATGGTATCGACCGTGCCTGGCAAAAAGAGTTGCTACATTTCCATTTTGAACGTCATTCAAGGAGAAGTTGACCCGACAGACGTCCACAAGAGTTTGCTGCGTATCCGTGAACGTCGTCTTGCCACTTTCATTCCGTGGGGTCCCGCCAGTATTCAAGTGGCTCTGACCAAGAGAAGCCCGTACATCCCCATGGCACACCGTGTCAGCGGTCTAATGTTGGCCAATCACACGAGTATCGCAACTGTAGGTATTCTCCATATGTTGAAACAGATATCTCCGTATCTAACATTATCACAGCTTTTCAAAAGAATTTACCGCCAATATGATGGCATGAGAAAACGCAATGCCTTCTTGGAGGGCTACAAAAAGACGGCTCCCTTTGCTGACAACCTCAGCGAGTTCGATGAGGCTCGAGAGGTCGTCACAGATCTCATTGCCGAGTACGAGGCCGCCGAAGATGCCAACTATCTCAACCCCGATGTTGGCAACGAAAATCCCGCCTCGGCTGAAGTGGACAAGAGGATGGGTTAGTCGAGGTTCTTTTCACGAGGTGGCGGTTTCCCACAATGTATGAGTGATGGATGGATGGCTATGGTTGTGCAATTTTAGGCGCTCAGGGGTTCCATAGGGACAGGGAGCGAGCATGCATCTGTGTAAGTAACGCTCTTGTTCCTGTTTTGAGATGACTTGAATGAGAGCTACGGATGGAACAATACTATTACATATTCTCACATCTGAAAGACGTCGCCAAATGACCTTCCTGATGTCAGGTCATCATTGTTGCGCTACCTAACACCATGTCACGAGTGACCGTTCGTATGGCTGGCAGACTCTGCGAACGCGGACAATGAGGCCGACACTGAGTGTTTGGCTATTATAAATACCCTTCAGTTCTCGGCTTTTCCTACCAGTGGAATGGCAAGTCAACTCGACCAGCAAATACCAGCGGGCCATGAGTACTCGTCAAGTTGAGTACCGGGAGCACTGGTCCCACGGATATACCCCTTCTCATCACCCACCTCAATATACCCAATCCTATTCTTACGACGGCCGCCTTCCTTCGCGATTTCGCACTTACGCTTCCCATCCGCGTCCCGCCCATGGTTATCAATCACAGCTTGTACCCTCTGACTGCTGCACCATGCTTCTATCACCAAGCTGTGCTCTTATATCCCATTGGACCGCAGTATCCTTATTACCATTCGCCACCATACAGCCCGACCCCTTTATCTGCTTTCCACTCACCATCAACTAGCTACAACATCCCCTTTCCGCCGAGTTCGCTGTCTAGCTGTTATTCAGCATCGACAGAAAATTTCCGTCCACCCTTTTCGCCGAGTCCCCTTTCTGACTACCATTCTCACGGCCGACCCTCCCGGGCGGGGCTTACACAGCGGTTCCTGCAAGCACCGCAACCAAACCATGCTTCATCAAGAATAACGTCGCTGAGAAGACAAGCATCCACGAGCTCGAGATGGGGGACATCAACACCAGGCACGGCACCCCAACTAGCACACCCCAGAGCACGCCATGCAGTCCCCCTCCTCGGGATGAGCGAAGAGGGCATCGGGAATCATTGGAATTGGTGGTTGAAGAAATCAGCGACGAATTATGTCTCAGAAACCCCGGGCGGGAGATATGGCTCGCCTCTAAGCCAACGGAGATCACGCGTTGGCAATGTGGATACAATCTCAACGCAGACAACATGCGTCGCGAGCCCAAGCCCACACGAACCCCCCCAAACGCCTGCGTCAAGCACCAAAGGCCATCCACAAAAGGCGATACCAAGAAGGAAACCAGTCCCGCCCCCAGTCGCAAACGTCAGCCCAGCACAGCCAAAGATTATATGAATGAAACCAGTCCCTCCACCGATGCCAAAGGCCAAGCCAGCACAGCCAAAGATCAAAATCGAAAAACCTATCTGTTTATACAGCAACGAGAAGGGCAATTTTCTAGCGAGGTATATCCACTATCTGGAGGGTATACACGGCCGGGTTTTCTTCAGTGGTGGAGGATGACGAAACAGCTATGTGGCTGGCAGCTGGTTTTGCGCCTAAAGTCAGCGCAATGGCAAAGCTGGGAAAACTGAGGGAAATGCCTGTGGAAGAGGTGTTGGGGTACGTTCAACGCATATACCCAAGTGAGGTTGTAGAGTCAAATAGATGTTAAGACTCAAGGTTGAAACGCAGGAGACGAGATAATTTAGGTCCCCGGTGTATGGGCTGGCTGTGTATCGGGTGCCGTATCGGGTTGGTGATAATGGGTATTATCAGAGCTACCTATATGGACTCGGTAAGCTCAAATCAGTCAGGTTACTACCATTGAAGGGTAGGTATTAGTGTTGTGGGCTTGTTACTGATACGCTTGTGCTTTTTAATTTCTCGCACAGAACAGGCAAAGATGGATGGAATTTGAAGTCATTGGGGGTCTGTTTGAAGTTTCATAATCGCGGTTGGAGGGCTGACAGTCCGGTACTTGCTGGCAAAAATTGTATATCTGGGATATCGAGCACGTTCATAGATATCGTTTACAGAGATTGCCTAGGTAAAGAATAGAATATGATGCAATTACACCTCAATCTGTTACTCTTTCACGTTTAACAATTGTGACTTGCTAAACAGCCCGGTCAAACTCCCACGCCCCGATAGAATAGTTGATATTGCTGGTTGGTAAAACCTGTAACAATTATCAGCTTACACCTTTTTAAGTAGAATAGACCTGTTGGTGACTCTTTCAGGCGTATTAAATACTTTTCAACGCCTATTTGGTGTCCTTAAAAGCGACTTGACTATTTTCTAAGGCGTAGTTCAGCATCAAAGCCTTTGTTAATTTACGGTACTTTATGTTGTCATTTATTTGTCTAGAACGTGGCTCCCAAGGGTGTCCTGCTCTGAGATGAAGAGCTCCATGGCTGCATGTCTTTGGTGTTGACCAGAGCCTCAAAGGAGTCAATGCATATCACATGAATACCCGATAACACAGGTACGGAGGGAAGATGCTCAAACTCAAAGGGACATCATCTCATGTATTTCCAGCCTCATTCCTGGTGATTAACAACAGCACAGCTGACACCAAATCGCCTCACGTAGTCGGACCACTTTACCGCTCGAAACAGGGTGTGCTGGGAGGTCGTTCACATGGCTGACAACCTTTTGGGGGGCAATACATGATGCCGGCCTTTGACGACTATAAGATACGCTTCTCCCTCGTGCTTTCCCTCCTCTCTGGAGAAACCAAACCCTGCGCACGACAGTTCCTGCCTTTCAGGGAGCAGCTGAGCATAAAACAATAATTGTTCCTTTACCTCATCATAATTTTGTCCGAGAAATGGGATAATATTCAAAAGCGGGCTCATAGAGTCATGCTCTCCACTGGCATTATAAAGGACAAGCATCCACCACGGTCAAGAGAGTGGACAATGATCGACGATTTCTACAATCAGTCAAGCACACAATTGATCCCGCAACCCCTCCTCGCAGGCGTAGTCACCATTCGGACACCTTCTATATCGTCTGGCATCTCTAGGAAGACAGCTAAGCAGGCGTCTCGCCAAGCCTCAAGAGAGTCAAACAACACACGCAGCACTGCCAGCAACTACAGCAGAACTGCTTCCCCATACCCGGGATATGCTCAACAGCATTGACCTCGTCCTCACAGCCCCAACCCTATCCGAGATCTGCTCGTCATCATCAGCCATCACCCCTGACTGTTTCCCTTGTTAGTACTTCATACTCGCCCCTCGACTTCGATATCTCACCCGTTTCTCCCTATGCTCAAAGTCCCCGTCCGTTCCGAGCTCTCCAACCAGCGGACACTTGCCATCAACAGGGTAGATTTACCAGAAGGGTCAGGAGAGACAAAGAAATTCATACAACGATGTGCGTGTGCTGGGTCAACCAGTGCCAAGGAAGCCAACGGGGTCAACATCGCCGCCAACTATAATTGTGACACCTCCCGACAACCAAATCCCACCACAAAGTCATCCTTTGACGGACAACAACCGAGATATCAATGCCATGAATTCCCATTTGAACCGCTTAGCTCGTGATGAAACATTGGCGGATCCTATCGAGAGGTACGGTTCGGCGGTCAGGCACGAAAGGTCAATTTTCAACAGTTCAAATTTGTCTCCAGCTCCAATGCCTGCGTTGGAAGCTAGATACGACCCAAAAGATTGGACATACTGGAAGCCAGATGGACAGATCGTAGAGTTCGGAAAGTCTCTACTTATCTCCTGCCAAGAGAGAAGTCTCTTCCTCCTAACTAGATATACGAGCGACCTCGAAGGAATACAGGGGATTGTTGGGGTTGCAGTGGAGGAGAATGATGTACTGGCATGGCAGCTTCGAACATTTTCAGGTGTTTTTCCCGAGACGGTGAATAGTCTTGAATACAAGCACATGCCCGTCGGAGAGGTTCTCAAAATACGCCAGCCGCACCCACCAGCAAGATATCTAGGGCCTATTCCAGGTACTCAAATACCACCTGAACACGAATTTCCATCGAACAAACCCAGAAACATGCCTACTGCACAAAGATGGGCCTCCTAAACGCAAACCTCTACCTTCCACTTCCGGGTCTTTGTCGGCTACGTATGGAAACCCTTATAGAAGTGACACTTGCGGGTCTTACTCTCTACGATGATCCGGCCAGGTCAGAAGCTCAGTTACATTGGGTGGAATTGGAGTGGCAGATTCCATAGACAATATCTCTAATGTTAGAATGTTATATATTCACGAACCTAGAAGTTAGACAGTGATGGCCACCTCATCAATGTCTCCAGGAGGCTAAATAACACTGGTCAAGCTCGACTATGCAGGATATATATTTTTAGTTCCACTGAAATTTAGAGAATTCTTTTGAGATGTTTCACAACCCCTTAATGAGGTGCCTTATGATTTTCACTACTCACCCCTAGCACACCACGACTGTCCTTCATGGTAACCTCACAGTAGGGCTTGTGATATTGACCAAGACATCTAACATCACCCGACAGTCATTTAAGAGGCCAGGGCAATAACGTGACATGTACTCCATTATACATGTTGATAGGAATAAATTGCTAAGCTTGAACGGAAGATATTTCAGATTTGCAGGCACCATCTTATATATCTCCAGCCTGATATCTGGTCACAGTACACAGCACAGCCGACGTCAAGGAGTTCACGCGGTTGAATCACACTCACACATTCGAAACACGGTGTTTGCAGGTCACTGCTCATATGGCTCACAAACATTAGGTTCAGATCAGCAACCATATCTGATCTTCGCCACGCCTGTGAGGATATCAATACTCAGCTTCCCTTCCCGGCTTTCCCTTATTGTTGGGAAATACGAGACAACTATCCCCTGCTTTTTGTGTTGTCTAGGAGCAGACACACCGCACTGCCGATAGCTCGAAGAAAATGGATAAGAAAAGAAAAAGAGGCTGGTTGTCCAAGTTTACTGGCAAGGACAAGACCCAGCCGGTTAGCAACACAGGCCATGGGCCAGGCTACAACAGGCAGGGTACCCATATCCCCTCAAGGAAAGAAGATAACAAAAACTATATTCCCGAACACATCGCCAAAAGCTCAAATGGCCATTCAAGCAGAACTGTCACTCCTGCTCATAGCCACACCCAGCAACACCAACGCTCGGCTCACGATCAACAGACAACCAGGCCTGGCACCCCAACCACGCAAGCATCAACACTTGTGCACTCTTCAAGTACGTCGACAATTCCAAAGAGTAAGCCGGTATCAACGTCTCTGAAATATCCAAATATGTCGACAATCTCAAAGAGAAAGCCAGTGGGAGCAAACCCAGTACCAAATGTCTCGGCAACATACACATCAAGCCACAGTAAACCAGAGTCCACATCGAAACCATCTTCATCCACAGCCTCAAGCTGGACCGAATTCGACCGCACGTCCCACTCCTCCAAAAGTGTCAAGCTCCCCAACAAGAAAGCTGGTCCCACTGTCTATCATTATCTTGGCCGCGAACACCTCCCCTTACCACCTCACCACAAACTCCCAGCCCGCATCTCGAATGTAGAGATAATCAACTGGCGACCAATACACAGCACCTCTCCGCCTGCGCCTCACCAACACCCGATAGAGTTCAGGGCGATTGAGATCGTAGATAATCCCGATACCTACCCAGAATCTGGTTTACGGCTGGCGGGGGTTCAGAATGCACCGGATTGGCAGCCGTAGTTACGGATGGGATTGGTTTGGGCGTTGGAAGTACAAAGGTGGAGAGTTTTATCGGCCAGGGTATTATTTGATGGATGTTGAGCCTGACGAAAGGTGCAAGACGGTTTAGTTGTGTTATCATGAGTTTGAAGACGGAGATGTGAGGAGCTGAGATGGGTTGGGGAGATATGCAGTGGTGGGAGAGGAGGTTGCATGGCTTTCGCCAGTATCTTAATAGAGGTGGGAACTACTCCATATATTCTGAAAGCTCTCTTGAGGATTTCGGATCCAGTATAAGCCTTGTATCTAGACTTTTCCGTATGTTTCGTTTTGTTATTGGAGTGAGACTGTTGCGGGTTGACATTGTCTGAGAGAAAATCAGTGTCAGACCTCGAGCACACGTTCATGACATGCAGCAGATCACCGGTCTTGCCAGATATTCTGTGCATTGTCGATCGTGAGGAAAGTCAGAGCTGGAACCGCTGGTGTTTTCTCAGCCATGCTGTAGGTACATCCGACACAAACAAGGCCGGGTGGGCCTGGTAGCTCGATACACAGACTCGGTGAGCACAAATGATGTTTATGTTTGTGTGGCGGTAGCATCTAATATCCAGAAACATCAAGCAAACCGTTTCAAAGAGAGATGTGATGGCAGATGCGGCTTATAAGCTTGGCAGAGAAGCTGGCGCTGCAGCTTCTCTTTGGCGGTGATGGTTCTGGCCTTGGGTGATCGGTTGAATTGGGTTTTACGAGTGATGACAGACGCACTCGGACCCCCCCCCTGCAAGGCCGAGGCCACCTGCTGGGGAGATTGGCCAATCAGGAGATGATGATTCTGACCCCCCTGTCAAACCCCCCTGATAACACGAGTGTCGAGCTCGTTGCCGATTGGTTCAGATCAAAATGCACGGCCGGCCGGGCCCGACGCGATCCAACCACCTGCACTTCCCGAAGCGTGAACACCACAGCACGACCACTTGTTCAGTCAACATTTTGATATTTCCCTTTTGGCGACAACCCACAGCAGCAACATGCAGCAGAACGCATTCCAGCCGGCCGACCACAACGACCCGCGCCATGCTGTGAGCACTGGCAGTTGAAAGGCTGGTTGAGGCCTGGATGGTGGGAACAACATCGATGTGGCGTCCCCAGCTCCCCATGTCGGCTTATAATTAAAGAGACTAGCGCCGTGCCATCCCCCCTCCCCATGCCCCTTCTGGGAGCATCGCATCGCCCACATCCCTTCCATCCTCCTCCCTCGTCGCCTGTGATTCCACTCCTGATTCCCACAACCTCCTCACACACTCACTTGTTTCTTTCGGTTGCTCTGGTGCCGCTCCCCCGTTCATCGCGAGTATTTGACTCCATTCCCCAGGCCGTATCCATTCGTTACTCCGGATTCCTCCCCAGTCAGTCGTTCATTCACCATCTCATCCTGGTATAATCCCAGCCTTCCAGAGTTGTATGATACCACCCTCTCGTTCAAAACCACATAAAAAAAAACTCTCATCCCGTCCGACCGCCATTCCTCTTCGCGACACGCTCGATTCTCCATCGTAATCCACCATAATCAATCGCCAAAATGAAGTCCTTCTTCCTCCCCGTCGCCGTCCTCGTCTCGGCCGCCATGGCCCAGACCACCAGCGTCTGTGGTGCCGACTACATAGTCGAGGCCTGCCTCGGCTCCGAGAAGGCGAAGCTCGCCGCCTGCGGCCAGAGTGACTACGACTGCTCATGCGCCGCCTGGCAAGCTATCCTCACGTAAGTTTCGCTGTGTCACCCGCCATCTTGGTGATATTCTAGACAGTATCTAACCTCCTTCCGCGCGTACAGCTGCTACAACAACTGCCCCAACGACTCTCGTCTCCGTAAGTTCTCAACCCGCCCACCTTGCCTCGAACGCGTAATCTCTGTATTCATACTGACTCTCCGTATCAGACTCTGACGTCGGCCAAAAGGACATCTTCTGCGGCTACGCCTCCCAGTTCCCTTCCAAGGCCACCGCTGCCCCTTCCGCCTCCAAAACCAACAACGTCACCCCGACCCAGACCCCACATCAGAACCAGGTTGAGGATGACGCGAGCAACACTGACGACGAGTCCGGCACCTCCACCTCCACCAGCTCCCCAGCCACCAACACCAACAGCGCTGCGTATCTCGCCCTGAACGCTGGCGGTGTCCTCGCCGCCATCGCCGGTGTTGTTGCTGTCGTGCTCTAAGCGAGAGGAAAGTTTGGCAAGCTATTTGCCGGGTGTTGTGTGGTTCTTTTTGGGGAAAGCCTTCTTTGGAAAAGCGGAATCTGTGATCCGAGCTTCTTTTGGATAATCATCTGGCTTGGATTACGCAAAAGTTGAGACTGGCATTTATTTGCGATTTTCAGCTTTGGTTCTGACCGCCTCTTTGTGAGGGTCAGGTTCCCATTTTTCTTCTTTCTGGATTCAAGTAATGCTTAATTTTTTGTGTGTGGTGTTAGCGTTAATGGCTTTGAAGATAGTAATGAACTTGGGTTGTTATATCGGTCGAAGATTTGGTTCTTGTTTGCTGAGCGATGTTTTCATCATCGGATGGATGATGAGCTGTTCACTGACATTGATTCTTGCAGTTGGGGAGAGAAAGACAGGTTTGCCCCGGTGATGGAGTTTGTCAGTTCCACCTGAGCCGAGCCATTGGAGCAACTTTAAGGTAAGATCAGATGAAACAAGCTGTCACTGACAAGTCAAGGAGTAACAACAAGCCATTTTAAAAGGTTGGTGAAAGACAGAACTAACACTGACAACTATCAAGACTAACTTTTCCTGACCCAAATCCAATCTCAGACCAACCACCCCAACCCCAACCTCACATCTAAGCACTCTCCTCACCCCCCAACTGCGAAAACCCCTTCCTCCCCTCCGACTCCTTCCACCCCTTCGCCACCCCGCTCCCAGCCGCGCTCGCCCCCGCCAGCTTCCTAAACGCCGACCGTCCCGGGTCATCCTCACTCCCGGGCTCAGGCAACGGGCCCTCCACCGTCCCGCTCCCCTCAAACCCACCCTCTGTCAGATTCTTCCCATGCGGCTTCCCGCCCCTCTCGGCACCGGTATGAATCAAATTCTCGACATAAGTCGGTGCCTTGCCCCCCTGCCCCTCGGGATTGCTCACAGTCTTTGACGACTCCGTCTTGGTCGACTTGGAGCGCATCCCCTTTTGTCCGCACTCCGACTGGGACGATTTGGACATTTGGGCTGATTCCAAGGAGGCGGAATTGCTAGAGGGGCGGCCGGTGGTGCCGGAGAGGGAGGATTCGTACTCGGATTGGGAGGCTGGCTGGCCGGGGGAGGAGCCGGAGGAGGTGGGGTTTTCGGAGAAGGCGCCGCCGTGACGGTGGGATTCGGCAGCTAGGGAGGAGGGGTTGACGGGGCCGGCTGATTCTTGGGTTATGGGGGCTGAGGAGCCCAGAGTGACCTTGGGGGTGCTGTTAGGGGGGTGGTTGTGTTTGGGGGAAGAAGAGGGGGGAAGGGACTTGCCTTGGTGCCGGCGCTTGGTGCTTTGTTGGGGGACATGATTAATGATTTGGTTTATTTGGACTTTGCAGAGGAGTTTGGTTACAGAGCTGGAGATGATTGCAGATAGGAATTGGGTTCAGGAGAGAGCACAATTCCTATTTAATCTTCTTTGGCATCTTCTTGAACTGTGGAAAGACACGGGTGATGTCATTCGGTCACCCTCTCTGATGTCATGTTGGCATTTTGTATCCCGTTTCTAATTGAGGTGAATATATGAGACGCGGGATTCAGATAGGTTCGGAGCTTGGCTGGGCGGGGAGCTCCTCCAGTCCATGACTTCATGATGAGCTCTTGTTTGCAGCCAATCTGTGTTATGTAAGGAGGCACAGGGAGCCTGGCAGCTTTTGTGAGAGGTGGAGGGGAGGAAAGGGCGGCTCTATGGAATGTAGCTTTGGTATCTCAATGAGATCTACCTTACCCTGCTGTTGCCCACTCTTCAGAGGTATTGTATGGCGTCTGTTTCATCCTTTTCAGGGCATTCTGGAGCTGTCTTTCTTGAGAGTTTAAAAGTGTCTGGACTAACTCCTGGGCCACACGGATTGGAAGAGTCTTCTCTGGTCAGCAAATGAATCTTTCTGAATGAATTTATGTGTTTCTCAGTTAGATATAGGGACAACATGTCGTGTAAGCGAGTTCTAGGATCAAGGGTTAGGGTTGCCAGTGTCATGTGCTGGACGTGCGAAACAAGATCAAGAGCACTGGATACTCGGAGACTGCGATCATATAAGAAAGCAAGCCTAGACCTCGGACACGATTGCATGTAGAGGAGAAACTACGGACCTATCCTGCTGCATCGCAAGACTGGCTCGGTACCCAAGAAACTCGCCGGTGAGTCAGCAGCTGGCCAGAGGCGTGATTCTGGAATCGGCGCCACCTTTGGTTGTTCCCGCCCGCCCAAAGCTCCGACCGACCATCAGCGCATTTGCCCCGCGATTCTTGCTGCTCTTTTTCCCTGTCGAAAACTCATGGGGTCCGACCTTGGGCCCCGAACTCACCTGTGTTATTGAAAAATTCATAGGGATTCAGGTTGTGGCCATCAAGCCGGTGTCTCCGTTAAGTTGATGCCGAATTTACAAACCGCCACATCGGTTTTATTCACTCTTGCCCGCCGCCCTCCACTCGATCGACGTTTTGCGAGGCCGACGCATTGACACCAGTCGACGATTTGACTACTCCCATCTACCTTCTCATGTATGCACAGGGCCCACTCACCCTCATGCCACTCTCCTCTGCCAGCAATGGCAACTGACATTTCGCCTCCAAGTCCCGATGAGCTTCGGTTTGCTTCAGAGCAAGCCTTAGCCAAACCACCCGACGAGCAGCAGCCGGTTGCTCCGGCCACGACATCAAACATGAACTCGACGTCATCAGCCCCAAGCAAGCCTCCGCCGGCGGCACCAGCGAACCACTCCCCCGCGCCTCCCCAGGCTCCCCCATCGGCGAGCTTTGATACAAGCCGACGACAGACACAGAGTCCCTTACACGCTCCGGGACAGCCTCGGAAGAGCCAAGGGGCAAGAAAACAGCATAGAAACCAGAGAAGGGCTGGCCCGTCGTTTGGCGACTCTCATATGGACGACGAGGACGCCATGGCTGAGATTAGAGCCCTTCGCAATACCTCCAGCCGCCGCGGCCAAACATCCATCACACATCTAATGAATTATGCGCTTCCACCACGACCATATGAGGGTTCGCACGCGCCTTACTCCCGATCCTACCGGAGAAACCCTGCGTGGGGCGTAGGCTCGGGATATCACGCCGTGGACAAGGCCCGGTACATCCATGCGAACTACCGCTTTGTTGTGACCCCCGAGGGCGACTACACCGTCCAAGCCTCCGACGCCGACCAGCACATCGAGTGGACCGACGTACTTCAAGTCATTGCATCTACTGAATCGCAACAGACTTCGTGCCCCATCTGCCTGTCTGAGCCGGTTGCGCCGCGCATGGCAAAGTGCGGGCACATCTTTTGCCTGCCTTGCTTGATGCGCTTCATGAACACGACCGTGGGTGATGGAACAGAAACGAAGCAGCCCAAGTGGAGGAAATGCCCAATCTGCGAGGACAGCATCCAGTTATCTGATGTGCGACCGGTGAGGTTCTATGCCGGGCAGGAAAGCCCTCTGCCTCGCCCGGGAGACGATGTGATTTTGCGCCTGATGGCTCGGAACCCCAAAAGCACGCTTGCGCTCCCTCGAGAGAGCGGCGCAGAGGTGCTCGAGTCTGGCGAGGATATCCCCTGGCACTGGGCGGCCAACGTGCTGGATTATGCGAGAATCATGAGGGGTACGGGCGGTTACATGGCGGAGCAGTTTGACCGAGAAATCGAAGAGCTGCTCAAGCAGGAGAAGGAGGACGAGCTCTTGTATCAGGAAGACACAGAATGGACGCAAAAGGCCGTCAGGGCGATCAACAATGCAAAGGAAAAGATGATTGGGCTTGGGGAGTCACAGTCGCGGACTTCGTCATCCAAGGCCCCTGAGCTGGTGGTGGTTGCGCCGGAGCAGAAGCCTCAGGATCAAGGATTTTACTTCTATACATCGCCACCACACCTCTACTTGTCGCCGCTTGATATCCGGATTCTCAAGACAAAGTATGGTTCTTTCTCGTCGTTTCCGTCGACGTTGCTACCTCGAGTGGAGCACATTTCTACAGGGCACGTCGTCGACGACGCGCTTAGGAAAAGAGCAAAGTACCTGGGCCATCTCCCCCAGGGGTGCCTGATTAGCTTTTTGGAGTGCGACTGGACGGATATTGTCCCCTCGGAGGACCTCGCCACTTTTGCAGAAGATATCGAGCGCCGGAGGAAGCGGAACCGCGACAAGGCCGCGCAGGAGGAGCGCGAGCGGATCCAGGCCGAAAGGATCGAAGCCGCTCAGGTGCGCGGGGCTAGGCGGCAGCTGGGCGTGTTGGATGAGGACATCACGGCGGTTAGGTTTGGCAATGCGGGATTTGTGGACGAGGAGTCGCCGGTGAATATGGATGATTTCTTGCCGTTGGGGGTAACGGCAGCTACTTCGGGGACGTCACCGCCGAATCAGAGGAATGGGTTTGGCACGCTGGGGGAGATTAGCACGAGCCCGTCCGGGAGCAGGACGGTGTGGGGGACTCGTGCTGTTGCTGGTGAGCCTGTGTCGGCGGCGGTTCCTAGGCCGAGGGTGGATGATGGGTGGTTGAAGGATGATGCGGTCTTGGAGACGTTGGGGGCGGTGGATATGACTTTTCAGATGGAGGCCATGGGGATTGCCGAGGCCGGTGGCCCGTCGGGCAGTGCTACGGGTGCTCCTGGTGGTGGTGGTGGTGTTGGCGGCGGCGGGAAGAAGAAGAAGAAGCAAAAGATTACGTTGATGAGCACGGGGGGCAAGAGAGGGCTGTAGGATGGTTTGGGCTTGCCTGCCCTTAAGTAGAACTAAAGTGATGATGAGGCAAGCTATATTACAAAACATCAACATCCAGAGACCTGTGAGATTTGAAAGCATAGCCACTGGTGTTGTCTGGTTGGGTGGTTGGTCGGTCGGTGGGCGATATGACAGCGGACAACCTTTTCATAAAATTCGCATTTATATAGCAAATAACGGGCAAAGAGTTACATCCCGATGACTTACTTGCTTTCTATCACCCTGGCTTAATCTCCACTCAAAATTGGTTTTAAAACGACAGTTTATTATAGGAACCTTGTAGGTAGCTACCAGCATACAACCAAACCAGACATTAACGGGGCATGACCTTGAAAACACAAGAAAAGTCCCCATTGAACGACCCTGAGTAGAAACAACCGGGCCTTGGATATCGCGAACCACTCAAACAACCCACCACACTCAATCAAACTTCCTCCCACAATCGAAAACAAAAACATAACCCATCCCGTTCTTTCACCTTGTTGTATATGAAACAAGTCCCCCAAACTATAGACGAGTCTTTCGTTCCTTTATCCACCACACACTCCACCACCAACGATGACACCGACGCAACACAGGCAAAGAGCCCCATCAGAAGACCTCGTTCCGGATTATAACAATCCCGACCAATGCTTTTCTGAAACAACGAATGCCCTCAGCCTATGACATATGTGCGGAATATCCACCTTGCAAACCAGGGGGGGAATCATGAGAGAGAAAACAGGAAGATAGGAAAGTAGCAGCCCCGAGCAAGAAAACAAGCTGATTTAAACGCCCAAGTCCTGAATCAAAAGACACAACTCTGCTGAAAAGAGGCTTAATGCCCGGAGAACTTCTGCTTCAGCTTGGCGAAGAAGCCGCTAACTCTGTTCTTCTTCTTGTCGGCCGTGGTGGTCTTGGTGAGGGTGGCATCAGCACCCGTGGCCTCGGCAACGGCGGCATCCGTGGCCGCGGCATCAGCAGCAGGTGTGCTTCCATTGGTAGCGGGCTTGGCCTCCTCGGCGGTGGCCTCGGTGGCAGTGGTGGTGGTGGCTTCGGTGGTAGTAGCGGGAACGGCAGAAGTGGTAGCCTCACCCTCAGCAGCAACCTTGGCCTCCTCAGCCTTGGTCTCCTCAGCCTTGGGCTCCTCAACTTTGGGCTCCTCAACCTTGGGCTCTTCAACAGCTGGGGGGAGCTCAACAGCCCTGATGGACGCAGGCTCAGCAGCAACTGGCTCGGCAGCCGGGGCAGCGTCGACAGCCTTAACCTCCTCAGCGGCAGCAGGTGGCTCAACGACCACAGCAGTATCGGCAGCCGGGGCAGCGTCGACAGCCTTAACCTCCTCAGCGGCAGCAGGTGGCTCAACGACCACAGCAGTATCGGCAGCCTTGGTCTCCTCGACGGGCTTTGGCGCATCAATCTTGAGGGGCTCTGGCTCGACAGCCTTGACCTCCTCCAAGAGTTCGGCCTCGACCTCCCTCTTGTCCTCAACCGCAGCAGCATTGCTAGCAGCCTCTGGGCTCTCGCCAGCCTTCTCCAAAGACTCCTTGACCTCAACAGGAACAACATCGGCGACAACCTTGGTCTCTTCCTCAATCTTCGCGGCAGCAGCAGCCTTGGCCTCCTCTTCCGCCTTAGCTTCCTCGGCCTTGATGTACGCCTGGGCCTTGGCGGCAGACTCCTCAATGGAATCTGCGGGCTTCACCTCCTTCAAAAGCTCAGCCTCTACAGCAGCCTTCTCCTCCACAGCAGCAGTGTTGGCCGCAGCCTCGGGGCTCTCTAGAGCCTCCTTGAGGGACTCCTTCACAGGGGCAGGAACATCAGGGGCCAGGCTCTCCACAATCTCCTCTTGCTTGGCCTCAACCGCTTGTTGCTGGGCCTCGGTGATGGTCTGCTGAACAGACTCGGGAAGGATCTCCTTGACAGAATCGGGAAGGTTGGTAGCGGCATCGGTAGCGACTTCGGTCGCCTTCTGGGTAGCCTCGGTGGCAGTCTCGGTGGCCTGGGTAGTGACGTTGGCAGCAGCCTCGCTCGCCTTCTGGGCGGCGTCGCTAGCAACCTCGGTAGCCTTCTGGGCGACGTCACTGGCAACCTCGGGAGCCTTGGCGGCGTAGTCAGCAGCAACATCGCTGACCTTGTGGGCGACCTCGGTAGCAACCTCGCCGGCGTTCTGGGCAGCAACGACGGCAGCACCGAGGAGAGCAGTGCCGGCGGTGGCAGCAACAGCGGCGACAGTCTCAGCCACTGACTTGTCGTTCTCCGACTTGTCGGTGCCCACACCCGCAGTGCCCTCGGAAGTGGAAGGGACCTCGGGAACCTTCTGAAGAAGCTCCTCCTCGACGGCAGCCTTCTCCTTCACCTCCTCCTCGATGGCGCTGGCCTCAGGCTCAACATGGGCCTCTTCTTGGCTGTGCTTGACGATTTCGGGCACCTTGCCTTCCAGGGGAGCCTGGGCGGCAAGAGTGGCTGTGGTGGAGTCGGGACCAACGGTGTTAATGGTGACATCATTAGCGCCAGCGATTGGCAGGCTGGACTCAGGGATCATGGTGCTGGTGACTGGGGGAAGCTCGGTCTCAATGCCGGGAATACGATCAGACTTCTCGTACGACTCCTTGTCCAAGGTGACGTGGCTGTCGATGGCCTCAACTCTGGCAGCGCTGGGAACTGGCTCACCAGCCGGCAACGAGATGGGGTTGACGGCGCCAATGGCGGCGGGGAGGGGGTCAACCTTGACCTGCTTGTCGAGCTCGGCAAGAGGAGTCTCGGGATAGGTGCCGGGAGGCGAAACCTCGGCGGACTTCTGCTCCTCAGCCAGAGCAACAACCTCCTCCTTCTTCTTCTCCCCCGCGGGAGCTGTGGGCTCCTTGTCGGCCGTCAAGGGGACGACAGCGGCCAATTGAGCGGTGGTGGATTCGGGGGTGACTGTGTTGATGGTGGCCGTGGCGGGGCCGGCCTCTTCTACCTTGTCCGCCATTATTTGCTTGGGTAATAAAATGTTGTTTTCGTTGCCTTCGTGATCCTTCTCCTGAGGCGCCGTGTGGTCTGTAGTCCAAACTCCGTCGACGACAAACTGGACGAGGGAATAATGTCAGTAAAAGAACAGGTTGAGCTGGTAAATTGAGGCGCTTGGAACAAAAGTTAAGCTAACAGCGGGGATTCAATTCAACTTAAAAGCAGCACTGGGGAGAGGGGCAGTTCCAGCTGGAGACCTGGAATGCAAGCTGCAAGGCCCCGGCTCCTGGTCCTGGTCCTGCGTCACAACCTCGAAGCGGTATTGGATCATGGGACTCGCATTTGCGCTTATGGGTCCCACTGAAGATACCGCTAGTCTCGGTTGCAACGCTCGGTGCTCATCCTGCGTTGATGCTCCGGAGTAGGAGCCAGCTCACAGAGATGGCATCAGACACTGTCGGTATATGTCTGGCAGAAGCCCACCAGACACAGTCCAACAAACCCAGCCCGCGACCGCCAGCCAAATATTGTCATTGCCCCCGTCCTATACAGCATAACATGTGCCAATTGGAGTGGGGTGACATCTGCTGAGGTTTTGGAGCCCCCTCTTGGCGGGGCGATGGAGCGGTTGCTTGGCTGTCGGTGGGTGCATCTCGGTGTGGGTGGAGATTCACAAGCACAACTTGATCTCCCTTCACCTGCCGTCCCCGCTCCGGCTGATTGCGACCCCCGCCATGCCTTCGAGACCAATGCTGGTAAAGAAAAAAGCCGTTATGATATTGGGAGCAGCATGGCGTCTTGCAACGGTTTCTGAGAATGGAAAGAAAAAGAAATGCGCGGCTGGGGAGAGGAGGCAAGGGTGACGAGGATGATGATATGCTGGAGGGGGTAGACGAGGGATCGGAGCAAGCGGAAGGAAACAGTCGTACACACCTTGTAGTAAATCTTTTCCGAGGTCTTCGGTAGCGTTACGGTCTTCTGGAAGATCTGTCCAACGCGGTCAAGCTGCTCGCTCTTGCTCCAGTCGTCAAAGGTGCCTGTCACGTAGACTTCCTCGGCATCATGGGGCCTAGCAATTGAGGAGGGGAAACAGTTAGCAAGCTGTCGAACATATAGGCGGCAGAATCGTCATGGTGGCGTCAACCGGGCGAAGCTTCGAGCGCGGCTGGATTTGCGAGTCAGAGAGTGCTCGCAAGGATGCAAGCTCTCTGAGCGCAATTCGATGCGACCGGTCGGCGAACCGCGACATGATGAGTTGCTCTCAATCTGTTGATGGAGACTGCCATTGCCCAGAGCAAAATAGAGGAGATGGATGATGCATGCGATGAGACTAACCACTTGAAGGTGAAAGTGCCCATGGCTGCGGGATGCTGCTGATTGGTGAGAACAGAGAGTTCGCTTTGACGGTATCCGTGGGTATAGATAGTATCAAGCAGCGGGCGGTGTGTCGAATAAAAGCAGGAAGCAAGTAATTGCTGGCGTTTTTCGCAAAGGGAGCAGGAGCAGGAGCAGGTGGAAGTTGAAGCTCGGAGCCGACGGGGGTGATGCTGTGTGGAAGGGGCTTGTTGAGGTGTGTCTCTCGAGCTCTCTCGGTCGAGAGAAATGCTTATGCGGCGATACGGCACACAGACCTCCCGTCGCTCTAGCTGATAGGCAAGGGTAGCTCAGTTGATTGGTGGGGGTCGCGCTGACGTCAATTAGATTTGAGAGAGGTGGAGAGAGAGAGAGAGAGACAAAGGGCCGCGCAACCAGGAAATGGAAAATCTGGGGATTTTAGAGACAAACGGGAGCTGAAGTCTATTTTGAGCTGCCACCAAATCGTTATCGCAAATCCTTGAACGATAGGGATAGGATAATCAGCGTCAATTTAGTTATTTTTGCAGACAGCGGCGCGCAATCACATCAAACAGTCAACAAATGGAAGAGGCTGGCTCACTCGGGTCAAAGGTGAAAGCTGCGAATGCGCTAGGGTCCAATTGCGCACGCCAAGGCAGGCCACCCGGCCACGTCCGTTGAGGATCACGATTCTTGGCCTAGGTACTTTGTAACCCCCACCGCCGTCCCCTACCCATCCTTTCTCACACGTGGATGTTCACCGGCTCTAGGTCTCTCGTTGGGGAAAGAATTTTTCAGCCTTTTGTCTCGGCTCGTTGCTTGTTGAAGCCATCCTGTGCACAAAGATAACGCCACCACGACCTTGTACGGCACAGAACCATCACATTGGTGTGGAAGCTTCGAGCTCAAAACTGTCAAACCGAACCTCAAATTTGTTACGCACGTCATCCCACCAAAAGTGTTTGCAAGAGTGGCAGCCATGTCAGCCTATTTTAGCACACCGACCAGGTACCTGGCAGCCTGGCATGACATGCACTCACTTACACACAACCGACCACATGTAACCCTAACCCAACCTGCCAACGTGGACAACAATACTCCCTAGACATACATATGCACTCCCAGTTCGCGACTTGGCAGACATTATTGATCGATCTGCATATCATCCCTCATTCACATTCCATCTCACTATCCCTATAAACACTATCCCGTGCCGAATAAGTTCGTTGTGTGTGGCTTCCATTTTTCATCGTCCACCTCCTTTCTACAGCAGTCCCTGCCGGTACCAAGGAGCCAGACCAACAAAAAAAAGTGGTGTTTGAGAACGCCAGTTCCATGCCAACCAAAAAGTAAACAATGAGATAAACGGTGCCAGAGAGAAACAAAGGTTGCAGCAATGAGGATAAACAATCCACCTGCAAGCTCTTGCTCTCGGACCAAAGAATAACACAAAACAAAAGCACCTATATATCCAAACTCCAGGAATTCGTTCATAAAAAGAACGTGATCATGACCCAATTTTTTTTTTAAAAAAAGAACAACCAATCCCTTCCAAGCACTTTTGTCAGTCAGAACAAAAGCTTCAGTTTTATGAACCCGTCTTTTACCACCCAAACTGCTCACAATGCAGTTCAACCCCTGGCCCATCCCCCTGGATCAACCTCGCGGTAGTATCCCTGACCACTCTCATCAACCCATGTGGCCCGCATGCAGCCACCAGAACCCGTTGGTTAGCCGGTGTGCTGTTGACAGCGTCCCTGATCAACGAAGCCGCATCTGGACGACCCTCCTTGATTGGGTGCTCAAACCGGTGCGCTGACGCCGAAGTAACAATCTCTTTGCCTGACGATCGGCTGCTCTGATGCTCGACATGGGTCTCGATGGCTTCGTGCATCTCCTTCTCGGGGTCCCTATCCCCCAGTGGCCGTCGGTGCGTGGGAACTGGAATACGTGGCTCGTTCTTCTCCGTATCGGTATCAATAGGTGACCGTGGCGGTGAGGCCACTTCATTATCAGAGGATGACGACCTGGATTGAAGGAGCGGGTTCTGCCCGTCGCTCGGAAGGTCGGAGGTCGAGATGGGGGATCGGGTCACGTAGAGGGTGACGTTGACTTTGGTTGAGTGAGCGTGGGTGCGCAAGAGGTCGAGCTGTTCCTTGAACCAAGAGAGGTTCTCTGTTGGGTGGTTGAGTCAGTCCAACTGCTCTGGCATAGAGGTAAACAGGACAAGCTTACCGTGCTTTTGAACTGCCCAAATAAAAACAATATTCTTGTGAGTCTCCTCTGTCATCCGCTCCAGAACATTCACTGCCAAACCAAATGTGAAGGTAGCACCGCCACCGCCAGCAATAAGCACAATCTTGTCGAACTCCATGGGGTCAGGGAAGGTGCCATAAGGACCATCAACCGATGCCTTTACTGAGACACCAGGGTTGGCAACGGCATAGTTGTGAAGATCTCGTGTGAAGCCATTCTGAGCCTTGACGGTGAACTCGACAGGCGATCCGCGGTGGATGGTAAAGGGGTGTGTCTCCAACTTCCGAATAGCGGGCAACCAGATAAAACAGTGCTTTCCTGGTTCAGCTCTTGCCGGAACCTTCTTGAGAACGACCTTGGTTCCCCCGTTGGGCAGAGGGTAAAGAGTGGCTTCGTTGTTGACACTGTTGTACAAGACTCGAGACATCCTGATGATGCGGTCGGCGACCCACATCAATGCGGCAAGGAGTGTGATGATGTATGCTGGCTTGGTGAACTCGGGCTGGTGGAAGCCTGTTGCAACGATGCCCACAATCCAGCAGGTAATGTGAGTGACATAAAACAACTCATACCAGAAGCGCCGAAGAATGACCGCTGCGAATACGACACTGAGGAAAGCAAAGCCTGCAACGATGGCTGCGATCTCACCCGGTTCGGCATACTTGGTCAGCAGGCGGCCTTGGCTGTTGAAGAAGGCCGTGTACATGGCTCCGTGCAGAACCATCTGCGTAAACATGGTGTAGCCTGCGATTTGGTGAAGGCAGTTGAGTCGTTCATATGAGTAAGCTGTGAGAAAAGCAAGGGGCGTGTTCTTGAGGGCTAGGAAGACGAGGAATGCGAGGTTGACCAGAGCCATCCTACCAGACTGTCAGCATACATCACGGTACGTCATGGAGAAGGAAGCCATACCAGCCAAATCGTGCCGCAAAGTTGGACAATGAGTTGGTCTCGACGTGAATGAACATGGCCATCAGATTGAGTGCCAAGTAAACAATAACCAGAATTGCATGCCCGGCCGAGCTGAAGCCAGGAACCTTTCTGACCAGAAGGTTTCTGGTGAGTCTGAGTATAGTTTCTCGTCAGTCAACTAGTACTCAGCCTGCAGAAACTCTCCCTTCATACCTTGAGGTTGCCACGAAAGGACGGCCAAACATTCCCAGAGGCTTCTTGGATCTCTCCAGCTTTACCACCAGCAGACGTGTCCAGTGGAAAAGCACAAAGACGGCGATCAAGCCACAGATCCCTGCCGCATAGTATCTCATTGCCTGTTCTGACACCTTCTGCCTCGCGGCGAACATGGCATAGTAGGCAGGGTTGCTAGGCCCATGGCTAGCCTGGCCACCGGCGGCCGTGCCTCCATGCCCGCCTCCGGTCGCTGTACTTGGGGACGGTCCGGCCATCACGGAGCTGAGGTTATAGGAGCAAGTGGAGTTGCTGAGAAGGCAGCACTGGGTGAGGTTGCGGACGAGACAAAGATAGAAGCAGGGCTGGGCAGGATGGGCGGGCAGCAACTGCTTTATACAAGCTAGGGGTCTTCAGCAAAGCAACAAGGAGCCAGGGGCAAGGACGAGAGCAAGAACCGAAACTTGAAAAGAAGGACCGTGGTCTAGACCTTCCTTGAGTAACCCATATTACTCTGGGAACCTGGTATATATCTAGTCTTCCCGCAAGCCATCGTGGCCAGCAGGGCTCCCCGCCAGCTTGTTGAAACGGGGGAGGTTGAGTGGAGCGTGTCAAGTCGGTACTCCCATATACGGAGCCGACTTGGATGAAAACATGGTAGGGGGGCATTTAGACTACCAGAATGAAAAGTTGATTGCTTCAGCGTCACATGGAGGAGCTTGGTAGCTACAAGCCAGGCGTCCACGGCACTTCGAACTCCACCATATCCCTGCCAGACTGGTGATGGCAAGTTCCGTCCGTCTTTGGTCACCATGGCTGCCAGCCGGCCTCCAGGACTGCCTGACGACCTCCACGATGCTCTCACGCTGGGGAGTACGCGGCGCTTCACCGGCCGTGTCGTCAAGCCCCAAAGGGGTGGATTCTGCGGGCAGGCGATGCGGGTCCCGGGGCTGGCATGCAGGGCCGGCGGGCGTGTGTTCTGTGACAACCTTTTCGGGGGGGTTGAGATATTGACGGTTTCCCATCTGGGAATTTGGTCAGACTGACAAAGCAGCAACGCCTGTCCCCAGACAGATAGACGAGGCCCTAGAGGGCACAACGAATGTGGAACGCCAGCCATGGCCTGGCATAGATGGGCTACAACTGGAAGGGCCATCGTCATTGGCGCAACGGTAGTATCAGCAATCTGGCTAAAAAGGGAGGATAATAACTGGCCCACTAGAGCAAATCCCGCCTGACCGTTGAAACTCGTGCATCGAATGCGTAGCCGTGAGGGAGCGAGTCCCAGGAAAGGCCCCTGGCTGCCATCCAATATCTACCCCACAAACTCGCAAACGCACGCAATATCTGTCAATATCAACGCCGACCCTCTATCAGGTTTTGGCAACCTCGTCCGGGCACCGGTCTGTGGGGCTCCGGGAGACGAGGCCTGTTGCTGGCTCTCTGGTTCTGCCGCACTGCAGGCGACCATCACCGACCGCTGCACCACACTCCAGCTTGCAGGCCCTACCTCCACCAAGCAACATGGAGGTGACGGTTCGGTCTTTCGCCACGTGAGACGCGGTTGAGATAGGCGAGGACGTAGCCGAATTGACCGCGTCAGACGCGAGAAGCAGTAGCAACTGAAGCGAATATGACATATCTCTGTGTCTGTGTCTGTCCCGCCTCCCTGAGAAACAAAGGGCATAAGGGAAGGGAAGGGCAGAGATGGAAAAGAGGGGCGTGTCCGTCTATCTGAATCTGAACCACAGGACTCGTCGAGGATCCCACGACGAAACAGGCATGCAGGATAATAGCAGTTGATGAACCAGCGCAAATCATAACGCGGCATAGTGAACAGGCGCGGCAGATTGACTTTTGGACTGCCCGGGGGCGGTGGTGGTGGTGAACAGGGGGGTGACTGATAATAAGAAATGGAATATGCAGAACAACGGGCAGATAGAAACAACCAAAAGCTTGGTTGCCACGCCCAATCCCATCCGTCTTGTCTCTCCCCAGGTTGGGTGTGCGGACCGTTTTTGTCTTGGGACGGCAGGAGGGTTTGCCAGAAAAGAAGGATTTTATCCATGAGACGGAAAAGCTTCCATGAGGCGGTTGTGGCCCACTGTGTCATCACATGTCTTTTCGTCTCGGAGACAGCATCCGTTCAAAACTGTGGAAGCGAAGTCAGATGCAAGCACTCGGAGTGGTTCAAAAGCAGTAGGTAGCAAGCGCGGTACTTGGCAGTTGGGCAGCTCGTGGGCACGGACGGGGCGTGGGTAAGGACAGCTTCCATTGCCGATGTTGCAAGGAGCCATGGCTGTTGACATTGACAAGGTGGTGGTGATGGGATGAACGGCGGAGGGCCAATCAAGCTGAGGCCGGGCCACGATCACCGGCTTGCAGAGGTACAAGAATCGGGCCAATTTCAGGAACAAGAAAGGGCAAAAGAGAGAGAACAATCGGGAAATAGCTGGTGCAAGGAGAGACTACACAAAGATCGCCAGGCGGAAGGCCCTCCAGGCCCTCCCTCACCTGCCGTCAGTTTTAACTCGATCAGTCGCTCCCCCGCGCCGTGGGGAACTGGGGTTGCCTCCGTTGCGCTAAGCCCTATTGGGTAACCTCGCAGGCTTGAATGCCGAGACCTTGCCCAGATTGGCCTTGACCCATTGACTTTCTTTCCTTCCATTTCTTCTGCAGAGCAGCACCGCTACTTACTTTACATCAGGTTTTGCGCCCAGAGGCCGATGTCCTTATTGCAACAATACCTATGGCAGGCCTTCAGTCTCAACAGTCCGACGTCTTACGTGTTGTATGCTGTCGGCATTTGACGACATTTCCAAGGCGCCGAGGGCGTGGAAAATTGGTTTGAGGAAACGGTCACCGACAGCGTGCATCACCGATGCAGCAAGTGGTTGCGACAGCCTCCGAAGATCAGGAGCAGCCGCTTTCTGTGCGTCTGGTCAAGGTGTGTGTGTGTGTGTGTTTCCTATCGGTGTATCTTGCCGGACCCCCCTCCGTGATGCCCGCAATGACGAGATGACCCACCAAGCCTGCAACCACCACAAAACAGGGGACTAACCCTCACGCCAAAGGGAAGCAGCTGTCACGAATTACAATCAACAGGCGAGATGTAATTGTCAGAAAAGAGAGGCCGTGACCCTCTGGAGGATGCGATCACTCCCATCTCGGTACATTTTTCTCCATGTCCCAGTTGGGCATATAGCTACTTACATACAGGTTACTACTCACACAGCACGGACCCTATCAACATGTTTGGTCGCTTCCATCAGAGCTGCAAGCGATCTCTTGTCTCCCTCCCCAGTCTGTGCGGGATTCTGCACCAGGACGGCTTTGTCAGATCTTACTTTCCACGTCTTCATTTGGACCCTCGATCCTACCGCCATTCACGTTCTAAGCGAGGGCCGTTTGCTGTCATGCTTGACTTACACGCAACCTCTGGATCCACCGCCAAGAAATTACCCGCGTCCAGCTATGCTACCCTTCAAGCCTTACGCTGTGTTACTTATCGGTCCGGGGTGATGGTGCAAGTAAGATTGGGGCCGAGAGCAACGCCCCTAGTGCATTATAGCTTCTCTTCCTGGCTATGATCCGATATCTAGTTATGGACAGACTTCTGCTCTCGGCGGTAACCCGGCCACTGGTGTCCAACAACAACCTCACCTTGTTTTTTTGGTGATGGGTTCACATCTCTTATCTTTTTGGGTGTGTGGTATCAGGACCTAACTCTGGGCCTGTTGGACGGGCAAGCATGCTGCAGGATCAAGTAGGTACCTATTCAGGATGGTGTTGCAGTTGCGGTTCTTTAACCACTAGAGCTATGGCTGGGTTTTCTATCCACGTTGCATCAACCATGTCGGTTGTTGCGTGCGGTGGAACTTCTCAACCAGGCCTTTGTTCGGGGCATATTCCGCCCATCAATGAGATCTTCAACCTGTCGCCCATCTATCTACTCGGCCAGATTGACCACGGCACATGAAAAGCCAGTCCAACCTTGGTGGGAAGCTCCGAGCAGCCAACAGGTTGGTGGAGATGGACAGTTGAATTTACCTCGCCAGCATGTCGAACCGCTCCCTGACTGCAACATCATTTGGGCGCTTCTACAAGGGCCCATCGCGGAACTGCTGACTGATGAGAAGGTGTTTCTTACATGATATCACGGCACGTTCCAGGTTGGTGGGGAAAACAGTAAAGATGAGTGCAATAACAAAAACTTTTATTTCTAAAGCAGATTTCTAAGACAAGGCAGATGCTGACAAGACACGGGCGACAGATCACATTCCAAATACAGACTCCTGGACTCCACGCGACTGTGACTCTAAGCAAAACCAAACCTCCTCCACCGTTTTACGCACTTATCCTGACGGTAGACCAGCTACGGCGAAGACAAAGGATTGTTAGTATACGGACAATAATAAGCCATGGACGATGCAGAAACGACGGGATAGTGTTGGGTAGGGAGAGTTAGTCAAACCTGAAGCCGGCCAGTCGAGCCCCAAAGTAGATAGAGGGGAAGGTAGCGCACATAATGTGAAACCAGCTGACAAAGGTGAGGTAGGGCATGTTCCCAAAGCAGCCCCCGTTGATGTACCCACCATACCCGCCAACCATGATGAGGTTCCACTGGTAGGCGTACACGAGGGAGCCGAGGAGGAGGAGGAGAAGGATGAGATCTTGCCAGGAGAACCCGCTCCCCTTGTCAGCAGATTCCTTCTTGGCAGTAACAGTAGTAGTAGCAGCAGTAACTGTTGTTGGGAAAGGCCTAATAATTTTGGAGGGAGAGACAAAATCAGGGGTGCTCTTGCTTCTCTTGGGGGAACCGTTAGTTAAACTGCCACTCTTGGGGGTGGCTTTCTTGGGAGTGGTGGGAGGGGTCTTCTTTGGGGTCACAGGGGGGTCCGTGTTGAATACCTTGAGGGGCCTGCGTACCGTCTGCTGGAAGAGATATGGAGCGAGGGCGCTGGGGGAGATTTTGTCCCAGTCGACGTCGGTGGGGACCTTCCACACGTACTCACCGGGCTGTTCCCACGCCGAGGCGGAGTACTGGCCCGACCTGACGGTGCCGGTGCTGTCCGAGTTGACTGTGCCTGACTTGCCGGTGGGGGTGGCGGGTTCCTCCTTGAAGGGGTTGCGGAGTTTATTTGTGGAGTGCCAGTCATAGATCGACTCGATGACCTTGATCATCCAGTCCGGGAGGGACTCGCCCTCCTCGAGGTCGTGGTAGATCTCGAGGGCGCGGACGTCGCGCTTGAGGGCCTTTTCCCGGTCGGTGAGGGTGGGGTCGTCGGAGTATTGGAGGTAGTCGGGGTAACGGAGCGAGAGAGGGTTGGGGTGGGAGTAGTAGAGCTGGTCTACGGGGGTGTTTTCGACGAGCTTGGCCCGGGCGAGCTGCTGCTCTCGGGTTGGTCGCCAGTGGTAGTTGAAGGTGTCAACCGGTTCGGGCTTCTTGGTTTCAGGCAAGTGGCTTTCAGCGGGGATGGCTCCGTCGTCACCTCCGGACCAACTATCCTGAGATTTGTCCTCGGAGGAGGATGTGAGAGGCTCGGTGGAGGTGGATCCGGTAGAGTCACTAGTAAAGTTGAATATAAACCTCCTGACGCCCGTTGTGGTACCAGCGTTGTTCCACGTGTTATCAACAGGTTCCGTGTTTTCCCATCTGGTATAAGTGGTCTCCTGTGGCTTACCAGCCTTCGGAGTCTCCTTATCAGATGGGGAGGGGATGATTGTGGAGGAGGTGGCCTTCTCAGAGACAGCGGGAGAGCTGCCCAACTGAGAGACAGTGGGAGAGTTGAGGGTATCCTCGTCCAACTTGTTACCGTTGTCCTTGAACTTGTCCGGAGTGACACTGCAGGTCTGGTCCTGGTCATACTTGGATGATGAAGAAGAGGTGCTGTTCACTTCCGTAGGGTCATGGATGACCGTCACAGGGTCGGAATTGGTAGATCCGGTAGAACGGCTGGGTTTGGCAGGGCTTTGATCAGTGTTCCCTCCGTTGGGGTAAAAAATGACCGTCACCGGGTCCGAATTGGTAGACCCGGCAGGGGAAGCGGACTTGGCAGATTTGGCAGAGGAAGCGGAGTCAACAGACTCGGCAACAGAGTTGGAATCGGGCTCAGCACCAGTCTCAGTCTCGGGCTCGGCATCAGTATCGGCCTCAGTATCTGTCTCGGTCTCGGACTGAGTATCAGGTTCGGAGTTCTGCTGGTGCTCTTTGAGGGCAGAGTATGTGGAGTCGGAATCAAAGTCGCTGATGGACCCGCGATGAGGTCGAAACACAGACCCAAAAGCGTTCTGAATGGCCTCAAACATGGTGAGTGGTGTTTGTGGTTGTGGTGTGATAGGTGTCTGGGGTATGGTCTAAGGCATACTGTCAAAGTATTATCACAGCAGGTGTCCTGTTGTTGAAGTAGTGTTTAATTAGTATGTCAGTATTGCCACACCAGGTGTTCTGTTGTTAATGTAGTGGATGTTGGAGTGTCTGTTCCAGCTTTTTTTCAGGACTTGAGTTGGGAAGACAGCGTGCTTAATACCCAACCAAGAGACATCATAAAGATGTTTCACTTATGCTGCTTGAGAGAAGGGCTTGTTCTTTCCATAATGACTTGTTCTGTTGTATTATGACAAGCCATAATGGACAATGGGTGTGCTTATTTTAGGATGTGTAAAAGTGATACAATGTCTATTGTCTTTCAAGTCTTTGTCCCTTCTGAGACCTCACAATGGAAGAATAGCATCAAGTGACTTTTGGGGTTGAGTTTCAGTCTTCTTACCCATTGCGCCTTGCTTTCCGATGAAGTTAAAACACAGTCTAGGTCATCATTGAGCAAGGGTCAAAAGTGGGTGGATGATGTGCTCGGGCGGGTATTTGGTCGTTTGGATTCTCTACCAACGGACTCCGTACAGACAGTGTTGAAGACGACCTTGTTGCAGATTTGAGGCTCGTGAGCATATCTTCCGCACCACTCGCACCTGGTGCAGCCGTACTAAATCTGAGCGCCAACGTGAGAAAACGTGGAGTATGACGGTCCAGAACATCGGCCGTTTCATGGACGCCTTCTTGTCTCGTTTCCTATACAACGAGAAAGAAAGAAAAAAAGCTGTGGATACTCGGACCTCGCAAAAAAAAAATACAAATGAGCAAAACTCCCGCTAAAACAAAACCAAAGCAAGCAGACCCCCCGTCCCCTAACTATAAACGAAAAACCACCCACTCCACACAAAACGAGACATGTAATATTCAAGAATAGACGTCACATCACACCGGTTTTTGTGCCAATCAAATATGTAGAGTCGAAACAAAGCAAAGTGAATAGAAATTTGGACTGGTGACTAATTCCACAGATCATTACTTCTCACCATTTTGGATATTGGCTCCGGGCTTGTCGGCCCACGTGGCGAGCTCTTGGCTTTCTTCCAACTTCCGTCCTGATACTGCCCAGGTGATGCCGCTGTCATGAACATCTTTGGGCTCTGCTCAGGAGAGATATACGGCACAGTGCCTGTCGGCGATTGCTCGTAGGGCGCGCGCTGATAGACGGGGTTGTTTCTCGGAGAAGCGAGAGAAGGCTCAAGCGGTGAGGGGCGGTGTCTTAACGGGCAAACAGACGATGGAAGCCCCGAGCCGGCATGGCTGGGTGTGTAAGGTGATGGTACCTCGGAGGCGTTATATGGCTGCAATAAATGGCGCTTGTGGAGGATCTGCCTTCGGGAATGGCGATGAAAGTGCCGTCGCAGAGGGAGGTCACTGAGGGCGTCGGGGGATGCCAATGGGGAGGTATCGGTCCACGAGGGTCCAAAGGCGCGCCCTACTGGCCAAAGTGTGAGGATAAGAATCGCTAGAAGAACGAGGGTGTCGTCGAGGAGGAAAGATACGACTTGGGAAACGGCAAGCGAACTGCCAAGACCGCCGGAAGACCCAGCGATTCGCAAGGCGGTTCGAAGTACAAGGAGACATCCAGCTGCTTGGACAACCAACATAAATTGTTTGAATCGGCGAGATGAGTATGTTGCAGAGAAGGTATTGTCCAAGACGTAGCGTCGATGGTCGATTTTGTACCAGAAATAGCGATAACCACCCAAGAAGGCGACCAGAGTCGTAGTTTGGAAGGCAAGTCCTGTCAGCAGAATGTTGACGGCCTGATCAACCTGCAAACACATACATTAGTATTCTAGTTTCGACAAAACAGCGGTTTTTCGATTGGAAAACAGGATCATACCTGTGACGCTGATGTTGCGCTGGCAGCATAAATAATGCCCACGGATTGGAAGACCAAAGAAAAGATATCCATGATCGTAAAGAAGATGTTGATGTAGAGGGCGTTGGACACGAGCCGAAATTCCTGACCGTAGAGCACAGTGACATGAGGCAGAACAAGGTAGATGGCTGATCCGACAAAGGTAGCTCCCCAGTGCGTTCCGACCATATACACCGCAAAGTACGCTGGACTTGCAGACTCGGTGCTGAGAAATATCCTTGCAACATGGGCGACAACTTCGACGATGAGGGCCGCTGTGAGGAGAGAGGTGTATAATGGTGTCTTGTACCGTATTCCTGTGAAGATGTTGAGCGGAACCAAGGCAGCAAAGGCAGCAAGCATTACTGCATTTCCGGCAGGAGGAACCTGGTAGGAGAGATAGACAGCCTGACCGGGATCCATCATAGTCATCGTCTGGTTTGTTTGCTGGCGAAGACTTAACTCAGACAATGGGATTCAGGAAGAGCCAACGCCATCAGTCGAAGTCAGGCCGAGAGTGAGCATATGAATGCTAAGGCATAGCATCTACCCAGTCCAGAGACGGGTGAGAGTGCCAGAGGTCAGGGGGGGTTATATCAGGAGAGCTGTTGATGTGGGGGCAGTTTGTTGGCAGACCCGACCGTTTGGATCCTGGCTGCCCACGGCGCTTAACCTGCAGTCCGATGGTGACTCGGTTCTAGCCTTGGTTGTGTTGAACATCGCCAACTAGGGTACCTGAGTAGGCACCTTATGCTAATAGCTATATCGCACACATTCATATCATTCTGCTCTCCTGCGGAAGGTCTCATAGGAACATGTGTCCGTTATCACCACGCTAGCTGGTATCTGTCTGTCATTGACCCAGACCTCGATGGTTCCTCAACACCATACTCTGAGTTGTGTTGCTGTGTGGGCTGACTGACTTGTGCTTGCATGAGAGCCGTGCCGATTGTGATCGGTCTTTCTTTGACCAGGGCCCCGGTTGAGTGGAAATCGCGTTGCAATGCAACATTCTCGGCTCTTCCGGCCAATCGACTGTGACAGTGGCGCAGAACATCCGGCTCTCTTTGGCGAGATGCCATTCGCGACGTGCATCCAGCCCAGTGCTATCTGCATGTTGGCTCCCAACAGCTCGATTTACCCTGGACGCCAATGAGAAATACCGAACGCTCAACGGTCCTGGTGCAGCCTAAAGCTTTAGAACCTCGCAGGAGAGACCCCCATACCTAGGCAGAGACGTGTCACATAATGAGAACTCGAGACTCGCAAATGGCTGGCAGGGAGTTACATAGTTGGCGTCTGTTGGTGGTTGATCTGCGCTAGAAGCTGCAGTGTAGAACCAACATCCATATCTAGCGTCGTCTCTATCGGGAATAAAGCCAACATTGAACAGGCAGCCCTGGCTGGACGTTGGGCGAAGATGGGTCACAAGGTGAAGATGGTTTTGATAACAAAGAAAGGCTGTTGTTGAAACAAGCGCACGTACCCCCACAGTGCCAAGATACGCTACACCTATTCGCGACTCGCACTGTGCCAGCTATTGGTCATTGTAAGCGCCGGCTCTCAGTGTTACACCTATGACGTTGATTTGAAGAATTCCACGAGAAACAGCATCCTTCGCCTCCTGGGACATCACCAACAGCAACAGATACCCTTCTTCAGACGACACGTCTTCCCCTTTGTTCAGAGAAGTGCCAGACGCCGTGCATCTACTCCACCAGGTCGCACGTGGGATTGGACGTCAATTACACTCACATTACGACACCCACAATTTGAGGCATCACGGTTCAACGGTCACCACCACCACCACCGTGCCGCACAGTCTTTAAGCTTTGGGCTTGGCTTGGGCTTAAGCCAATGTCTTCCCTCGTCTGCAGGTCCCCATCGGTCATCTCGACATCTTTGCTCACCCTCCCCTTGCTCAGACTAGCCGCGTCTGCCCGGTCAGTCCAGCCGTGCGCCCAAAGACAACCACAACCACAACAAGCACGGCAAGCCTCTGGCCCTGTCGCCGTTAGGCGCTTCTCCGCGTCTCTTACCCTTAGCCGCAAGGTTGCGCCAACGGAGGCTGCCCATATCAATGAGGTTCGGAAGACGATAGCCGATGAGTTCGCCCTCATCAAAGATGCTTACCGTATGTGGGGTTCCTTGGTGCTTTTTAAGACCAGTTCTGAGACACTGACACTTATCCAACAGAGTCACCCAAACACCCGGTAGTCCTAGCACATGGGCTGCTAGGGTTTGCCGAATTAAAACTCGCAGGGTCCTACTTGCCAAGCATTCATTACTGGAGAGGGATACAGGAGGCCCTAACGGCCCAAGGGGCTGAGGTTATCACTGCCTCCGTCCCTCCCAGCGGCTCTATCGAGAAGCGCGCCGCCAAGCTGGCTCAGGATATCGAGGCTCAGGCACAGGGCAAGAGTGTGAATGTGGTGGCGCACAGCATGGGAGGACTTGATGCCCGCTACATGATCTCGCAGCTCCGGCCAAAAGGGGTCGACGTCAAGTCTCTTGTCACAATCGGCACACCTCATCACGGGAGTGCCTTTGCTGATTACTTGATTGACGAACTTGGGCCCGACTACCTGCCTCAGGTTTACAAAGCCTGGGAGCGGGTTACCGGTTGGGAGCCAAGTGCTTTTTCCCAGCTGACGCAGAAGTATATGGCGGAGCACTTCAACCCAGCGACCCCTGATGACCCAAACGTCCAGTACTTTTCGTACGGTGCCATGGTGAACGGAAAGCCTCCATTGCTGAGCATGTTCAGGATATCTCACAAGCTGATTGAGGAACGGGAAGGTCCAAACGATGGACTTGTCAGCGTAGAAAGCAGTCAGTGGGGTACCTACAAAGGAACGCTCACAGGCGTTAACCACCTGGACCTGATCAACTGGACCAACAGGATTCGGTCTAATCTTCAGAAGCTGATGGGTCACCCACCTTCGTAAGTCATATTGTTGTGTTTCAAGCATCGAATAATGATTTCAAAGCATGACAGAATCTGACTGAATTGTATAGGTTCAACGCGGTGGCTTTCTATCTTGGCATTGGAGATATGCTGGCAAAGGAAGGGTTGTAAGTGCCAGAGGGCATGATGCAATGACGCTTGAATCACCAGCCTCTAGGTATAACGAGTTGGACACGTAATTTCGGTAAAGGCTTTGGGGCATACAATCACGAGCGAATGAAGAATTTATATCATGGGCAGTCTGTAGGTAAGCACCTTATGGTATCCCTTGTTTACGATATCATGCTAATGATGAATGCATAGAAGCGATATCACCACGAATCTAATATCGTTCCACCATCTCAACTTTATTCACAGTAAATAAGCGTGGCAAAACCGGATGTTTGGGGCGTTTTCCTGAACCAAGACCATTTGCCGAGGCAGTTCATGGATATCAAGGGAATCACTTTGTAGGTGCCGGTTCGGAGGGTGAGCTGGTTACAAGCTTCACATGCCTTACGACAACAGCGTTGGTTCCAGGTTTACCACGGCAACTGCTGTCAAGAAATCAGCGTGTGTAGCATGGCAAGTGATTATCCGGCTCCGTCTGCCCAAACGCTAGCACGTGTTCGCCGTCTTTTCTGTGGAAAGTTTGTACCATTGTACCACGTGAAAAATATGCAAAGGAGTCCAGCTGACTTGGAAGACTGCTGAAACGTGCAAGTGTGCGTTGGCAGATGCTGTCTACCATATCGACGAGGCCGATGATAGTGGTCGACGATTATAGCGGTGGGTAGGTATGCTCTGATGTCTCTCAATCATGAAACGAGATAGGCATGTAGTAGGTCTTTTGACACTATCGGGGTCCCATTTGAGGACATCCTGATGTAGTCACCATGTGAGATACAGGTGTTGGTGATCCCCAGGAAAGACATTCAGTGTTTTTTTTTTTTGCCGATAGTACCACCACAAAACGCAGAAGAGCCTCGGGGTACAGTTTGGTCATGCGCCTGTGTAACAGCAGCTTACATTGGTTCTGTGTATCGTACATTTCTGGGGAAATAGCACGGAAAAAAGGGTCGATGAGGTGCAGTACCTAGCTGGCTTGCCCAGGAAACGCCAAGCTGGTGATCATCGTGGTCTAATCCTGATACGGACTAGAGGATCTGCCCCCACAAGTCTTGTTTTGAAGCCTCGACCCTGCCGGCCGGAGCAGGCTTGCTGGTTGGAGCATCTCTGCTATCAGGCCTTCCTTTTTCGGATCTTTACTTCAGAAGTACCCCCCCTTCGCAGAGACACAAGACCATCTCAAATACAACCCGGCACAACAGGATGCATCATGTCATGAATTGCACCACCTCCTCTCTTGCCCATTTTGCCTCACTTTCTCGCCAATCCCGCACCATTCCACGAAGAGATTTCCTTACATCAACATAAGGTTCGACCGGTATCACCAAGACGGAAACTAGACCTCCCAGACCGTGAACTCTTTGCAGTAGTACCGTTGCGGCCCTGGGCCCTTCTAAAGATGGGCGCTATCCCAGCCGATATTTTCACATGCCCCATGACACCATGGCCCTCTTTGGAACACCGACTGTTACATCTCCTACACCTTCTCGACGCGCGCGTGCTCCCTCTTTTTGGTGGTCCTGGATCCTTCGCATGCGACCAACCCAAGCTCCGGGTATCACATTGTCCACTTTGCTGCACTCACACCACGGCTCAGATATGATGGAGACAAGAAGGAGACAAACCATGCGTCTGAGTCTTGGATGGAATACGGCTCGGCAATAGTCTCCGGACAGGCAGTCGTTATACAACGGCAGACCCACGTTTTACCCTCCGCTTCAGCATCTTGACCCCTTAAAAACGACCGGTCACCACCAAGCGGCCATCTGGTAGCGTCTGGCATGCGCCGTCTCGTGCAGCTAGTATATCTCCCCTGCATTCCCGTTCCTGTGTCTCTGCCTGCCTCCTAGGCACTAGCTCTGTATCCGCAAACTCTCCTGTCGCTTGCCCGACTCACCCGCTCGCCTCGGGGCATATTTCCGCTGCGTCTATCTACCGGTGTTTTGTAAAACCGCTTGTCCGTCCGTCATCGTTCTGGTGTAAAGAGTTAAGTCCTCGTTCTCTCTTCCTCTGTCTACTTCGAGTGCCGGACCTTGTGTCCTGAATACCTGACTCGGACCTGCTTGCTTTGCAAAAGCCTCCGGCCTGTTCCTACCCAACCCAGGCATCCACCCACCCACCCGAGCCATGAGGTTCATCAAAACAATAGCCATGCTGGCTGCTATGGGTTCCGATATTGGAATCGGTGCTGCGTCGGTGTTTAGGCCTACCAAACCACCAGCCGTTCCACTGGCCGTCAGGTCGCCATATCTGAATGCCTGGCTACAGGGCGAATCAGGATGTGTGCTACCTGGCGAGTGGCCACGCTTCTGGACGTGAGGCTCCCATGACTCTACCTTGAAACCTCACAGTGCTAAGACAAATCCCAGGGGAGATATCCAAGGATGGCAAGGATATGTGGCAGTCGACGGCGTTGCCTATAACTGGATGGGGGGCGCCCCTGGCCCAGGCCCAGTCAACCAGCTATCACTGGAGTACACCTCAACAAAAAGCATCTTCACCTTTGATGTGGCCCAAAAGATCACCCTGACTGTCACTTTCCTCTCGCCCGTATACCCTGACGACATACAGCGGCAGTCTCTGCAGTTCTCATACGTAACTGTCACGGCAAAATCCTCTGATGGGGCCTCGCACAAGGTCCAGGTTTACATGGATGTGTCTGGCGGTGAGTAACACGCTGGATAGCTGTTTCCTTTACCTTGACTGATCGTTCTGATAGAATGGGCTAGTGGTGACAATTCCGAGAAGGTGCAGTGGGAATTTGGCACCGAGAGTAATCTTTACTATCTCAAGTTCTGGCGCGAGAACCAGCACGAGTTCAAAGAAGCCAACGAAATTGCAAGTTGGGGAAATTGGTATCTCAGTACCGGATTCCATGAAGGTGTAAGCTTTGGCCTGAGAGATGCTAAATCCTACAACGCAGACTAATCATTCGTTGGACAGTTGACGTGGCAAATTGGTCAAGATACCACCGTGCGGAACCAGTTTGCTGGCAACCTGACTCTCAGCAACTCCCAGGAGTCTGAATTTCGCCCGGTCAGCGAGAACTGGTATGCCTTCACATATATCTGCCTTTCTGTCCCGATACGCTGCTGCGGATAGTTGAGCTTACAATGTTTTAGGCCTGTGTTTGCGTTCTCTCATGATTTGGGCGACATCAAGGACGACGAGGTTGAAAGGATCTTCACCCTCGGTCTTATCCAGGATAACGTCATCCACTTTGCCAGACAAAACAACACCCTGGAGCCTGTCCGGGGACTGTGGATGTCCTTTTACAACAACAGTGACATGGAGGCTGTGGTCTCTTTCTACAACGACTACAGGCATGCTGTAGAGACAATGTCACTCCTAGACCAACGGATTGAGAAGGATTCGGTGGAGGCAGCTGGGCAGAACTACTCCCTTATCACTACACTTGCTCTTCGCCAGACTTTCGGTGCTTTCCAATACGCCGGAACGCCGGAGAAGCCATATATTTTCCTCAAAGAAATCAGCTCCAACAGTGACATTCAGACAGTCGATGTCATATTCCCGGCGTTCCCAATATTCGTTTACCTCAATGCCACCTTGAGCAGATATCTCCTGGACCCTTTGTTCGAACACCAAGAAAGTGGTTCATACCCCAACAAATATGCCGAGCATGACTTGGGTACCTTCCCTGTGGCCAAAGGCTACCCCAACGGAGACGACGAGGCCATGCCATTGGAGGAATGTGGTAACATGATCATCATGTCACTAGCATATGCTCAACGCACCGGCGATACGGGGTACCTAACAGCCCACTACCCAATTCTGGCACAGTGGGCTCAGTATTTGATCGAGGACTCGCTTGTTCCTGCCAACCAGTTGAGCACTGATGACTTTGCTGGAACATTAGCGTACGTATACCTTGCCTCAAAGTCCGGTCTGATACTGACAGTCCCCGTAGAAACCAGACCAACCTGGCCATCAAGGGCATCATCGGCCTCAAGGCCATGTCCCAGATTGCCCAGCTCACCAATAACACGGACGACTTCAAAGACAAGGCCGAGGACTATCTTATGACTTGGAAAGCGTATGCCATCAACTATGACGCCAGTCCACCTCACACTACGCTAAGTTACGGAGACAAAGACAGCCATGGTTCGTGGTTCACGCACCCCTTGTTCACCCACTTCCCTTCGCTAACTCTTTCTCTTCTCTTCTCCCAAGGAATCCTCTACAACATCTACGCAGACAGGCTGCTGGGCCTCCAGTTCGTCGACCAGTCTGTCTTTGACATGCAGAGCGACTTTTACCTGACCGTGGCGAACGAGTACGCTGTCCCGCTTGATACAAGACACACCTGGGCAAAGTCAGACTGGGAAATGTTTGCGGCGGCGGTGGCTAAGAACGAGACCAAGGAGATGTTTATCGACAAGCTGGCGGAGTGGGTGGGGAAGACTACGACCAACAGGGCGATGACGGACTTGTTTGATTCGATTACGGGTGATTACCCGTCGGGAGGGCCGACGTTTGTGGCGAGACCGGTGATGGGGGGGATGTTTGCTTTGTTGGCTTTGCCAAAGGAGTAGAATGAGATGGTGTGGGGTAGGGAAGGGAAGAGAAGGGGTGTGTGTTTTGCTCTGGAAAGAAACAAGGAGTGATGGCGAGGGGATTAGCTTGGCTAGTGTTGATTGAGTGGACCCTTAAACCATATAAGAGGTTGGGTGTTGGTGTTTCTTGTGTAGTGATGCGGTGATGTTTTATGTTATGAGCGATAGTAATGGGACAAGAGTTTATGAAATAGAGAGTGTAGTCTATTCAGAATTCATCAAAGCACGCTTACTTATGACATCTCTTTCATTCCAGCATAGAGGTGGATAGAGCAGGGCTTCGTTATGATATCTCTTTTATCACAACATTTTCAGCTTGGATGAGTATGGTCTACTACCATTCAATATTTAGATCAGCATCGTCTGTCACTATCACTGTACTTGTATTACCTACTTAACTTCAAGAAAACAATGCTACCATTGAACTGTGAGGGACCATTGAACTGTTAGGGTCACTGCCCATTAAACTGTGCCTACCTACCTATTAAACTAAAACCAACGATTTTGACATCATGGCTGAGGTTTCAATTCTTCGAGTGCGAACTTCTAGAAAATGCAAGACAAGACCACTGACATTAGAAGACCATTCACCCACCCTGCGGCTAATTCCTGACCGATTTGTCAGGACAGTTAGACCACACCGCGCAAGATAAGTTAGGTCCTGCTCCAGAGCCAGACACTTGCGAATCTCCTTCATCTCAGCACATGACGAGCAGCGGTTACTTGCCATATTCCCTTCGTCCCAATAAGGAAACATCATGGCTAACACAATAATATATTTAGTATGAGTAGCACTTCATTACGGATGTCCTTCATCCCAACATACATCGAGCAGCACTTAATCACGGTATCTCCTTTGTCCCGGCACATTAAAGCAGTGCTTACTCACAATAACTCCGTTCTCACCGCCGTTCACGTTGTCAAAGTATCTCTTGATGGCCGGGTTATCGACCTGGTGCTCACGAAGAAGCCGGTCCTCGTCCGTGTGTGCCATCATGAAGTGGTACACATACACAGTCTTCATCTGTCCGTACCGGAGGCATCTGCCCTTGGCCTGGCGAACCGTGATGGCCTGGTGGTGCTTGTTGGGGTGGAAGTAGGGGTTGGCAAAGATTATGTGGTTGGCGACGGTGAGGTTGCTGCCGGCGCTGGTATCGTTGTCAATGTTGAGGAGCATCACATTGCCCCCGGTTCCTGACTTGAACTTCTCCAACATAGCAGACGTATCCCTCGAGCTGGTGACTAAAGCCAGGTTAGTGGCCTTGGGATCTATCTCCTTGATCCTGGACCACAGCTTCTCGAGGTAGGACTGGTACTGGCCGAATACCAAGACACGCTCATCTTTGGCGATGATGCTTTTGATCAGCTCCATCATGTGGTCCACCTTGGACATCTTGACGTTGTCGTTGAGTTCGGTGCAGGGGATGACTGGGCGTTCCTTGATGAAGGACGAGCATTTCCTGGCAGGGCAGAGCCTTGCCGTCTGTGGATGGCGACAGGCAGAACACAAGATGTGTCCACAGGCAACCACGATGTAAGACTGGCTGGCGGAGGTCAGGGGTCTCCCGCAGCTCTCACCATCGCAGGTCCTTGATTGCAGCAGCTGGTCCCTGTCCGGAGAAGTCGAGAACTGGATAAACTTGGGCATGAATGCGAGTTCCTTCGTGGCGTTCTTGAAGTCGCCCATGGTCTTCATCAGCTCGGCCACCGTCGATTTGAACTCTAAAAGCATCGCGGACTTATTTTCTGGATTCTTGAAGATACCGTCTTTAAGGGACTGGGGTCTGCCGTCGCGGTAGGCACCTCCACGACCTATGTTCTTGCTATGTTCCCAGAGTGCTTGACGGAGCTTGGGTACGGCGCCGTGAGATTTCAGGTTCAACTCCACTGCTTTGGAGACTAGCTGGCTCCTGGTCGTACTGGCGCTGACGTGGAGACCTTCGACATCAAAAGGTAGGCATTTTTCGTCATCATACTCAGGTCTGTCCGGCATGAGGTCTCTGTGCGCATGGCAAAATTCAACCAGTTCCTTGACAGTCCAGTTGCCGAGGGTCGTTTTATCCTGGTCCAGACCATTGCGAATATCAGGCAATGGCATATTAGGCCTGGGGTGAAATAGAGGCTCCGGATCAAAGCCGCCCGGGATAAGGGGGGCCTTTGCCAGGGGAGTGTTGATGTGCAGTGTGCGGCGTAGAGCACAGAGGTCTTCAGCAAGCCGTACCGCGGTCTCGTTGCTGACTGTCTTGGGAATCTCGATCTCCGCTTTGTCGAAGAAGTGCAGCCAGGTAAAATGAGCCTTGGAATGATCGTATCCGTCCACCCAGGGGCCCTCGAATTCTTTCATGGGTTGAGCAATGATAGCGGCAGGATCGACGGTAGGATCAGTCGGAAGACAGCCGTTGACCATGGCATGAGCCACACAGTTGAACACTTCTTCTCCCCCCCCGTAGTGCCTGAAGTCTCCTTCCCTTGCCACATTCACCTCTTCACAGAGGTATTGGAATGAGCACATTGCTGCTTCTTTTTGCAGGTTCTCTTGTTCTTTTTTGACTTCATTGCGGTAGAGGTAAGTAAGCCATTTATTGAGCCACACAGCCTTATCCCAAAGAAACTTGACGGACGTTGCCAGTCGGCAATGGGATCTCGTGAGCGAGTTCTCGAATTCTGGAAGTGTCAAGGCGCGAGACACAGCCACCACATCATTGGCCAACAGACCCAACATCATGGTCGTAGACTTGGTTGAATCCCCCATATCTTCTTTCGAGTAGTCTGGCTGCTGGCGTACGTGACTGGATATGGCTGCAAAGTCCATGTCGGCATCGAGGGCTTCCTGGTGCGCCATGTAGTAGCGCGCTGCCGTCACTCCTTTCATGCGGACAGGAAGAACCACCTCCACCGAAGAGAGAGCCGTGCCACCATCATCGGTAACGCGGTTGGCGCGGAAGAATTGCCGCACGAAGGCCTGGGCCTGGGAGTGTCTCTCGTGGGCGAGAGATGCACTCTTGAGCGCGGAGGAGTAGGCGTGATACTCCTCGCTCTTGGAAGCAGGTTCCAAGACCGGACCACCAGTGATGGCCGGGAGACCGGGCATGATGCGCGGTTCGGGCCGCGCCAAATGAACGCCAAAAACCTTGGCCGTCTTGCAGACCTCGGAGAGGCCGAACACCTTGGGCGTACCCGAGAGGAGCCACTTCGCGTTCGCGACAAGGTTTTCAACAAAGAATGGGATGTTCTTGTTGTCCGCCTTGTGGTCGTATGAGCACTCGTCCCATACGACACGCGCGAAGCTGCAGTTGTGCAGCCACGAAACGCACCAGGGCGCGCGAGCGCCCGGCACTTGCTCCCCCCCCCCTTCTTCCTTCTTCGCCGGCGAAGCTGGGACTTTATCCCTTGGGGTTCTCTGGTCCTTCCGCCGGCTATCGGGAACGATCTTGGCCAGGAAAGCCTCACGTTCCGACGCCTGCAGACCAAAGAAACGGTGCTCGGCTGCGGCGTTGTCCTTGCCGCCTGCAGCCGCGAGCTTACTGGCCGTCAGGATGCGCAGGTTGCGCAGAGCCTGACGGTACCAGCGCTCACGCGCGCGTCCCGAGAGATCCTTGAATGGGGGATCAAGATCGCCCCATCCAAACCCCCACAGTTTCTCGAAGAACTTGTCACCGAGGATCTTGGAGCTCATGATGATGAGCTCCGCCTTCCTCAGGACGTCCAACTTCCGGCCGAGGTAGAACTGGGCCACTGTTTTGATGACAATGACCTGGCTTCCGACCTTCAGACCGAGGAAGTTTTTCGCTTCGAGAGACCACTGCTCCGTGAGGTGCTCAGGCACCACCACAAGAGTCGCCGAGAGATGGATGAAGAACTCATTCTTCTCATCTTCGGCGAGGGGAAGTCCCACTTCTTTGAGCTCTTCGTACTTGGACTTGAGCTCCTCATGCCAGCACTCATCAACCTGGCGACGCTCCTCGATAGAGGCCTCGCGGTCGAACCAGCGTCGGGAATCGATCAGCGCAAGTGTCACCACCGTCTTTCCGTATCCAATCTCGTGAGCCGCCACGCCACCTCGAGAGCTGTAGGGAAATCTGGTCGGCCAAGTCGCTTTTCCAACAACACGGACGGAGAGAGGGGTCACCACCTCCTCCTCAATCTCGGTTTCTAGGAATGGCTCGGGCTTTTCCTCGCGGAGAAGCATCCATAAAACAGCATTTCGTTGACTGTCGCGAAGCTTGTGACGACCGGCTTGGAATCGAGGTGGGTTGATCATCCTGTACTTGTCGGCTTCGTCGTACTGGATCCCGTGTCTGTTGCTGTCATTGCAGGGCTTGATGAGAGGATGGAAGCCCGGGAAGCTCATGTTTCGGGGCTTGGCATGATCGATATAAACCTTGAAGTAGGTCTCTGCAGACTGGATTGCCCTGCTGCCACTTGGTACCGTTCTGTGTGCTTGTAAGAGGTATGCATAGGCTCTTGAGGCCAGAACTTGGGGCTGCAGTGTGGCTATGAGACACAATTCGGGATCTTGAAGCTGGGCAGCGATGGCAATGGCTCGTGGCATATTGAGGAGAGTCTCCTCAAAATCTTTGGCTTCATCAGGGTCTTCAACAGCTAGACGCTTGCCTTTCGTCTTGCTGATGTGGATCTCAGGTGGTGGCCTTGACCATTGCTCAGACCGGTGGATGCAAATCCAGTCAGTAAAATGTTTGACTTCTTCACGAGGTCCGCCGAGATTCTGGGCTCTGAAGGCATTTGCAGCGAATGCAAAGTCATGCAAGAAGTCTTCGGTGATGTTGGAGGGAACCATGATGAACTGTCCCGGAGTTCCATGAGCCTCGAGCATATGCCTTCGAGCGGCCGACAAGGGAAATTGGTCAACATTGGCAGTTATTTCAGCAAGGACAAAACGTGAGAAGTGTGGAGGGCTAGTAGCGTTATCCCCCAAAGACGACATAGGTGCAACATCTCTCGTTTGTCCCCAGTGAATTTCAGTAGCTTCGAGACGTTCCCATATACTGAGGGAGTAGTCTTGCTGAATCTCGGTCCAATATCCTGGACTGAAGAGTGTTGTTTCGCCAATGTGCCCAACGGGAAACGTGGTGAGCTTCAGATCCGGAAGAGCCTGGATGTAGGTATCCCTGATCTCGTGGTAATCAAGCTTGCGCATCTCACTTGACCAGACCAGAGAATCCTCTCTAGCAGGACCGGTCCGAGAGCATTGGCGGAGGATGAAAGTCGGCTCTGTCTGATGGAACTCGGGTAGGCTGACGTATAGCTCATTACCGGCTGTCCCGCACTCGGGTGCATGCGCATATGTGCCCGAGACTTTGTCTCTTACTGTGGCGAACTAGGCCTCGGCAAGATGTGGTAGACCTTCTGGCTTATGCGGAATGGAGATACGGACCGCAGTGCTGGAATCTCTCTCGAGGAGGGCGGTGATGTTGATTCTGTCTGGGATCCAAAACGACCACTTGATGTTGTGGACTCCATTGACGCTCATGTGGAAGTCGCCGCGAGCAATGGGCGGACTCGGTTCAAACGTCCTAGGGAGGGTGGGCGGATTGTCGAGGTTGGAACCTGGGTTGTGATGAATGAACCAGGTAGACTTTCCATCTGGGTGGATAACCAGACGGGCGATGGTCCTTCTGGACTTGTATGTGGCGGTGACGACTTCGCTGACCTTGATCTCTCCAAAGAAATAGCGAGTTTTGCTGGCCAGGATCTCGCAAGCCGGGGGCTGTTTCATTCCTTGAAGCTCAGGCAGGTTATCGGGAAAGATTCCAAGCACGAAGGCTTGGGGAAGGTGGTTCTTGAGGGACGCCTTACCCCCATCAGAGGATACTTGAGCCGCTTCTTCATCTGAAGCTCCGGGGGAGTGGGTCCTCCAGGGTTCGAGCTGGTGAAGGGGATTCCCACTGCACTCCTCACAAACGGTTGTTTGGCATGTCCGGCAGATAAAATAGCTAGGAATCCCATCTTGATCCGAAATAACGGGTGGTGGGCAATGACACACGCGGATCATGTCACGAACAAGTCGATGCACAGTATCGGGCTCATACACGACTGATGTAGTCGAGGGCTGCTGGGTGCCGGGCTGAAGAAGCAACTTCTGCGATCTCGTGTAGTGCTTGAACCGTGAGGCGAGGGGACCGCTGACGGTGTCGAAGAGTGTAGGAAAATGCCGGTGAATTGCAAGGAGAGCTGCATGCGTGGCTGCGCCGACTACGGTGACTGTCATGGCATTGCCGGCCAGATCACGAAGCTGCTCTTGAGTTTCAGACGAAATCGCCATCTCGTTGACGGGCATGCCTTGAAGAGCCATGACCTCTGTGCCAGTGATCGGACGCATCAAATCTGTGACAATGGGGGCGCCGCTGGGGGTGATGCAGCCAATGATGCCCAGAGATTGCTTGAAATTGCTGACGGAACCAGTACGGTTGAAGGGGGTGCATCTGTCGACGTTTTGGCTGACATCAATGACGCAGGTCTTGTGACCGAGATGGATTCCCGCCTTGTTGCCGGTGGCTTCGATGATGTCCATTGTGTCGATGGATCGGCATGTTTGTTGTAACCACCAGCGACGCCATGATTGCGGCGGAAGCTTGGGACCGATCACCTTGAGGTTTCGCATCATCTTTTGGCTGAAGGGGTTGTCGTCCATTTCAAGTTCGTGAAGGCTACGCTCAGCTGCATGGCGAAGACTGCTCGTGCCCCAATCCGAGTCTTTGGTCGTACGAGGCTTCTCCATATCAGCGCGGGCCGTGATCGTACCGATGTCGTCTGGCAGCTGGAGAAATGAGGCGACGGATGCCGAGGGGGCACGTTCAAGGCTCTTCATAGTTTCTCGCCAATGAGCTATGATCGACTCAGCCTCTTCCAACGTGGGACAGCCAGGAGAAGAGGCGGCGTCAGTGTCAATTGCCATGAGATACCCACGCTGGCGTGTTTGCGGCAGATAGTACCGCTTGCTATCGATCTGAAGGTATCCGGCCTTGTAACCGATAAGTGGGAAAATCCGTTTGGTGTACATGCACCAAGGAGCGCCGTCGACATTTTCAAGGATGACGATCTTGGGGCGTCTCTCTTTGATGAAAATGAGCGCCGAAAAGAACGTGCGCATCGATTCACCAAGCTTCGCGTCCTCCATGCCATCAAGGCATTCGTCGAGAACTTGGTCAAAATCTTTGTTTCGTCGCACTGGGTGCGTTTTCTTAATGTCTTTGTCCTTCTTCTTCTTGTTGTCATCATCAAGAAGCCATTTATCGAGATTTTGGAAAACGCCAAGCTTCTCTTCGGTCTCCTTTTTGTTTGCTTTGGTCATGTTGATATTCAGAGTAGAATAATCGACACATGAGCAACCGCAGAAGAAAATGTCGATCTTCTCCCGGGGAATCTCAACCTTGGAACCGCCTGCGGTGAGACTGTGGCGCTGGGTTAGCCGAGTGGCATCACAGCATCAGGTTATAAACTTACACTTTTCCATCCAGCTTGCTGGCAGCCAAAGCCAAATCTGCAACATCGCGGTAGATAATTGTCGGGGCTGGCAGATTCCTTCGAATGAAGCCTTGTTTGAAGGCCTCGATCTCACAACTGAACTGATGAACTAGCTGGAACGGTGTCGGATGCCCAAGAATCTCAACAGCCTTCATCAACGCCTCTAGAGCAATGATGGGGGCATCAGTGCCGGAGCAGACAGTCGCCACCCGCAAGATGACTGTTTTCTGGGAAGGCGGCGGAACCCGAGAGGCCATGTCGAAGAACATGTCTCCCACTTGGGTCAACGGGGCAACGCCGGTGAGAATGGCGGACTCTTTTGTGCTCGAAGCTTGAGCATCAGCAACTTCCTTGTCATCGTTCGAGGAGGCTGGCTTCTTCTTGGTCTTTATGGACGACTTGGTCGCATCCAAGTTGTCGGATTTGCGCTTGGGAGGCATGTTGTCGCTACCCTGAATTAGCTGTTATTCATATATCCGGATAAGTATGCTAAAATGCATCGGATGTCATACTCAAGATCAGGAACCTTGTTGTTGAATGTCTGAAAAAACACAAGTCGGAGTTGGAAAACTTGGAGGAGGACAAAGGTGCAAGTAAACGAAAGCAGCGCGGAGGGGTGGTTGTGAAAAGTCGCAAGGCTCCGAGGCTGACCCACTTCGGCCCGGGCGAGGAGGGCTGGCAATTAGGGCGCGGAGACCGGGATCGTGGAGACCGGGGCAGCCGTGGAAACGGGGGCAACGAGCCGGCGAGAACCGCAAGGGCGTAGTAGAAGACTTAGAGAAGACTTGGACGTGGGCAGCATGCTTTGAGAGAATGATATGAACATGCCCAAATGGTCAAGTTGGATTGAGAGATTCAGGGGTAGGTAAACAATGTTGATGTTGATGATGTCCCAGCCAGGCTACGGGGCTCTGGGGCAAGTAAACAACGTGGAAGCGCTGTGAAGTTAACGCACCATTCATGCTTCAGCACCTAACGTATAAAGAAAGAAGTTGATCTCCATAACAGAACAGCAACATCCTTGATATGTCCTGAGAAAGGGACAGCGCTAGCACATAGCTTGTATATGTTGCATCGAGGCCAACGACATCTTGGCTATCACTCCGACAAGCGTCTCCATGTTCATGCTGAATTGGCGTTGAAGCAGAAGATGTGAAAAAACGCTGGGTTAGTGCCCGTCGAGAAAGAAACAAGAAGCGTGAAAGCTGAGCCGCAATAAAGGACGGCAATGACTTTTGTGTCATGCTGCATCTGGCGGATGGGCTTCTGCAGTAACATGCCGCAAGAAATGTGTCTACCCATAACCGCATCACTTGGCAAACCCCAAAACACAAGATCTCCAACCAAAGCTGACAAGAAGTTGGAAAGGGCCATGGGAATGGCTTACACACATTCTTGCCAATGAAGGAAGTGATGTACCACAAAGCTCGAGCCCAGGCGTTGAAGATCAGAGAGCCACGCCACGCCTATATAACGATAGGGAGGCCGGGCATACCATGATACCATTTCGAGAGAGGGGAGTCACCACCTAGCACTAAGTTGCCCTTGTGGAGATGTGGCGTATTAGAGCAAGAAGATGTCAGAAGCAGAAACTGGGGGATAGCCAGAGACTGACAAAAGATGAAGGCAGATTGTACCTATACGAAATAGTCCAGACAGTCCATGAGACTTCGACACGCTCCCAAAAGGATCAGAAATCCACGGCTGAGAACTTGGGATTGATCTTGATTGGTGGACGACGACATGTCGTTGAAGGTGGGTTCCGCCAAGACACGTGGCTGGACGGCTGGGACATAATTATCAAATCCCTGTCTCACAATCAGATGTCCAACAGACACAACCGTCCAGAATTCGAAGCTGTGTAGTGATCCCTATATCAGCAAAACAACGTTGAAAACGGTCCGGGATTGGAGAATTCACTGCTTTAACGACTGGGTTCTTGACGTGAGCGAAATCCTTGATTAGCTGCTCAGATGGGTGAGATGGCGAAGCCCGAGCTGGAGTCGACAGACATTCGGAATAAGTTGGAAGATCTTTCTGGTGTCGAGATCAAGCCTGGAGACAACCCTTACAACGCTCTGATCAACGCTTGTCATGGTAATGCGGTACGTTCCTGAATACTGTGATTGCACTTTTGTTGTCTTGTAGTGGAGGGGAGCAGGTGGTTGCTGAAGACAGAGGGAGGAAACTGAGGGAGCGAGAAGAGACATGGTGTTAGAAGAAGGAAGGAGAGGAAGAATTAGGAGGATTCCGAAGAAATAAGATAGGAAGATGGGAAATAGGCGAGGCAGAGGGAAGAGGGATATTGAGAGAGAACAGAACAAGACTGTCGGCAACGAGGGGAAGTTGCCGGCGCATGCACTAGAGCGGGGCCAGAGGTCCGCGGAAGGTTACGGAGGGCGAGCGGGAAGAAGCTTGGAAAGCATCGGCGGAAAACCCGAAGGGGCCGAGGCCCTATCCGGACTTGAGCCCTAACAGACTATCGGGGGGGAAGTGTATAAGCATCAAGTGCCGGCAGACGACGGGTTATCGGTCGGGATGTTGCCGGCAGCTTGTGGAAAAAGCGCTGGACAGAACACGGAATAAGGCAAAGGTACCGGAAGGGATGAGAAGCAAAATCGGAATCAGTGCCACCAGAGTAAATTTTCTTATTGTTCAAGACTCGAGGCATCGAAATGTAAACAAAAGAAACCTGCTAATGAGACATGGTCCCAGGCCGAGATTCAGTCATTATATGCAACCCATCGCATTGCCCGAAACTTGCAACAGAAAGAAAAGTTTCTATCTCACGAGTTCAAAGAACTCATCATCGATCCGTTTTTACTCCGTTTAGAGAACCCCAAGCTTGAGCCCGGATTCAAGGACCCTCGCAACTGTCTTGTTTTCTGGGCCAGGCCTCCAGATCACATCATCCGGTTGGTTGTTCATCTTCAGCAAGCACTCAAACAGGCAGCACCCAGTAAGCACATTTTCCCCCTTCCGCGAGCAGAGCTGACCGACCGAACCTTCCCAGACCTTTGGCTTATGCCGACTCACCGGATGCACATGACCACGCTCGAGATTGCCCATTCACGATCACCGGCTGAAATTGAAAGTATGGTGGCCCTCATGCGGCCGCAACTCGCCAGTCTGACAAACATGCCCTTCACCAAGCGCGCTCGTCTGGTGAAGCCTTTTATATCCTATGACCTCTCGGCATTGGCTGTCTCGTTCTTGCCTGCGGCAGGCGAAGCGGTGCTCTCACCACCACCCGTGGCACCGCACCCAAAACACATCAACCATCCAGGTCTGCTGGGGAACGACACGGCGGAAAGTGACACCTACACCTACCACCATCTGCGTCGCGATGTCTTTGACGAAGCAAAGTCGACTGGCGTAGAGATCGGGTCACGTTATGTTGTTCCCAGTGCCCACATCACGCTGGGTCGATATCTCACACAGACGGACCACGAGACGCCGGAACAGCGACAGAAATGGGTCCAAGCTATTGATGATTTGAACAAGTGGCTGGAAGGTGAGGTCTGGGATGTGCAAGATGGAGAATATGTTGGCGAGTGGATCGTGGGCCAGGAGAGGGGGTTGGATGCTCGGAATGGGGCCCTTTGGTATGGTGGTGGCCGTACCATCATGGTTGGAGAAGGCTTCTAAGATGTGCTGCGTAGCATGATGTACCATATATGAAGGTTGGTGTTTTGGCCGTCGTTTTCCGCCGTTGTTGGTTGCGGGTGGCCGGTCACGGAAACGGACACAAAGAGGTGTTGCGGGGCTACTTTGGGCTGCTGAGCACCGCTGACCACTCAAAAGTTGACGTTCGCATGTCAGGGCCCCGCTGTCCCCGGCTGTCGTGTCCATAGGTAGTGGAGCAAGGGTCTGGCACGCTTGTCTTTCCGGACTGGACGGTCCTGAGCGGCCCTCTCGATCCGCATTCCCTAGCGGGCGTAGCCAGGCTAGCAAGCATCCATCCTCTCCATACAGAGTATAGTCGTTAGCAATGCTGTAGTGTTCATTGTACAAAGTATAGACCAACACCACTCCAGACCAGCATAGCAGTCTTCTTCACGCAAGCATATTCCCGTCTCCCCCAGCGCCGAGCTGTCGACCGATCGCGACAGGCGTTCTCCAAACAGCCCACCTTCGCCGATCCCCACGATCTTCGAACCCGTCCGCCACGACCCGTCCGCCCGTCCGCCATCCTCTCCGGCCGCCCCAGTCGCCGTTTTGTACAATCTTCAGCAGGGCTTGGTGACCGTCGCGTCTGCGGCTTCAATTAAGCCCATTGCGGTCGGCGTGTTCCTTGAAGATATCGTGAGCTCGATTGCCGTGCCAGCTTTGCTGTGATCGTGTGGTTTCTCCTTGCTATGGTGCTCTGGTGATGCTATGGTCGGTGGGCTTGAAAACTGGAAACAACGATAGGAGTACTGATTCGTCGGAGCAGACAAAGCAAGCTCCACCTCTCGGGTCGGGTCCTAGAAACAAAAAGACACAATAGTGGCGGCAGAGAGAGCAAGCACGCGATACGGACAAGAGAAGAGAAAAGAGAAAGAGAAAGAGAAAGGGCATGCTCTGAGTGGGCGTATGCGAATGCGCTGAGGCCGTATACCCCCGGAGCGAAGACTGACCAGCCCGCTGCCGGCCGCCATGGACACCAGATCGTTTGGTAGCAGCGGCAGCAGTAACAGCAGCAGCAGCAGCGTCAGCGGGAATGGTGGCGCCCCTGCGCTCCCTGGGCGTCCAGCACAAAGCTCAGTGCTTGCTCCAGTGTCCGAGGTGCCGTCGTTACGAGGCATGGAGAGGCTGTCCACCAGTAACCTTCGCAGCACCTTCCGTCCCAGCCTGGTCGTGCAGCACCGTGGTGACACAGCCGTCACACCTGAGCCGGCCAACGTCGCACTCGACAGCCGCGACAGAACTGGCCAGGCGTCCCGCGCTTTCGGTTCCGTGTCACCTCAGACCTCTCCCAGAACGATACCCGGTGTCCCGGCCAGCCTGCCTGTGAGGCGCCAGGGTGTGGTCTTTAACGATTCCTTTGCCGGGTCCTATGAGGCCAATTCGTCCAGTCCTCCGCTTCGACCGCCGCCTTCGTTTCGTCCCAGGACACACACGATGGACGGTGCTTTCCGCCAACAGCTTGCCCCGACCGTCGAGGCACGACACCGCGTCGGCTCCTTTTCCTCGTCTCTCCCCGTGGCTGATGAGCTCAGGCTGCCGCCTCTCCAGCCACCCCTTGACTCATACCGACTCCCAGATCTCCAGCAGACATCACTCAGCACGTCTGCTCAAAAGGACAAGAAGTCGGCAGGCACCCGCAGTCGTTTGACAAAACGGCCCTCGTCTCGGCCCAGCTCGCCCCTGCTTTCCCTCCCGCCATCAGTTGACTCGTTGCTGCTACCCATACCAACAACTGATGCGAACAAGGTGCTGCTGCTGATGAAGAATCTCTGCGGCAGGATGCGAGGCGATATAGAGTACCAGCGAGAAAGCGGCGGGCCCTGGCACAGCGGTGTATGCTATATAGAAGAGGATAAAGGAAGCCTAATGTTTGACCCAGGGGACCGGGGCCCTTTTCACACCACACTGGTCCCTGACCTGCGTGGGTGCAGGGTGGTGCCAATGGAACAAATGGATGGAGAATACCAATGCCTGGAACTCATCGCTCCCCAGCTGACATCAACCCTTCTCTTGCGGCCGCTGGTGGCCGAAGAGCTCGATCTCTGGCTGGCGGCGCTTCTTTGCTGGCAACAACTGCGACCGCCCGCTTCAAAACAGACACCACCTCGCGCGACCACCACAGCAGCTCCAGCACGACCCGAGGTCAAGCGCCGTGTGTCTTCTTCGGGCCTGCGCGACACCCCCGTAATCAAAGTTGGCAAGGTCATGCTGTGGGACAAGGGCATCGCCACTTCTCCTCGCGCCATCGTCAAACGACCCTCGACCCGTGATCTCAAGTCAGCGCAAACTACATGGAGAAAGGTGTCTTGTATTCTTCATGACAATGGTGAGCTCAAGCTCATGACGGAAAATGATGTAACGGTGCTCTCGGTCATTGAGCTGCCTCAGCTAGCCAGGTCAGCCATTCAGCAGCTGGACAGATCTGTGTTGGACGAGGACTACTGCCTGGCCATTTTCCCCATATACTCGTCGACCTCCACCCAGCTTTCGATTTTCAGACCAATATATGTGTCATTAGAGTCGCGGGTGCTGTTTGAGGTCTGGTTTGTGCTTTTGCGCGCATTCACTGTTCCTGACGTCTACACTCTGGATCCCGCCAGCGGAGGACAGGTGTGCGAGGTGACAGATCTCCAAGCTGAGCCTCCTGGTGAGACCTTTAGGCTGGAGAAGACAATATCTGTGAGGGTTACTGAGGCCAAACTACGCGGGCGCACCCTTATTGCAGACGGACAAGCTTCGGATCGCCATAACAAGAGCGCCGATCACGAAGGAATCACGGGCAATTATCTGGCCGAAGTCATCCTCGATGGAGAGGTCAGAGCTCGCACGACCACCAAGATGAACACCAAAAAGCCGTTCTGGCGGGAAGACTGCGAGTTTGTAGACCTCCCTGCGTCGCTGCCTTATCTGTCGGTCCTGCTGAAACGGATTGATGGAAACATGGAGAGCTTCACGCATCAACTACAAGCTACTTTGGGGTTGGCCAGGACAGGCAACCTGGTTGAAGTTCTCTGCGGTGCTGTTGATATACCACTGCATCAGCTCGACCGAGGAAAGGATCACGAGCAGTGGTTTCCGATCTGCGATGAGAGACACCAGTCTGTCGGCTCCATGCTGGTACGGCTACATCACGAAGAGCTTGTGGTGCTCCTATCTAAACATTATCAGCCGCTTTCAGACCTCCTGCATCGCTTTAGCTCTGGACTAACGGCGCAAATTACCGAGGCCCTCCCCGGAAACCTGCGGCGCGTCGCCGAGACGTTTCTCAACATATTCCAGGTTTCAGGCACCTCGAACGAGTGGCTGATGAACATGGTTGAGGAAGAGATTGACGGCATTGGAAGCCAGGCCACGCTGAAAAAGCCCAGGTTCAGCAGTCGGCTCAAGTCCAATGACTCCCTAGAATCCACGAGCGATAGGGAGCAAATCGTTCGCGATATGGGCAAGTCGCTTCAGGGTGAGGCCAATTTGCTGTTCAGGGGCAACTCCCTCTTGACGCAAGCACTCGAGTTTCACATGCGCCGCCTTGGAAAGGAATATTTACACGAAACACTGGCCGAGAAGATATTTGAAATCAACGAGCTCAACCCCAACTGCGAGGTCGATCCCAGCAAGTTGCAGCAGGGCGAGGATGCGCAGCATCATTGGAATCACCTCATCCAGCTGACAAACGAGCTTTGGGGCTGCATTGCTGTATCAGCGTCACGGCTACCACCCGAGCTCCGGCATATTCTCAAATACATTCGTGCTGTGGCCGAGGATCGATACGGAGATTTCCTCCGCACCGTAACCTACACCTCGGTGTCTGGCTTCCTCTTCCTTCGCTTCCTCTGCCCAGCTATTCTCAACCCGAAACTATTTGGCCTCCTGCGCGACCACCCTCAACCCCGAGCCCAGCGCACACTAACCCTCATAGCCAAGGGTCTCCAAGCCCTCGCAAACCTCTCCACCATCGGCAAGAAGGAAACCTGGATGGAACCCATGAACCGCTTCCTGACCGCACAGCGCCAGGCCTTCAAAGACTTTCTCGATGCCGTCTGCGCTATCCCCGCCGAACGCACCAAAATGACCCTCCAGGCCTCCTACTCAACCCCAGTCGCCATCATGGGCCGGCTATCACCACTCGCTCGCGAAGGCTTCCCCTCGCTACCCTACCTCCTTGATCCCGGCCGCAACTTCGCCGCCCTCGTCAAGCTCTGGATGGACGCCCACTCCATCACCGCCAGCGCTTCCAAGGTGTACACAGGGGACCTTTTGAAATTCCACACCATGTGTGTAGACCTCCACCGCCGAGCAACAGCCTGCTACTCCCAGATCGAAACCCTCCGCAGCGCCGTCGACGCAGTCAGCCAGCTCCCCGACAATGACCGCATCAGCCTCACCGATGCCCTTGATCGGATCAGCCTGGGCGACACACTGCACATCTCACCATACAGCAACAGCAGCCACACCGCCTTCTGGTTTGACGCCGAGGGCCGCCCGCCAGGCTCGGCGGGGAGTGATGTCGTGCTCGACCATACATCCCTGGCGCTTTCCCCGAGCAGTCACAGCAAATTTGACTCGAGGTTTGGTGGAGGGAACAGTGGGGGTGGCAACAACAGACAGGTCTCGAGAAGCAGTGAGATGTCTGGTGCCTATGGTGGCGGCAACCCTGGCGGTGGTGGTGCTGCTGGCACGGTGCGCAACCTGCCTCGGAAGCTCCTCAATGGCTTTATTCGTAAGACGAGGACGGTTTCACCTGATATGCCTGAGGGCGCGACGAGCTCCTCGTCTACCCCCAGCAGTGGCACGCCGTGGGATCGGGAGCAGCAGGCGCAAGAAAGGGGAAGAGACAAGGAATATGAGCGGGAACATAAGCGGAGGGAGAAGGATAGGGACCGGGGTAGAGATAGGGATTAGTATATGTGTATGTATGCGTTTGTGTATATGCGGCGTTGGGGGGCGAGGGAGGTGGGTTTGGTTAAAACCGCCAGAAATCAATGATAGCCGTTGGAGACGCTGAAAGGATTCATCATGGGGGGGAAGATGGCGGGTCGGAGTATAAAAGGATCACATACAGTCTTGTCACTGGATGAAGGTGGCATTTGCGAAATATAGTTGCACGACACAACCTACTAGCATTGGGCGTTGCTATATTGGTTGTCACGAACGGTTGCTGCCAGAAGACAGCAACACAACATACTATGCAGGATAACACATGAACTCTCAATATTAGCTCTGGGGTCGGATGAACGAAAAGAGAAATCAATCCTAGTATTGATGAAAAGACCTAGTGTCCCTTCGCTTATCTTGGGTATGCGTGAACATTACTGCGAACCCCCCCCCCCTCCACTAGTTTTCTTCCCATTGCAGTTTGACGCCATGAAACCCCATCCAGGAAGAAAGAAACAATGTGTGAAAAAGGTACCTGGCTACCCTGTGTGTGTCAGAAATCACTTGCAAAGTCATAACTCAATCATCTTTCCATGCCCCGTTCAGCTAAAGAACTTCTTGTACGCCGCCTTCTCCTTGGCGCGTCTCGCAGCAGCCGCCTTCTTGACCTCGGCCAGCTCCTTCGCGACAGCCGCGTTCTCCGGGTCAACCATTTGAGCCTCTCCCAAACTCTCCAGAGCAGCATCCTCATCCTTGAGACGCAGCTGAGCACGTCCGCGGTGGTAGAGAGCCTTTGCCTTCTCCTTGCCTGAGATGCCAGCCACGGCAAGAGCACCGTTTGCAGAACGAACCGTGTCATCCCACGCCTCCAGCTTGAAATTCATGAGCGCCGCGTTGGTGTTGAGCGAGATGCGCAAAGTGCTGAGCTTGGACTTGGTCTCATCGGATTCGTTGTCCAGATCGGGGTCCTCGTTCAGGTAGCGCAAGCCCTTTTGGTATTTGTCCAGAGCCACGCTCAAGTCGCCACCCTTGAAAGCCTTGTTGCCAAACTCCTTGCAGTCGCTGGCGATTTTGAGGATTTGAGTGGCGGAAAGAGTTTCGTTGCCACTAACTTGGTCTTCGGGGAAATCTTCGTACTCATCACCATAGGCGTCGGCTGTCTTGGTGTCGGCGGTGATGGCTTCGGAGCCGGAGAGCTCGCCGCAGTCGGCGATGACGGCATCTTTCGTGGGCTTGTCGGCTTGAGTGGTGAGGTTTTCGAGTTGACGGACGACGGACTTGCCGCTGAGGACCTCTCCAAAAACGACATGCTTTCCATCGAGATGTGGTGTTTGCACAGTAGTAATGAAGAATTGGGAACCGTTTGTACCTGTGGTCACGCCAACACTAGTCAGTCAAACTGCGCAAGCAGCTATATGACGAGGACACCTAGCCGGTGTTACCTACCGGGACCAGCATTAGCCATGGACAGCAGGAAAGGACGGTCGTGCTTCAGCTCAAAGTTCTCATCCTCAAACTTGGCACCATAGATGGACTCGCCGCCTGTGCCATTGCCGGCCGTGAAGTCACCACCCTGGATCATGAACTGCTTGATGATGCGGTGGAATAGCGACCCCTTGTAGTGCAAAGGTTTGCCGGCCTTGCCGATACCCTTCTCGCCCGTGCAGAGAGCGCGGAAGTTCTCGGCCGTCTTGGGCACAATGTCATCGTAAAGCTCGAATGTGATGCGGCCGGCGGGCTTTCCTCCGATGGTAACGTCGAAGAAGACGCGGCTGCGAGCCTTCTTTGTCTCCTCGGTGCTGCTCATGGTTGCTATAACTGGTGTCTTGGGTAGATGGAATGGGTTGTTTCTAGAAGGGGGAGAAAAATTAGAAGGAGAGTTCCCCTGGTGCGTTTACAAGCGCGCGCGTTCGTAAGGGGTGCTCAAGGGGGCACGTTGAAGAGAGGGCTAGTTTCGATGTTGTGGGTAGAATTGGGTGTTAGGAAATTAGCAGTGCAGTGTGGATGGAAGACTAGAGTGATCACAGACGAATTGGGGATGTCAATGGTCCTTTTCAATGGCAACTCGGCCTGTTGGATGCACTGGCAGACATCAATACAGGCATGGAGGGGAGCTTCCTGAACCTTCGAAATGGTGGGGCTGTCAACAGTCAAGCACCGACAATGAATGAGGGGTTGGGGTCGCGGTGGGGCCTCTGGGCTAAAGAAGCCGCAAGCAACCTGGAACCTTACCTGTTTTTGGAAAGGTGCCATCTCGCCCACATGCCTGCCGGGACACTTCTCCAGACTTCAAACCACCACCGCATGCCTGGCAGGAACAACGCTGAGAATAGCATCACACGGTATGAGCTCACCAGTTGTCTTTATTTGGCTAATCGCGTGATGATCTGAAGAGACACCCGCCGGTGTAGCAGTACGGACGGATTAGTCCTTATTTGGGCGGTTCCGTGGTCTTTGGCTTCTTCTGGTCTTGTTCCTTGGGAGGGCTTGCTGAGACCTCAAGAGTGACCTTGTTTGATATAAGCAAAACACCCAAAGAAAAAAGGAAAGAGGTGGCGCTTTCTGGGGCTTACCGGTCCGTCATTTACGAGGGCAACCTGCATCATGGCTTGGAAGACGCCATCCTTCACCTTGTCGGCAGCATAGCCTTCCTGAACTCGGCGGTAGAAATACTGGTAGAGGCTCTTGGCCTCGTCCCCTCCCATGGCACCGTGGAAGTCCGGTTTGCTGCCCTTCTTGGTAGAAGCTAGGAGCGTGAATTGTGATACTGTGATCAGGGCCATTTTTAGCATACGGATCATTGCAACACCGACAACTCACAAACAGAGTATTGCTCACCACATAGTACTTCGCCGTTGATATCTTGGACATTCTTCTTCCAACGGCCCCCTGTATCATCATCCCAAAGCCTCAACTTGAGGACCTTCGCTGCCAGGGCATCAGCTTCCTTCTCAGTGTCACCCGGCGCAACTGCAGCCAGGACCAAGATGCCTTTTCCTATCGATGAAACCAGCTCCTGGTCCACCGTGACCGAGGCTGAAAGCACTCGTTGAAGGATGGCTATTTATATATCGCTCAGATTCGGGTCTTGAAAGCATATCCCAAGGCATTTGGAGGACTGTGACATACCCTTCATGTTGCAGACTTCTTCGTGAAATGGTCAAGTTGCAGGGAGTTGGGCTTTGTCAGCCAGTGGCGGCCAGCTGAATGGCCTTGTTGGCTTATAAAAGTGGATTCAGGAAAAGCATCCCTGTTTCTCCAAGCAAGACTGAGCCAAGTCCTGTGTAACAGAACAGATAGTTGGCCATGTGCAATTGCCCCCTTTACACGGAGAAACAAGCCGAGAGAAGAATACAAATGGCAAGGAGGGTGCTGTCAATTGCTCCGTCATTAATTAAAGATAGTAGCCAAGTGAATTGCTCCATGTGTAACTCAAGTGATAAGGCCCGAGAGCGAGGCTCTTTATCAAGGGCGATAGTGGATACTAGTGCGAGTCCCAGTCCCAGGTCTCACACAGAGCAGCAGCGGGCGGGCGAGGTGAGGGAGTCTGAGCTGGGCTTGCCATTCTTTGATTTGGCCGACAGCCTGCCATCTCTTGTTGCATCAGCAAACAGCCTGGTTTGTTTCAGCGACTTCGCATTCCCTTCCCTTCCCCCCCCTAAATACCAACCACGACCTGTTCCCCTTCTCGCATGTCGCCCTTTTTTACGCCGACAGAGCTGCAATCATCCCCACGGTAAATAACCTACCTACCCGGCCGTGTGACGTTGTTGGACGGGTCGAAGCTAATTAACTTGCAGCTTTGGCAGTCATATTCCGACTACTCCAACCCTGGAGAGAAAGGCTGATTGCCTGCCCCCGAGTTATTTGGTCGCGCGACGGCCAGCCACCAAACGAACCCCTCATCCTAAACCTTACGTTTCCTACAGCGCAGCACCACTACCAGCGAGATGGCGGCACGAAAGCTGCAGCAGGAAGTCGACAAGTGCTTCAAGAAGGTGGCTGAAGGTGTCGCCGACTTCGAGGCCATTTACGAGAAGATTGAGCAGTCCACCAATCAGGCGCAAAAGGAGAAGCTAGAAGATCAGCTGAAGCGAGAAATCAAGAAGTTGCAGAGGCTGCGCGATCAGATCAAGACATGGGCTGCTAGCAATGATATCAAGGATAAGGGGCCGCTGCTGGAGCAGCGGAGGCTGATAGAGACGGTCGGTTGCCTACCTAGTTTGATGATAGAGGATGTGCTGTGTGCTTACTGGTGTGTTCCGTCTGTCTAGCAAATGGAGAAGTTCAAGGCTGTCGAAAAGGCGATGAAGACGAAGGCGTACTCTAAAGAGGGGTTATCAGCCGCCACCAAGCTGGACCCCAAGGAGCAAGCGAAGCTGGAGGCAAGCGAATTCCTGAGCAACATGGTTGACGAACTCGAGCAGCAAATCGAAACCCTCGAGGCCGAAGGCGAATCGATACAAGCCACCATGAAGAAGGGCAAGGGCCAGGCAACCAAGCTGGAGCGCATCGCCGAGATAGAGCGCATCATCGAACGGCATAAATGGCACCAAGGGAAGCTGGAGCTGATTCGCCGCTCACTCGAAAATGGGGGCGTCGAGACCGAGCAAGTCACGGACCTAGAGGAGAGCATCAAGTACTACGTGTCCGACGGCATGAACGACGATTTCCCCGAGGACGAGGGTATGTACGACGATCTAAACCTGGAAGAAGAGGAGGATGCCTTTGGTATGAATCTGGAGAACGACAAGGGCTCATCACAGGACACCCAGTCGGTTCAAGAGGAGCCAGCCCCTGAGCCCGAGATGACAAGACCGGCAGCTGCTGCTCCGGTCGGGAAGCAACGCACGGTGGCCGATGCTGTGACAGGGTCGGCTACACGACGTCCCTCGGCCCAAAAGTCACCCCTCCCAACGCTCGCAACCGTCCACAACTCGCAAACAACCAACAGCAATGGGGTCCAGGCCAATGTTGCCATGAAGCCGGCAGCGCTACCAACCCGGCCCGCCGAGGGTTTGAAGTATGCCAGCGCAGCAGCAGCCGCTGCCGCAAGCGATAAGAACAACGTGGGCATTGCGCCTTTACCCCCTCCGCCAGGTGCTCCTCCAGCATCCGCCGCCTCTCCGTTAGCACCAAGTCAGCCGAGGACAAGTACTACCAACTCTCCCAGCACAGCACCCATACAACCGGTGGTGCAGGACAGGGCACCCCTACAAACTGCCCAGCCGCCAGCCAAGGAAGCGCCCAAATCTGCAGCATCAAAGGGCAAGGCTCCTGTACAACCGCCAACCGTCACACCAGCAGCTCCAGATCACGGAGATGCCACCCCCGCGCGAGGTTTGTTTAGGCAGTCAAAAACTGGACTTGACGGGCAAGGAGCTAACAGATGTTTCAAAGCAGGTTCGGCGTCAACACAAGGGGCTCCAGTATCAGCACCAGTACCGGCTGCGAACGGCGTTTCTAATGGCATCAAGCCAATCGAGGAGGAAGAGGAAGATGAAGAGGAAGAGTCGATATATCATCTCCCCGCGGCCCTCCAAGACCTGGTGGAATCATACGAAGTGACCAAGAAGCGGACGGCGTCAATAAACTCACCATTGACCCAGAGGATGCATATCACATCGGAAGCGGCTAAGCCTGAAGCTGCGGATGCCGAACCACCCCGCGCGTATGTGCCGGAGACGAAGTACCTCGCGCACACACACTTCCCACAAGAGCCGCTAGATATCCTGGATGACCCACGACTGTACGAACGAATCGAGCCAGACACACTCTTTTACGTTTTCTACTACAAGCAGGGGACATACCAGCAATATCTTGCCGCGAGGGCTTTGAAGGACCAGAGTTGGAGGTTCCATAAACAATACCAGACATGGTTCCAGAGACACGAAGAGCCAAAGTCGATTACCGAAGAGTTTGAACAGGGGACGTACCGCTTCTTCGATTATGAGAGCACATGGTTGGTCTCCCTTCCGCAAAGATACCATGGACGAATCGCTGCTGACAGAGCCCCAGGATGAACCGCAGGAAGGCAGATTTTAAGTTTGCCTACAAGTTTCTCGAGGATGAGGTTTGAACTTGTTGTGTGCCGGCAAGATGGTCGTGTGTGGTGTAGCGATGTAACCTTAACGTTGGGGCTTTCTTTAGTGAGACATTGGGCTCACGGACACTGCAGAGTGTCGATAGCGTTTGGAGGAAACAACATAATTGCAATGTTTTGACTCGGTGCACTGAAGCATCAGTGTATTGTTGTAGGCATATCTCGTGACCTGGGCAGATATGCATAAGACCGTTGGTGGGTATCGGCATACACGCAGAAAAAAGTACGGCCCACAGCAAAAGGTGAACCATGGATGCCCATCCTGAGGAAGGGGAGTGGGCATCCTTAATGGCAGTCCTCGAGCTGACAACGAGATCACAAAGAATCAGTTATATACCTTCCATCCAAGTGCCACGGGTTCGTACCTCAGTGGCCTGCCCGTTTTATCTGTACCGTTCCCCAGCCATCAGCTGAACAATCGCGCGACAAATCCGGGAACAACGGACCAGATGATGACGGTGAGCCTGGTGGCAAACAGGCTGGAAGAAGGCCAAAAAGGGCCCTGCTACTACCCGTCTCACCATCAGGAAGTGGAAGTCGCTAACCCCCAACTACACAGCCTCTCTAGTCTGCCTTGTGAGTTGATATCATTGCTGGCCTCACCTTGCTGGCACAAGGCGTAGAAAATGCGCAAGGCAGCCATTTCCCCACAGCAGCCCATGGCAGCACGACGGGCTGCCATTGGACCTCTACTTACACCCAGATATTACCCAGAGGCCCGCAGAAGGCAACCTCCAGGAGGCTCCGGGGCGCGTACCACATTCAAACTTGCATGAGCCGCAGCCTCTCAACCATCTGCACGATAATGATAACGTAGGCGTCCTAGTCACGTTCACACCCACCATCCGCAGAGACAGCAAACGTGGGGCTGCAACAAGGTGTGCGTGCGGTGTGGCACCAATGACTGAATCTCGAATCAGAAGCCATGCTGCTAACACGAACGGTGCAAATAAATGCAACATCTTGTCACCGAATTCCTTGAGGACTCTCCCATCGCACCACTCTCTGTCAAGTGGCTTTCCAGTCCATCGAGACTGCAGAAGCAACAGTCCCCAACTATGCGGACTGCTCAGCCGCACTCGAATTTCCAGATTCAATGAGCTCTTGGCTCATCACCAACTGTACATGACACTGCACATATATCCTGCGAGGCTGTAGGTACCTTTTGATCTTGCCTGCTTACCGACCGGCCAGAGCGTTTGGACCTATCACGGGCTGCCAGGTCTGGCAATTTTTTGCGATTAGTCACTGAACGAATCCTCAGACTTGCCTGCATAACAGCACTGCACCGCCGGGCAAGAGATACAATGGCCGATGTCAGTTGGCTGATTTCCATTTTGACGCTCCACTCTCTTCGCGGAGACAGCCGCTGAAGACGTATGTCCGGTTTTACAAACAATCCGGGCGCTCCATCTCCAATACCTCCCTTACGGAGGAGCTTGTTATCATACATTCGGCTATCTCTCATCCGCCTCTCTCACGTCGCAAAGCCGCCACCCCCCCTTCCGCCGTTACTGGATCAAATCGAACAAAGCCTTCGATCGCCTTACTTGCTTCGACCAGGTCTCACATATGGGGAGAGCTCACTGTTTGTGGATGCCTTCTGGTAAGCCCTGCCAAGGCAATATGCCCTCGTCCAGGAAAGGCATGCAAGTGTCAAGCCAAAGGTGGTTCTTTTGTTGCCGGCTCGGAGCCATCCGCTATTGCATTAACAAACACGCATGTTGGATGGGTGCTGCGAGCTTTGGTTCCTCGCCGACTTCCTGGAAGAGTTAGCTCTCCATCATCATTGGAAGATCATGTTGGGCACTTCCAAACGCTCACCGAAGGTCGATCTGACCCTGTGAGCTTGTTGCGGGACATCTAAGCCTTTAAGCGATACTCAACACAGAAAGGTGTTACGCTATCGTCTTGTTCCCACATTCCTTCCACTGTTAGTCTCGCTGTTCTCCCACATGGCTGGGCAATTTCCCTTTCTTTTTCAAGATTGCTCCGTCATCGGCGTGGCTGCAGTCAATAAACGTCCCCTTGAAGCTTGAAACTGGGCTATGGTGACACTGAGGGGACAATGAGGCTCGCGAACAGCCCCCGCCCAGTATCTTGGGGAGGCAGGGGTTGGGTAGAGACGCAGGGAAACGGGCTGCGGGCAACTTTCTACGTCTTTGATGGTGTGTGTCTCTCAGCCTGCTTGCACCATAGCTCTGCCGCGGTATCAGAGATGTCCGCGATAGGAAACCACGCTTGACATTACTTCCTGCTGCATACATTCCCGCCTTACCGCGGTGTAGAAGGTGCCCATTGTCGCTTCTCTGGGTGAATGGTCCGTGATCAATGTATTCGTGGCTCAAGATATATGGTCGGCACATTTCCAGATAGCCACCCACAGGTCTCATCCCCAACTGACTACAGCACGACTACTTTCCCATTCATATACCCTTCCTTACGAAAGAAAGTGGCAAAGGTGGTTCGAGTCTTCGAGTCCGTCAATATCTATCACTCAGCTATTGGTGGGCTTTCCCTTTTCCTGAATTCTTCTTGACCACAGGGCAGCAGATCGTGCTAATAAACATCAACAGGTTTCTTCAGGGGTGGTTACCGGTGAACAGGACGGTTCAATCACTATACCACATGGACTACCCTTCTTCCTATCTTCAAAGCCCAGTCTTTGATGGCCCTGCCTACCAAGATGGCCCTTGGCCTGTCCCAACAAGTGCGAGCATGCAGAGGAGCAGCTCGCAGTCGACAGCCAACACAAACCTCACTTATGCCTCCAGCCAGTACTCGACCGAGTTATCGTCACTCGGTTCGCCAATAGTCGAGCACAAGGTGTACAGTGAGGGCTGGTCCTCATATCCTCCTCAGCCACAAGACTCGGGTCCACTTGTCGCCAATGCTGGTGGTCATTTGCACGACGATAATGTCCCAGCACCATCAGACATGCAAATGCTCGCCCCTCCCTACCTGCTATCAGAACCCTACCCTGTTGCCAACTATTACGACTACGACACCACTGATCCCTACGACCCCGCGTATGCCGGCGTCCCGTTTGACCCAGACAATTATGGTCAACAACAGCTGCCCGCTCAGTCCGTCCAAGATGTCGACACATCATATTCAGTCTCGTAGGTTACTATACCTACCACACACCACCAGACCAGACACCCTCTTGCTAACTTTGTTTCTCTGCAGCACCGTCTCGGAAAAGCAAACCTACCCTTGCCTCTCACCTGGCTGCAGCCAGAAAGCCTTCTCCCGCTCGGCCGACCTTGACCGGCACTACAAACAGGTTCACATAGACGAGGACCAAAGGATCAAGTATCACTGCGACTACAAGAAGTGTCCCCGACACGAGGCGCCTTTTGGCAGGCAGGACCACTTCCGAGACCACCTCCGGGATTTCCACAAGGAGGATCTCCTGCGGAGGAGCAAAAAGGAGGAATGGGAATGGTGGGAATCTAGGGCGCCTCGCGCGGTGTTCAACGGGTGGTGGAGATGCAACAAGTGCCTGGTGGTGAGAGTGGACGTTGAGACGGACGGGTATACCTGTCCTGCGTGTGGGAGCTCGTGCGAGAGCGACAGGATGAGGGTGAGGGAGGCTGCTGCCGGGAGAGGGTAGTGTGATGGGTGATGATTAGGAGGAGAGGGCTCGGTCCTGTTGATGGCCGATAGTCTCTGATGTTTTCCCTCCCTCTTATACGACTGGGCCGCATTATTGTCTGGGCCGGGGAGGTTGGTTGCTTTTTATGGTGTCTTGTTTCTTTTGCATTATTTGCGGGTGGCTTCTGCGACACATTCTTTTCGTGACGACCGGAGCACGGAGTTGGGGAGCTTTTTGTTTTGTTCTGTTCTGTTTTTCTGTTCATTCTTTTTCCTATATCGATGACGGTCATGATGATGATCAGCAGCAAGAGGCCAGCCGTTCGTTACCTTCCTTTTCGGGATGTGGGGTCTTTTTTTTGTTGTTTTTTTTTTGTGTTTGGCGTTTTCAGGGGCGTCCTTGCTTTTACACGGATCATCGTCAGAGATGGCCGCCACTGGTCTCTTTCAGGCTGAATTGTCGAGGTGGACAATGAGGATCCTGAGGGTTTGGAGATAAGGAGGCGATGAGCGGCTTCCAGCTCGAGTGAGGAGGCTCACAGGGAGAGAGCCTTTTTTCTACACGTTTTCAACCACGAGGAGAGACGCACATGTTGCTGTCCCCTATTGGTGGCCTCACGGCCGTTTCAGCCCATCTGCAATTGTTTTTGCAGATGGGCTGTGTACATTGTATTTTGTACCAACGTTTATACGTTATGGGAAACCATACATGGGGAGTTTAAAGAGGATAGATCGAGATCTGGCATTGGGATTGGATGAAATGGCATGGCATGGGTGGTGGTCGATTTTGGGGTTGAGGAAGATAAGTACTTCCCCGTTGTTTGTATAGGCACATATTTGTCGTCTTTCTTTTCGAGACATGTCGTCGAAAGTGGATCATGCCGCTGGTTCTTATACTGGGCCTGAGCAAGGGGTGATCTCTTTACCTACCTAGGTAGCCATTGGGCTTCTGCCCTTTGTTTGGTAGAGAACACAGAAGAGACTTCCTTTGCAATAATGCATTCGAGTTGGAAATAAGGCTCCGCGCGGCATCTGAAGAACTCGATATCTTTTTTAAAACAGAGCGAGTCGTTGCATTGGTGGTGGAGTGTTGCGCATGGGGTGTCTCAAACGGACCGAGAATATGGAAACAATGACGATTCATTGATCCAAGGCGTTATCGATATGTAAGATTTGTGGATCTGCATGGTTGAACATCCCGAATTCGGTGCAGAAAAAGATTTCTGTCCAGAATCGGAGATGAATGAAGGCTCACCATCATTCCTGGCGCCGGCAGCAGTCAGTTACTGAAAGCATATATAAGATCTGCCTGTCATCCCCCACCACAGCGCACTTTCTCACTTGGCTGTTCAGTGGTGCTTTTTGTCGCTCCATCTCCTATATCCGGCGATATCCGTGACTTATCGCCGTTTTCCTGTGCGTGCTTTTTGGCCAGGCGACGACCCCACAATTCACGTTGCTGGACAAGGGTTCATCGGCGTGTGGGGGGATCGGTCCCCTGTACCGGCGTCTCTCAACCCCGCTTGCCCCGCTCTCTAAGGGTAACATGCGGGAAGAGTTTTATCCTTTTGGTCAACAAACTCGCGAGCTTGAAGCGCAACCGGTCTCCCGTGTGTCCCGTCCATCCGCCCAAAGTCCACGGCCGACATTCTGCATTGCTGGCTGCTGCTGCTGCTGCTGAAGATATCTTGCGTGCCTTACTGTATGTACAGGCCTGCCAGACACGGGATGATCAACGGGCGTGCCACTGCCAAATTAAAAAACATCAGGCTCTAGGCAGGGTCCCTGCAGCTGGCAGAGCACAAAGGTGTTATCGCTCCCATCCATCCCAGAATATACATATATCGTCGATCCGGCAGCTACTGTTCGGTGACAGGGCCGTTTTTCGCTTCCCTCACCGTTCTCGCCGCCGTCATCGCTCTCGCGGGCCCTCCCATCCACCACCTTTTAAACCGCAGTGCCTCTCGTGCCTATCGCTCAGTGCCGCTCCATCTGTCCAGGACCGACCTTGTGCTACCTTGCCCTACATATCCATCCCGCTGAATACCGGGCGCTCCCAGTCTCGCCGATCTCCTCTTGTTCCCCTCTGCCGGGCGTCATTGCCGCGGCCCACTCGCGACAGCTCGAAACACCCAATCAAGCCCTCAGCGGCGGCTTCATCCTCGGCTTTCGTCGCCATTCTGATTTGAAGTGCAGCTCCGACAATCCGACAAGCTGCCACCGCGGGTCGGTCCGGGCGCGAACAAACCCCCCCTTCCTGACTAAACCTACCTTTTTGATACATCGCCCATTTTGCCCCTCTCGACCCCCCTCCCTTCCCCTCCCCTTCTTCTCGCCATGTCTTCCATCGTCTCCTCGGCCCTCCGTGCCTCTTTAACTCGTCCCTCCTGCTCGCGTACTGTCTTCACCCTGGTCTCCAACACCGTCCGCATCACTTCGAGAGCCACTCCCGTAACCCTCATCCAGCACTACAGACGCACAATGGCTTCCGCCGCTAAGATCAAGGTCAAGAACCCCGTCGTCGAGCTCGACGGCGACGAGATGACCCGTGTCATCTGGCAGGACATCAAGGACAAGTTCATCACCCCCTACCTCGACATCGACCTCAAGTACTACGATCTCGGCCTCGAGTACCGCGACCAGACCAACGACCAGGTCACCATCGATGCCGCCGAGGCCATCAAGAAGTACTCGGTTGGTGTCAAGTGTGCCACCATCACCCCCGATGAAGCCCGCGTGGAGGAGTTCAAGCTGAAGCAGAGTATGTGTTTTTCTTTTTCGAGAGCCCCCTTGAGATGATGTGCCTTATATATCTGTCATGCCCTGGGGGGCCGGTGGGAAACTCTATATCACAATAGAGTTTGCCTCGGCCCGCGGGATCCATGCCAAACAACATGCCTCCAGAAAACAAGATTTCGGTTCGGCTGACGGTAACCCTTTTTTTTTTTGCTTCTGATAGTGTGGCTCTCCCCCAACGGCACCATCCGCAACGCCCTCGGCGGTACCGTCTTCCGTGAGCCTATTGTCATTCCCCGTGTCCCCCGTCTGGTTCCCGGATGGAAGAAACCCATCATCATTGGCCGCCACGCCTTTGGCGACCAGTACCGGGCCAAGGACTTCGTCGCCCCCGGCCCCGGCAAGCTCAGCATGGTCTACACCCCCGAGGGTGGTGAGCCCCAGGAGATCGAGGTGTACAAGTTCCAGGGTGGCGGCGGTGTCGCCCAGACCCAGTACAACACTGACGAGTCCATCACCGGTTTCGCCCACGCCTCTTTCAAGCTCGCCATTGACAAAGGCCTCCCCCTATACATGAGCACCAAGAACACCATTCTCAAGAAGTACGATGGTCGCTTCAAGGACATCTTCCAGGAGCTCTACGACACCCAGTACAAGGAGGCTTTCGAGGCCAAGGGTATCTGGTATGAGCACCGTCTCATCGACGACATGGTCGCTCAGATGATCAAGAGCAGCGGTGGTTACATCATGGCTCTCAAGAGTGAGTTTTGGCAGCCATTGGGACCCTGAAAAGGCCGCCAACCGAACAAAGAAAACTGACATGATTTTCTAGACTACGATGGTGACGTCCAGTCCGACATTGTCGCTCAGGGCTTCGGCTCCCTCGGTCTCATGACCTCCGTTCTCATCACCCCCGATGGCAAGACCTTCGAGTCTGAGGCTGCCCACGGCACCGTCACCCGCCACTACCGTGAGCACCAAAAGGGCCGTGAGACCTCCACCAACCCCATCGCCTCCATCTTTGCCTGGACCCGCGGTCTCATCCAGCGTGGCAAGCTCGACGACACCCCCGAGGTCGTTGCCTTTGCCGAGGCTCTCGAGAAGGCCTGCATTGACACCGTCGACGTTGATGGCATCATGACTAAGGATCTTGCCCTTGCCTGCGGCAAGACTGGCCGTGAGGACTACGTCACCACCTCCGAGTACATGGTCGCCGTTGAGAGAAGACTCAAGCAGAGCCTGAAGGAGAAGCTCTAAGCAATCACGATAACCAAACAAATAGAAGAAGCCCGATGGTCAAAAAGTGGCGCAAACGTTACGAGGAAGGCTGTCCCAAGCCCGCCGCGGAGGAAGACGAGAGCAGGGTTGCATCCACGTTGTCACCAGTAAGCCGTAACTGGGCTGGCTGAACAACAACCATAGAGGATAGAAAACATGAGATTTTCGCCTCGATAAACTGGGGGGAAAAAAGAGAAGGGTCATCATGACATGTCTTTTGAGTTTGATGCTACAGCACAAACAGGCACATGTTGTTTTCCTTGTTTGGGAGTTGGTAACCAGATTTATCACCAAATCGGGACGCCAACTTCAGATGTATATTGCCGAGTTGGGATCTACAGTACACTACAGGCTCCCTGTATATAAATGAGCACTTGAAGACAACAATCTGCACATATGTGATGTATTGCCGGTACTCTGACCCTGATCCACGCATTGAAATTGAACACAGAGAAAGACACCCATCGTTTCTAAGCCTTTTATTAACTTTGCGCATACGTTGCCACGATCTCTATTTTCCCCAACTCCCGCAATGCACTGTCGCGTTTCCCAGTGAAAAAAATTCCAGGAGCAAAATAGCATAGTTTACATGATACGCCCTCCCACCCCATACGCCCCGACGACTGATTATCATCCTGTCTCCCCCCCTTGCCCGATGAATCAAGCTGATTCTAATAGAGTCTGAGTGTCAAAAGTCACAATGAGATACGTATGCTTGGTGATTTCCTGCTGATGATAGCGGTAAGATCACTGCAAAGAAACAGTGAAGAAAAGAGGTCAAGTTTTTCCCTGAGAATGAACTCCTTTAAGAAAAAAAGACAAGGTAAGAACAATCCGATGCCCTCCTCAGTCATCAACCTCTTTCCTATACACCACCGACTCCCCATCGCCCGATCCACCACTCTTCCTTGACCTCTTCGTTGACTCGCTGGGCGTCGCCGCACCGGCATCTGTCCCACCGCCCTCGCTCTTACGCTTCTTCTTGGTCGGCCGGCTGGACCCCCCCTTAGGTCTATACCCCGGATCATCATCCGCCACCCTCTTCCTCTTGCCGGCAGCACCGCCAGTGCCCTTCCCACCACCGGAAGCAAGAGTAGGCGAAGCAAGAATGCTCGCCGCCTCGCTCATCTCCAAATCATCACCGCTGAGCTCATCTTCGATAGCAGCAAGCCTATCCGCCGTGGCCCTCCTGGCGGACGCGCCCTGGCGCTTGGTGCGAGCTGCTGCCGGGTCGCTCTTGCTCGCGGTACCGCCCCCAGAACCCTTCGCACCGCCAGAAGCAAGACTAGCCTGCAAGGCATCATAGCGTTTCAACGCCTCTTTCGGGCCCCAGATTTCACCACCACCGTGCTCGTATTCGTAAGCGGCGAGCTTCTCGGCCGCGGCCTTCCTCGCAGCTTGGGCCTGGCGCTTAGCGCGAGCGGCTGGGTCGTTCCGGACTTTACCACCGCGGGAGCCGGGGCCGCCTCTCGAACCTGGACCTCCGCCGCGGCCGCCTCGGGTAGAGGAGGCGGAGCTCGGGACGGCAATGACGGAGTCGTCGGCGCCGTTTCTGGAGTGGTCGTCCTTGTCCTTGGTGCTGTCCTTGTCGGCGCCAGCATGGTGCTCTGTGTCTTGGAGGAAGGTGTTGGGCGCGTTTTTACGCAGCCAGTTGTGCACGGATACGGGGTTTCGAAGGGCGTAGTCGCGGGAGGTCTTCTCGCGGGAAGCGGCCGTCTCATCGGGGTGGGCTAGGGGAGCGAGGGTGGGGAGCTGGTCGGTGTCGTCGAAGAGGCGGAGGTCGAGCTCGTAGAGGTAGTTATCTACATCGTCTGCGGTGAGGAAGGAGGGGGGATGGGGGGCGCCCTGGAGGGGGTCGACAGGGGAATCTCGGCCTGCTTGGAGATCGGAGACGAGGTCTGGGAAGTTTTCTGCAGCGGCAGCGTAAGGGATGTGTGGGACCTCGCGGAGGAGCTTCTGGAAGGATTTGGTGGGTTTGGGGCATCGGTTTGGCGTTGATGGTCTGTCCATGTCAAGGCGGAGAGCGTCGTCATCGACTGGGGAGTCCACGCTAAGGTCAAATCGCTTCTCGGGCGGAATCTGGGCCGAGTTGTTGACATCTAGAAGGGTATCGAGCAGCCGACTTTTGAATGATGATATTAGCAGGTGTGTACCAAATGGAGATGGACCAGCCATGTTGCTTACTCGTTTTGGATCGCGAGCCTCTTGGCCGTCGCCAGCGCCTTCTGCTCCATCATGTGAAGATCCTCGTTGGCCTTCATCTTGTCATCGAAAACGATGCGCATCTTGCGATACTTCTTCTTCCATGACCGATATGATGGCTTTTCGCTGGTGGTTCTGACATTGTGGCCATCGTCCTCGTCCTTGATCCTGCGCGCATCGGCCTCCATCGCTGCTTCTGGAGGCGTGTCCCGCCGGCAATCGTGGTGTTGCTAATTCGTGTAGAATGAAGTTCACGGAAGAAGACCGATTGAGAATATAGGTGCAAGGCAACCGGGTTGTGCGCCTGGCGTGTGGATCCGCGAAAGTCAAAAAAGCAGCAAGGCAGGTGAGCTTGTTGTCGTTTTTGGTGATGTGCTCTCTGGGCCTGGAGTTTGGACGCTTCGCAGTTGGAACTTGGATGGCGCGTTTTGCCCTTTGACAGCCAAACCCCTGAAGGTATAGTGACTTGAAATGGCGGGCGCAAACCGTTCAATGGGGCGTGCGTTTGAAGTACCGGTACTTGCAAGGCGGCACAGCTCCAGCCCAATCAGATCTTAATCAATCCCTGGTAGCATTTTCGAAATCTCAAAACCTCGCTCAAGACACCACCCGTCCCTCACATATTCACTTCTTCGCTCAGCCGCCTCGAGACCGAAACCTAGAGAGCCACTGGCAGTAGTATATGCTTCGCAACTTCATTCTAAAAATGACCGAGAACGCAGCGAAACGCCTCAAGACGGACAGTGGAGTGGTTGCCATTGGCACTCACAACGGTCACTTCCACGCTGATGAGGCCCTCGCAGTTTACATGCTGCGCAAGCACATCCCAACCTACGCCAACGCCAAGCTGGTCCGCACCCGTGATCCCAAGCTTCTCGACGAGTGTGACATCGTCGTCGACGTCGGCGGCGAGTATGAGCCCGCCCGCCACCGCTACGACCACCATCAGCGCAGTTTTTCCACCACCTTCCCCGAGCGGGCCACCAAGCTGAGCAGTGCTGGTTTGGTCTACATGCACTTTGGCAAGCAGATCATCGCCCGCCGTCTCAGTCAGCCCGAGGAGAGCGAGCAAGTTGGGCTCGTGTGGAATAAGATCTATCAGAGCTTTGTTGAGGCCCTCGATGCCCACGACAACGGCATCAGCGCCTACGATGCTGCCGGTCTTGCTGCCGCTGGTTTGGAAAAGAAGTTTTCGGACGGTGGTTTCACTCTCGGCGCCATGGTTGGCAGACTGAACCCCAACTGGAACGAACCAATCCCCGAAGACCCCGTCGCCGCCCAAGCAGCTGAGGACCAGCGCTTCGAGCTTGCCAGCCAGCGCATTGGCGAGGAGTTTGACCGCGGCCTGGACTACTTCACCTCGGCCTGGTTGCCTGCTAGAGAGGTCGTTGCAGAGGCTTTCGCGGCGCGAAACGAGTTCGACGCTGGTGGCCGCATCATGGTCCTCAAGAAGCAGTCTGCCCCCTGGAAAGATCATCTTTACACCCTCGAGGAGCAGAACCCCGAGGCCGGCAAGGTTCTTTACGTTTTGTACCCCGAGAAGCCCACCCCCGACGCCAAGTGGAGGATCCAGTGTGTACCCGAGACCAAGGACTCGTTCCAGAGCCGGAAGCCATTGCCTGAGGCCTGGAGGGGCTTCCGCGATGAGGAGCTTGACGGCATCTCTGGTGTGCCAGGCTCTGTTTTTGTGCATGCCGCTGGCTTCATCGGCGGCAACAATACCTTTGATGGTGCTCTTGCCATGGCCCAGAAAGCTCTTCTATGAAGCCCAATCTGCCAGGAGTTTGAGACGTTGATTAGCCCATTGCTGCCCAAGCGGGGCTCCTGTGATTGAAAAAGGATGGGCGCATTGGGGTTGTAGGCTGCCATAGAGATGCATTGTGTCACTACATACGGCCATCAAAATGGCAAGCCGCCGAGGTCAAGACAGGTAGTTGATAGTAGCTTGGCTGCATTGTCTTTGTCGCCCTCATCGACCACCCCCAGTGAGTTCACGGCATTGATCAAGTCCGTGGATAACCAAAGGAGCTCGCACTTCTGCAGAGAGCTCAGATTACTTCTTCCTATCAATCTCGAAGGAAGTGTTAAAGTAATACATACTTTAAATAAAAATAGAAGTCAAAAAAGCAAAGAAGCTCAAATTTGAGGCTATTACCTTGTGTGCTCATATTCAAATTTCACATCCCAATGCTTCTCCAGTCTCGAAACTCACACTAGGCCCGCATTCTGTCCAGTAGATGGCTGAATCAGCTTTCCATTCTGAGTGTCAATATTGACGAGAAAACGTGTGGCGGGCGGGCTTGGGGGTGCGAAACAAACAATGAACCCCCCGCAGCGAAACACCACCCAGTATGTCAAGTTCCAATTTTCAATAAATTCAGAGAAGATAATACCGATGCCCTTCCTCGCTCTTCTCTCCCCATCCCTTCCTACATTGTTCGTCATGATCGTTCATACATCAAACAGTAACCAACATCCGCAACAGGGAACCCGGGCCCTTTCCCCCAACCCAAAGAAATACAGAACGCCCGCAGACACCAACAAAAGAGTTAAAAAGAAAATAGCAAGCCCTCATATCTCGTAATTTGAGTTGCCTCGAGTGCAACAGCCTCTCTCTCTCTCTCTCTCTCTCTTTCTCTTTTCATCTTTCTGCCTTCGGTTTTGCCCCCTGTTGTCCATACCCCTTCTCTGGCCATCCTTGGCAGTAATCACGTACAAATTGTGTGTTTATCGTCTAGTCGGAAGCTCGTCCTGAGCGGTGGGTGTAACAGCCGGCTCGGCACCAGCCTGACCGTTCTCTGCACCGGCACCAGAGACCGGGACCCCCTTCTCGAGCTCCTCGGCACTGGTCTCCCGGTTAAGAAAGCTGCTCTCTTTGACGGGGCTGCCTGCCTGCATGCTGACATTGTGATGCTGATGGTGATGGTGGGGATGGAGGATGCTCCCAATGCCGTTGGGTCCGCTGACGGGGCTCGACAGATGGGGGATGTTCTCGGGGACGGGGTGCTGGCTGCCAACGGAGCCCGTGTCGACGCTGTCGCCCTTTCCGGCCTTGCTCATCGCGTAGTCGCCGCTGTCAAAGTACTTGCGCTCCTTGAGATGCTTGGCGAGGTGGTTCGACTTGCTGGGGAGCTTGCCGTAGAGCCGGACGAGGCGCTGCTCCTCAGGGGAGAGGGACTAGGTGGCGGAAGAAAGAGTGTCAGTTGGATTCTGAATTCATCCCTATCCAGGGACAGGAAAGGCCATGGGAGACTGAACACACCTCGACATTGATCTTCGCCTGGTGGGGATTCATGATTGCGGCCTGGCTTTCTTTGGCGAATGGACGGCTTGGTGGTGGTTGCTCAAGAACAAAACTGAATCGCTAAAACGAATCGAAGGTTCCTCGCTCGATATGTGTGTGTGTCGGGATGTGATGGTCGCGATGGTGAAAAAGAGAGTAGACGCTTTCCCCTAGATGGATTTGCTGAAATGGCGGGTCAAGGTTTTGATTCTTGTCTGGTATTCTTGCGTCAAGAGAGGGGCATGATCGAGCTTCTGGACAGGACGGGAGGTGGGATGTCACTTCGTTCCGCTTGGGTAGCGCCAGGCTGCTTAACCACTGGTCACCTGCTAACAATTGGCACTGCAGTGCCGTAGGTACTTATGCTCACAACTGGGTGGCTGGTTGCTGGGAACCTCAAAGAAAACGGGGCATTTAGTAAAAAGAGGAAGTAAAGTAAAAAGCTCTTTGTTTTGGAGGTTGGAATGATAAAAATTAATCAACTCTGAACAGGAACATTGCCTTGGAAACGTTCTGATTATAATGGCCCTCTTATAATGTTTTCCAACTCACAGGTTCATTGACCCAAACCCAAACCCGGGGCATCCGCCACCCACCTTGATATACCTCGCTTTAGGTAATCCTACACTGGACCTGCCTACCTGATACCATCTGATCACTTCCAATAAACTGTCGGGCTTCACAATTTGTTTTGCAACACCGCCGACTTTATGCAACACTGTTGAGGAAACTGGGCATTCCTTGCACCTCTCTGTCGTCTGTTATAGAGATACTTCCAACCTCAGAATCAACCACGGGACGTCAGCCAGTGGAAAAAGCACAAGCCACATGCTGCCCTCCGCTCCCTGAGCCATCCAACCCATGAACAGGCTACCGTCTAACAAAGACTTGCGTCAAACATCCCGATTAACTCGATCCATTATCACGCGATACATGTAATTCCAAAATGCAACAAAATCTAATCTCTATGTATGTCATGCAATGTGATCTCTGTAAATAAATTCTACCATGTTTCCCTGGCTCTAGTTCTTGGCAACATGTCTGGTCTGGAAACAAGGCTCGCCAGGGAGCGCCAGTGCGATGAGCCTTTGTCATTCTATGCATTGTAGATTCTGTCAATCAGGCTATAGTGATCAAACAGACGGTGAATTTGACGTACTTCAGGTGTACAAAGCCATCCATGCCCTTGGGCGAGTAGCTAGAGCCGTGGACGAGAGCAAACTTATTCCTTGTAGTAACACGCTACACGCTTGGCCACGAATTCCCAGAAAAGACTAATAACCAGAGAAACTACATTGCATTCACCCATTCATGGAAAGATAATCTAACCAGCCACTCTACTCGGCTGGGAAAGCTGTCACAGCCTCGCCAGCCTCGAACCCATAGGCCCCAAGTCTTGAGGCTTGGAGGCCGGGGTCAACTCAACAACAACCCCCTGTTTTCCTTCCCCTTCAGCCTTGAAGTAGATCTCTTGACAGTCCTCTTCCCCCTGTCCATTCGCAAACTGCACCACCAGAAAATCAAGGGCTGTGCCAGGCTTCCCAACAGCCACCATGGGCGCGTGCCAAGTCCCCGCACCGTATGTCACAGCTTGCTTGCCTGTGGCAACGAAGGCACGCAGTCCGCTGAGATCGGGAAGTCCCCTGCCAGGGAGGGGGCGGGGATAAGAGGCTCCTGCTTGGTCTGTGGTCGTGAGATTCGCTGGAACTGGCAAATCTGCGTCTGCATCAGCGGGTGGGAGGGTAGGCGCCACGATAACAAGATAGTGCTGATTTTCAGGTGCCGAGAGAGGGATAAAAGTCTGGGTTGTGAAAGGATGGCGCTCCAATACACGCACAGGGAATGCGGTAGCTGGTTGTGGTGGTTGTGACGGTGACGCGGACGAGGTTGGGATACTGATCCGTGAAGCACAGATGAAGATGTTCATTACCGAGACCCCTGGGACGGCACTGGGAGCCTGGGGGTAGAGGTTTATTTGACGAGAGACATGTTGATATTTAATGGCTGAGCCTTGGTTGGCGGAGATTCCATCAAAGGGGAGTGAGGGTACTGATGTGGCAGAGAATGGGTGCAAGTCTGGTCGAGGGTTGTTGATCACGTCCCCGAACGGAGCGAAAGCTTCCCGGGTGAGGGGTACCGCTTCGACCACCAGTTTTGGAACAGTAAGCGTGATGTTCTTGGTTGGAGAAGGCATATTGAAAGAGCGAGGCGCCAGTTACCCAATTCCGGTGATGAATCGAACGCGGCAACGGTGATGTTGATGACGGTCCCGGTGTTACGGTCGGTTTATTGAGTGGCTCCCTGGAAGTAACAGAAGATGGTGGGGTCTGCGGCCCCCTCCGAGAGGCATATGGCGACAGATCGGAGCATTTTCTTCGTGCACCAATACCATCACACTAGCATAATCATCTCAAACAAGAAAACCACTTTCCAAGCAGCTCGGTAATTAAATTCCTTATCGTTTACCATGATGCGTTGCCAATGTCTCGTCTCTGATTGAAGCGGCAATGCGTGCCACACACTCTACCAAAATAACAGCTCGAGCCCGGGTTCCAAAAGACAAACATCGGCTGTCACTCTCTCCGCACAATACGTTTGCGGTTCACGTTATGGGGTAAACAGACATGGGCTCTAGGTAGGCGGGTTAACAATCTCTACCTGTTTTAGACGTGCTAACAATGTTGCTTGAGACTCATGCCGTTGTTTGTTCAGAGTAGCCAGCTCCCAAGGACACCATACATCCATGGCAATCATTGAGCAAGTGTCCTCACATCATACTCGACAGACATGGGCATCTATACAGCTGATTCAACCAGTTCTGTAGTCTCAAAGCACATCCGAACACCCGGGAGGGGTTTCCTATTTTTAGCCCTCGCCAATGATTATACACGGAACGGCAATCTCTCGATTTTGCGGCTACCAATCCCTCCCGGTCCTCAATATCGAGCCTCGGGGTTGGGTGGACAAGGATTCCTGCGAGGACGTCCACCAGAGGCGTCATCCATCGTCCTGGCCTCACCACGGAGAGCTTTTCCGTTTGGACAATCCACACCAGAAACCCAAAGCAAGAACTGGCCGACAGCGGTACCTGCCTCCTATATCTTGAGTTGGACACCATAAGTGATCTCCAGGCCCTTGCGGCCGGTAACAGACGGGCTCGGTTAGATTGTCCATATCATCATTACTCATAATGAATATTACATGACAGGAGACAAAACAAGGTCTTCTGCCAGGCGCCCCTCCGCCATGTTGCCGGACTTCACACCCAACACTCCCCAGGATATCCGGGTATGTTAAGTCCCACGCAGCGGACATATAATTGTCAGCTGGGATAGGACGGCTGCTCGCAAATAAGAGGCTATCTGCTAAGCGGGCATGTATTGCAATCACTAGGGCTGTCTTCTAACAGGCTGAATGCAAGTCAATATGATGATCCTGCGATGCAATATGGTTCTATCTCTCACTGTTCCAAACACCCAGGTATCTGGTCCCTTGGACACAGCGGCCCTTTCCAGTATCCCTGTCGGAATGTCACCGAACTAGTTAAACGATAGGATTCGATGACAACGAAGTTTGAGTGGTCCCAAAGTCCCGGATCAGGGCAAACGTTGATATAAGTTAACACAGCCCGAGTCCCCTTGCGTCCGCCAGGATTGTCAGCTCTCACGGCTACCGTAATCCAGCTCTGTTGTTCTAAATAAGATGGGGCAAAGCAGTTTGAAGTGTCTCTGGGCACTGTTCATGTTTCTGGCTATCGGCTTCGGTACCGCGTGTACGAGCTACGGTGTTGACTATTCCAACGGAGGCGCATATAACATTGACGGCTCATCGAACCAATATTTCAGTTTCGTCACTATATTTCAAGGTAGGCGGCTGCTTGGGTTGAGCATGACGACCTGTAAAAGCAGACGTGCTGATGTTGCCCGGCAGGATGTGATCAAGAGTCGATCAGCCCGGTCCTCATCGGGCCAGACAACAACCAATATGCGTGTTCAGCCATCAGGACCGAGCAAGCCGGTGTACAAGTCACATCGACCTGGTAAGAAAGAACGCTGTCCAGAAAAAGAATTGCGAGTTGACTCTGTGCTAGTGGCATTCCTTTCTCGGCCATGAAGTCAGGGAACTGGAAGATTATTCTATCCGGAACCCAAGTTTCATCACAACGCACCTTCTCGGTAACAGTCGGCACGCCTGAAACTACCTGGGTCACGGTAAGAAGGGTGTGTCCAACCACATGAAGGCCATCACTTAACAAGACATCTGCAGGCGACACCAACCGTTGTTGTCGGCGTTACTACTACAGCAAGAGCCTCGACTGTTTTGACTACCATTGTGCAGACTCAGACTCTGATCATCGTACCCCGAACCATTACTGCAGCATGTAGCGGACCTACCCGGACAGTCACAAGCTATCCACAAGCACCGACGGCCACAGTCAGATCGACGGTCACCCGGACAGCAACTGATGGGCAGATAACAAGTTACTGGACCACCATAGTCACAACAACAGCAAAGTGCAATTATCCTACCAGTACGTTATATTCCTGATCTGGCAGGTGTAAGAATGCTGAAGCGGCCATGGTGGTGTGGCGAGAGGGACGAGAGAAGGCTCCAGCGAAGACACTCTGGTTCTAATGTCACTGTGTTAGGAAAACGAGATGTAGCTGCGACTCCCGCCGCACAGGTCGCCGCAATCACATCGACATACACACAAACCACATATACAGTCACCAGGACAACTACGACAACTGTTGCTGGAAGGGTGACTACCGAAACTGGTGAGTTCATCGGCTGTCCTAAAACGCCTTCTTTCCTTCGTAATGAATGTATGCTAATCCGAAGTAAAACAGTCCTTCGAACTACGACAGCCACAGTGTAAGCACCCTTCCGTAGCAACAGCACTCTCCTCGCTCTTCTCATCTGGCAGCTAACACTGGTCTTCTCTCCAGCACCCCTCCGCCATCAACGGCATGCGTAGGAAACGCACCTGGTTCCACTGTGACTGTTATCAGGACACAGAGCGCCGTAACCGAAACGAACGTTGTCTATTTAACGAGCCATCTGTCTGGCACTGTCTGGGTTGGGTATGTGGCTGCGTTACTCCATTTTACTGATAGGTGCTAACAGTATTCTCTTTAGCCAAACGCAATACACTACAATTTCCAACCCTGTCAGCGCTACAGCTTGTTGGAGAGCTGGTGGGTGGTATGGAAAGTAGTAGCCTACGACATCCACATGAGCACTCCAGATCCTCGGAGAGAGATCTGCAATTGCCTGACAATTGTTTGCGGGCATGTTGAAGGATTGTGAATAACATTATCCTGGCACTTTCAGATACGCCGCAAAGGTTGGAGCATTCGATATACTTGATCATCGTACAACACTGGCCATCGGATTTTTGACGATAAATGTGTCCAAGTACTCATGCACAACACTCTTCCAGTTCCATTATGGGGAGAAGCGTTTAGTGTTAAGGGTATAAGTAAAGACTCTTAAACCAGGCCCGTGAATAACCATGTCTGTGATCGTGAAGTTGACTTCAAACATCGTCATCTTCATCGCCTGCAAGCCATATCTCATGCCCATTACCCTCGTGTACGAAGAGACTTGCCACAATCCCACCTATCGCAATTGCGCTGAGGCACCAGAATACAGCACCAACAACGCCCCGTGCCAGACCCTGCCCATACAAAAACCCTCCTAAGAAGGGGCCCACTGTCCTTGAAAGACTCGAGACGCTCTGCCCAATGCCATGCACTGTCCCCAGTACGCTTGGATGCGGCGTACAATTATTTACCAGAATCGTCTGAGCAGGCAGTGCAAATGTCCGGCCAATGACATGGAAACAAAGCACGCCCGCGATGGCAAGCCACACAACAAAACCATCCTTGGGTGCCGGCGGCAGAGAGAAAGAGGGGACCAAGCTCAGATAAGGTGCGATGAAGTAGGTAAAGGGGAAAAAGAGCAGAAATAACCGCCAGCTCCGGACGGTGCCGAGCCGGGCCGAAAGCCAGGGATAGGTGCCAAGCTGGAGAGCAATACCAAGAACACCCAGGATAGCCATGGCCATGCCGACTTCACGAGGATGTAGACCGAGACCTCCAGTGAATATAAACGGAAGATGCCGTTGGAAGGCGTCGGGTGATTCTGGGCCTTTGGCTGGATCGTAGACTGGGGTTGAGAGAAATACGAACCAGAGTGAGTTGAACGTGCCCACGTGAAGGGACAGAAGACAGCTAGCTGTGAACGTGGAGACTACGTTTGGCGTGAAGATGCGGCGGAAAGGGAGTCGTTGTGTGTAGCGTCGTCTGGCATATTTTGGCTTGAAAGGGGCTACATCTGAAATGGAGGACTGCTGGGAGTCTGTGCCATGGGTAAGAGGGTGGGTTTCGATATCGATGGTGGTAGGGTCTTCAGTGGAAAGGCGTGCGTACCCCCCCTTGGATCTCTTGCGAGATACCCACAGTTTTATGCTCTGTCCAATTTCCAAGCCTCTATCACGTTGGTCGGCGCAAAGGTCAAGTGTCTGTGGAGAATTAGTATTGGTGAAAGGATAATACGATGAGCTGGGTCACAGCACTCACTTCTTCGAGAAATAGCCACACAAGAAGCATAGCACAGAAGAGAAAGATTGCCGAGAGGATGTTCGGGGCAGCATACGGGAACTCATGGAAGAACCATACGTCTCCGAATAGGGATGGGTAGCTACTTGCTGGATCGGAAAGGATACCACCAAGTACTGCAGCCATAATGTGTTAGTGAGCACCCAGAAAGTCCTGCTTGATACGTACTCGGTCCAATGATAGTCCCAATGTTGAAGGTCATTGGAAGTAGAAGAAATGCTCGCGACTGATATCTATTATACCGGTTAGAGCTCGCCCACCGTGCCACTTGACTGTAAGCATACTTTTTCTCCTGTACCGTTTCACTGATCCTGCAAGATAAAATGGATATTAGCGAGATGCTTGGGTTGTTAGCAGAGGCATTATCCTACATGGTTCTCAACACTCCCACGTTCCCATTGGTGATCCCGCCGAGAGACCTGAAGAAGAGGGCTTGCCAAAAGGTGGTCGAAAAGCCAAATCCGAGGCACGAGATCACTAGACATAAATATGATGAGCCAAACTGCAACAAGGTGATGGGTTCTCGGGTCAGTCTTACTTGTCCCAGCAAGGCCAATGAGCAAGACGGTTTTGCGACCAAACCGGCGGGAATCAGCAACTCGACCCCACATCATTGATGTCACGAACTGAGCGGCAGTGAAGCTAGCACTACATGATGCCACCGGACAAAGTCAGTCTCGTGCCACTTGCTGCCTAGTGGTGGTGGTTTACACATGAGGACTGGAATAGCACGAACTGCAAGATGCCTGCCTGGCTTGAAATGACAGAATCTGGCAGGCTTGTGTCAAACCATTTCAGTTGGTAAAACATATATGACTACAGCTTTATTAGCCAGGATCCAACGATCGCTGTGATGCCGTAGAAGCCCTACCTGTAATGATGTCTGCACAAGTGGTTCACTCAACCTGGCAAGGGTGATAACGGTGAGTTGGTCTTTGCGCGGAAGGTCTCTCCAGGCGACCGTCTTCGCACCAGAAGGAGTCTGAGAGATATTGGCGTTGAGCCCCGAAGGTGTCACACCGGGCATGATTCCAGCGATTGATACGGTGCTGTTGGTGCCGTGACTTGAAGCAGAAGACTCGGCTTGTAACTCCGAGTCGGAGAGCAACCTGGAGTTTATGGATCCGTCGTCTTGATTGTCGCCAGTAGGGTAGCTTGCTGGGGCCGTGGCCGTGGTCTCAACAGCCCCTCCATGACCGGAATTGCTACTCATGAGAGCTCTCTCGTGGTGTTGTCACTTCCTGGCCTACACCCTGCCCCTTTGTCTTTCGAGCCCCAGCAACAGCGTCACTGCCCAGCTGTGTCGAACTTCCTGACCAGTTTTATAGTAAAGAAAGGTAATGGTGGACTGTAATCATCAGCGGGTGGGAGAACAAGGAAAACCATGTATTTTCTGGTGCTCTATCAGTTGTGGAATACAAAGCCAAGTCATTAATACCACCTTCTCGTCAATCAAAACCCAATCCTCTCATCGTATAACCCCAACCTACTCTCGGCACCGCTGGCGGCATCAACAGAATGCATTGGAGAGAGCAAGGCTGGTGGCAAGGGTGTGACACACGCAATCATCTCGCCTGTCAACGTCAACGAGGACCCACTATCGGTCCCGCAGCGGACAAGAGGCTAGTCCGTGCGGCTCATCAACGGTCGGTTACCTAGCTTCCGATGACCGATCGATATTCTGGTATCTAGTCTTCCATCAACGGATGCATGATCGCTTGCTCTGCTTTCTTTGGATACTTTTACCCAGACCGCTAGAGGGTGGGAGAACCGACATGTCGCTAAAGGAGGAGCGGGCGGAAGGTAGGTGAGCGACAGACGGCGCCCAGTGTTGATCACAGAGCTTGAGCTGATGAACCTTAGAGCTCTCCATCTTCTGGCCGCAATGGCTCCATGCTTGCTTGCTCCTTCTGGCAGACAATAATACTCCGCAAGATATCTTCCGACGCCATCTGAGATGAGAGCACTGCCTCGACCCTCCAACCAATGCAATATCTTCCTTCCCTGTTCTGCAACTGCAGAGAATCTGGAGCAAGATACGGTCCAATGCCTAGTAGCCCCGTTTGGTGGTTTCAGGTATGTTCGCCGTGCCACCCAAAATTGCCACAGCTGGGTTATCTGGCCGAATGTTTGATACGTGGATCACGCGACATGTCCCGTGGGCGAACAATCTGCCGTGCCGAGCTCGGTGGTTTAGGCCGTGCCCGCCCGTCTCTGATGAGCAACTGACCATCGCACGGCCGGACTTCCGGAGGCGGGCTCCTCGAGACACCATCACCGATCACTACCGGCAGATCTCCCGTCTACGGTCTTGGCATGGAGTTAAATGGGTGTCCTTCCAGGTTGTGCTGGTTCCGCCTCACCGCAGCATTTGTTCACCCAGGTGAACACCTCCGGGATTGCCTTGCATTTGTGGGAAACAGGGAAACCCAGATATTGAGAAAAGACGATCGATCTCCGAGTCTAGTCCGAGGGGTCCTTGCGGCTTTTTTATCTCACCGACCTGTCCCATCGTTTTCCTCTTCAAAGCATCAGCTGCATGCTCAGGCTTTAGCGATGTGATGTTGGGTGGAACTGATGCTGGCTGTTGTATGGTCATTTTGGTTTCGTCTAGCACCTACCTTACAACCATGTTGCAGGCTTCTTCTCCTGCTTTTGGTTCACTGTGTGTCAACGGTGTAAAGGTACATGTTGGTTTCTGTGCTGCTGAGGAGTGGCAGTCTGATGGCAAGGAACCGGGGCAAATCAAAGGCGGTGCGGACGGGCTGGAGTTTGCAGCGATGGGGAGAAACGGGGTTAATCTTCAGCAGGGTCCGCCCATCGCGACAACTTCACCTGGTTCTTCCCTGCCGCCAAAACGCGAGGAGCGAGCCCGGTTCGCAGCCTCCCCCTGGTTAAAGGCGGGTCTTTCTCGAACCCTGTGGAATGGGACTAGCCACGATCTTTGTTATCTTTTGTTGTCACTGTCGAACCAGTATGGTGAGCATCTTCTATGTTTGAATCAACAAGAGAGAGATAGAGGCTCCGTAGTAGTCCATGTCTGAGAACAGCTCTCGTCAATCCCAGTTTATCATCCATTGTGTCCTTGGATTCCTTGGGTTGATATCTCGAGGTTCCTCCATTGGACCCAAAGTCCTAATCAGGACGCTCTATAGACCTATGGATCTGTGGGGGCTGTTTAAGCGCATCTGAAGCCAGAAACGGTGTGGGAGCACCACGCTAGCTATTCTAGTCGGGTGCGGCACCTGCCGGACACTCCGTTTATTCAGGCAGGCCCGGCATCTATGAACTAGCGGGTTTGCTCCGGGAGAGGGCGGCATCATTGGTGATCTTGTGAAAAATTCTGAGTGGAGTTTTGTCAGTCCAGGTTGTGCTTAATTTCTCGTTCACGAGACCATACCATCAAATACTATTCCTTTGTTCGCAATCCCAGGTTGAATGAGAAGACGAATATCTAAGCTAGATACCCTTAGCATACCGGAGCCGTGACATATTCCCCAGGTACTGTGCAGACAGCATCAAACGGTTTACGCCGCTTCAGGAGCGATTTGTCAAAACCGATGTAAAAACTTGTTCGGCGACATGGAATTACTGCAGTGGACTTCCATTTCTAGTACCACCTCGTTCTTGGTAGGGTAGCACCATTGCTGTCTGACAGTCGACTCAACATATCAATCATCTGTTTAGTGTTTGTGGTATTCTTTTTCTCCACAGTCATATCGTCCTGCAGCTGTGTCGCTTCTGGCCGTTGCATTGTGAGAAAAGCTCCTGCACTGCCCTCCTCAAACAAAACTCCAAAAGATTTTTGTGAGAGCCCCGAACCTTGGCTCCTGTGGAGCTTTGAGAAACGCCATTTGTTTACCTTTCCTGCACTTGTATGGGGAAAACTACCAATCAGACTGTCGTGATTTACTATCTCCATCACAGTGTGTCCCCATCGGAACCAGACTGATCGCTTCAGGGTTTTCTTTCAATGCGCTGCCCAAATTCTCTTTTGAACTCAGGTCCTTCGGAACAGGGAGTGTCCTTGCCCATTGGACCTGGCTTTGCCGGATCTTTTGCCCGGTGACGGACAGAAGGGGCAGAGTCTCTTCGTCACCTGCTCCAGGGTGCAACTTGAAACGCTGCGTTCTTCTGGTATGTGTAGTTTATGATGTATGCACATTTTGCTGTGGAAACCGGTCTTCCCCTTGCTGAAAAACCATAATAGTCTTTTCTTAACAACACCTGATGTTTGAAATGACGTATCTACTTTGACATGAACAGCTTTAATGTCTATAAACACTCCTTTATACTGATATAGAATGAAGTTTGGGGCCTTTTCTCTTACCCTGTTAGTAAAAAAAAAAAAAAGAAGAAAAAAGAAGAAAAAAGAAAAGAAAGAAAAGGAAAAAAAAAACAACCAAGAACGCCATGTTGTAAAGTGTGTTGAAGAAAGAAAAGAATTACTGAGGGTATAGAAATTAAGGTAGCAGTGCTTTTCGTGTCCCGAAATTTATCCGTCCAATATCCATTCCATGTTATGCAGAACAAAGCGAAAAACCTGAGCGTGAGCCAATGCTGCATGTCTATGTTGGTCCCGGTGTTTGTGTCCGCCTGCAAGACTCCTATTCTTGAGAAAACAAACCCAAAAACTCCAAGCAAAGTGCCGAGACGGCCCTGTTTTCCCCTTCTGGGGGTGATCGCTGTCGCCCGATATTTCACCCGCTGCTGGCGTGACAGGGTGGCCCACATATCAACCGGCAGTATGTGGCCATGTCAGATATCGCTGCCAGATTGTGCATCGTCTGGGTGTTTTCACCCAATCCCGGGAGCGTCGACGTGCTTGGGGCCGATTAAGGAACGAAGGTTTGTCCACTGCTGCAGGTGGCGGCAAGTGATGAGTGGCGTAGGGTGGGTGATAAAGGTCTTCTTGGGTGATCCGGTCACCGTGAGAGCCATTCATAGACCAGCAGCCTGTGGCAGTCCATGTGGCTGCGGCTGGTAGTAAGAGGGATACATCGTCGCGGACCACGGTTGAGGTGTGATGTATCCTGCAGCTGGCTGCGATACATTGGGATTAGGATAGCCATGGTCTGCTGCTGATGACACCTTGCTGTTAGCGTTTGGCCATGATTCTGAAATATGATCGGCGCCCACGGCTCGTCGTTGTACCTGGATCAATATCTCGTTGTTCAAACTCCAGTTTCGTAGCGGCAGCATCCATGCACGGCATAGAAGTGGGCGTGATCACATTCCCTTCCATCATGGTCGGCATGCTGGTCGGGATATAGGCCGGGATGAAGGCTTCGTCGGGGTGGCTCGGGGAAGAGCAAGGGCTGGAAACGACCGAGGGAACCGAGACGGAGGACACTGGAACCGAAGATACTGACACCCCAGAGGGCCATTGTTCCTCTGTCGTGGGCACAAATGTGAAGGTCTGCGGCGCCGAGTTGTAGTCGTTGGATGGTTGGCCAAATGGCGGAGGCCGGCTAGGAATGCCGGCGTGACCGGCGGGTAGCAGATCGGGTGCCTCAAAGCCTGGGGCTGGTGTGGTTAGAATGGAAGCTCGAAATGGACAGGCAAGAGCTGATGGCTGGGATATACCGGGTGGTGAAAACATATTATGATTGAAGCGTTTGAGTTCTTCGCGCAAACTGAACACCTCTCTCTCCAGCGCATGGTTCCTCATCTGGAGCTGGTTGATAGTCTCGTCCCGGCTATGTCGGTTCTTGTACTCTTCCAACTCCTTCTCCAGCCGCTCGATGTGCTCTTTTGTGCGTTGCCTGATTGCGCGCTGGGCTTCCCGGTCATTGGCCCGTTTCCGGGCAAGTTGCGTGGGCGTGAGTGTCGACACGCTGCGAGTACCTGATGACGGCAGAGGTTAGAGATGTGTGAAAACAGTGGAGATGGGCAATCCATACCCTTCCGCTTGGATGGCTTTGGTGGTTCTGTAGATGTCTCTCGGGTCATGTCGAAGATGATGTGTTTTGCGTGTATGAGACGACGTCAGTCCTCGGAGACTTTGTCGACGGCGACGTTATATGTGGATGGAGATAGAAGTCTTTTCATCTACCATGGAAAGTGTGAGGGTTTTTGATGTCGAGGACAGCAAGAGCCATGTGAACCAGCAATAATCGGCACCATGGTGGGGTGGGGAGTTGGCAGGCACGAGGATTAAGTAAATATACGGAGTAGCCATGGACCATCCCCAAGGTCACTATCACTGGCAAGACCAGGGAACAAGGGTGGAAGAAGAATCGGTATCTCGATGCTTGGCTCAGCACCAGTCCATTGCCGTCGACAGACTTGGTGGAGATGGCGGCGGGTGGGGTCCACACGGGCTCACTCCATATCCCGCATCCACCTCCAGCACGCACTGGTGTGGTTCGGTCACAGAGACCGGCCTGGTCCACAACCAGCAAAAGTCCAGATGTGGTGCGGTAGGGTGCGCGTGGTGGCCGTGTGGCCTGCCATGGATTTGAGATGGAACAGCTGCGAAGCCTGTAGCAGGAACCATGAACGATGAAGATTAGGGGGACCTGGAAGACAGACACACAGACAGACAAGAGACACCAGGAGAAGAGTTAGAGCGGCGAGCGGGACTGTGCTGGAAGGTCACTCTCTGGACAGCACGCGGTCGGAGGCGCGGCGTGGCGCCCACCCCCGCCCGCCGAAGCAGCGGCAGGGACGGAGTCGAGAAGGGGCTTGCTTCTGGAAGATGGATCTGAGGTTACACGGTCCCAAATTTAAACTTTTGCGCTACAGGAGGCGCGACGCGGCCTCACGTTTGGCACTGGGAGGACGCCACTGCCAGTCTGGCAGGGAAGAGCTTGGATGATGCGGGCACGGGCGTTCCCGGGGAAGAACCAGAGCATTCGGCGACCATCCTCCGCCACAGCTGCCAGAGTGACAGACTGCCAGACCCGAGCTCGCCGAACCTTATCCCTCATCTGTGGCAGCGGGTTCCGTTCGTTCATGGGTCAGTATTCCGGCAGAGCTCCGAGACGGAGGCCTTTGCCGCAACATACTCCGGCAGACCTACGAGTGTAGCTTTTAGCCCATGAGCATGAGGATGGAGAAGAGCGATGACGCTACCATGAAACTTTCTTATGGGTGATGGAATTGTGTGGGTGGTTTTTTGCGGATGGAGGACAGTTCCGGGAGCATCGAAGGGATAGCCCAAGCAGCTCAGCCTGTCAGGGTCCTCGCTAAGCAGCACAAACTCCACACCTATTCTACAGATGCCTCGAGAGGCTTAATCTGATGAACCTCTGCCCAGCAAGATCAGGTCAACAGAGAAGCATCACCGACGACAGCGACGAAGAGGGGCCATGGAACACCTGCATGGAGTACCAGACTTATTCGTGTCTTGTGTCGGGATTGCCGCTCAAAACTCAACAAGGCGGGGATGAAAGCTAAACTCTCCTTGTTGGCCATAGCATCAGGAGGAGTCTGACGTTTTGTTAGCTGCTGGTAGTATCATACCCAAGAAAGTAACCACGCAATGGCCCGTCCATGTCTTGAGAGTAAAGCCCCGACTTGGGCCCTGGGCACCAATGGACCTTGAAAGACATATGATGCTCGTAGCTCGTCAAGAGTTCAGAAAGCAAGACTCGAGAAAGCAAAATCAGAGAGCTCCTCTCCATCCCCATACAACGACTGACGTCACTACTATAGCGCCCGAACCATCACAGCACATTGCCGCAAGCCAACGTCTGCCAGATCGGCCGATATAAATCTAGATCAACTTGTGATCTAGCCCATGGTTAACCCAAGTACCGGATTTCAAGAGGCCGAACCAAAATTGAGATTGGTGCCGAGATGGGCGAGGTGGTGCGGCTATCTCATTGGATTCAGAACTCAAAACATGGAAAACAGCTGGCTTCCTATGAACCTCCTTCTTCCTCCAGCCAAGTAGCAATGTATTCGAATGGGTGATCTATGAGACTTCGATTTTCATATCCTCCCCGGCAGCCTCCACTAGATCGTCCATGCCGCCAACCTGTGTTGGTCCGCTTGCGCCTTCGGGCGGCATGGCCCAGGCTGGCAGCGGGCTCACATAACTCCAGGACCCATCGGCATCCTCGTACCGGAGACTGTGCAGCCACAGAGAGAGCTCCTGGCTGCCTGGATCGGTATACAACGGGGTTTCGCAAACATCGCAAAGCTGGCCCGACATCCTTTCCGCCTTCTTCTTGTGATACACGTCCACCATCTCGTCATAGTACGCCACAGCGTCCGCAACCTGTTCCTTTCCCATCCGTGCCAGGCGGGAAAGAACATCCTCATCGGTATTCAGGGTTGCTTCGGCATCATTGCGCCCGAGGTCGAAGCCCCAAACCTTCTGGTTGGCATAGATTGGATCGTTCTGTACAGGATGACCTAGAAACTGTAGGTGAACCCGAATTTGATGTGTTCTGCCTGTGACGGGCAAGCAGCGGACAATCGAATATCCCTCGGTTTCTCTAGTGAACTGGTCTTCGGGACCGCCTGTCTCTGCCTCATCCGGCGACGGGCTGTTGCTGGAACTAGGTTTGATGATGGGCGACGGATAGTAAGCAAGGCGCTTGAAGACAGTCTTCGCAGACTTGCCATTAGCTCGGACCCGGTTCAAGCCCAGTTTTGGAGAAATTTGAAGGATCGGCTGGTCGCAGACAACCTCGCCATCAGGAAATCGACCGACCACACGGGCAAGATATTCTTTCCGAACACTGCGTCTGAAGATCTGGGCACTAAGACTTTCGGCAGCTTTGGCCGTCTTGGCAATAAACATGATACCGCTGGTCAGCCTGTCGAGCCGGTTGCATGGTCGGGGCGCAAAGGTCGGCCCCCTCTCGGCCTTCATAATCTCCACCACCGAGTTGTAATGGTATCGACCGGCAGGGTGTACTGGCACGCCCGAGGGCTTGTTGATCACGATCATGTCGTCGTCTTCGTGGATGACCTGCACGGGATCTTGTGTAACGGGAGGCTCGTGTCGATGTGTGGTATGCGAAACCAGGTCGCCGTTCACCATCACATAATCCGGGCTCACGATTTTGCCATTGACCGCGACTTGACCAGACTCCATCGCCGCACGGTAATACTCGACCGGTCGCTCGCGAAACTCGCTCTCAAACACTTCAATGATTTTTCTTCCTCGCCATCGCTCCTTGCACCAGGTGTTATATGTGTAGAAATAAGGGGCCACCCGTCGAAGACCATCTTTGAAGAAGTATGGATGTGGAGGGCCCAGCGAGGCTGAAGGCTCGGGTTGCGAGATCAAGCTTGGTTCGGTATAACTGATGGCGCCAGTAGATTCTACGACTTTGTTGTTCTCAGCGACGACAGCAGTCAACGGTTGTGACGGTGCACCAGGCAGGAGGATGGAGGCGGTCATCGTGCGGGCGAGGGTTGCAAGTGTAGACGTTCTTCTTAACAGGTTCGCCGGCCAACATCAGCGCTCCATCAAGCAGAAACTCTCGGAGGTCTGAGGGTCGATAGCCAAGTGTTGGTGAGTTGTGGTGGGGTTCGTGGCAGACTTGAAGATTCACGCTTGATTGGATGAGGGGTTCACCTGTTCAGATGCTGAACTCGACGGAAAAAAACAGGCGGTCGGAAAGGGCAGTATTTGACAGGTTCCAACCTGCAGGGTTACCCCACAGTCTTGGCTGCAGCGAACCTCGGCTCTTTCCGCAGCTATATTCGAGCCGTCAGCAACAATGAAATTCCTCTTTCCTCACTTCTTGCCTCGTGCTTGTCTTTCGAAGCTGAGGTGTTTATCCCCTTTCCTGCCGCTGCAATGTCAGACATCAGCCGTCTCAAAAGCAGAACGAGGGCTGACTATCGGTACATTCTGGAATATCGCACACGATGGTAAGAACATTCGATGTCAACCTACTTCTAAGACGCGTTTTGGGATTAATAATGATCAGGAGCGATAACGATATGTACGACCACATGAACAACTCCATTTACAACTTCCTTTACGACTCGGTCATCAATACTTACCTGATGGAAAACTGTGGCCTCCATCCCCCCTCGTCTCCGCAATATGGCATGGTTGTACATTCACACAACGATTACTTTGCTTCAATTTCGTTTCCTGCCTGCGCTGAGTTGGCCCTGCGAGTAAACCGCATAGGAAATTCCAGTGTGGCATATGAAATAGCTCTGTTTGAAAAGGGGCACGATGCGGTTCGATCTGTGGGCGAGTTTGTTCAAGTCTTTGTCGACCGCGAGACAGGGAGGCCAAATGCAAAGGGGATGAACCCAGAGCTACGCCGGGGATTGGAGAATCTACTAGTGAATCGAGAAGCAAGTAAACTTTAAAAGGGGGTCGAGTATGTATACAAGATACTACGTTTGGCTTCACAAGTTGACTAGAATATATATACTTGTAACAACCATCTGGATCGAAACTTGTCGTGAATCTAACCGTAGAAATAAATGTCACGGATCGTGCACGAAGTGCCGGTGCACAGGGCGCGGGGTGCCCGTAGCTAATCATTACCTGACCAATAAGAGGTGGAGCGACGGGATCACTGGTGGAGCGACAGGAGCGCGGTGATCCAAAGGAAGGAAAGGTGATCCAGATCACTCTTGGCGAAAGTGATCTAGGTAATCCAGAGGTCTATATATATGGAGGAACTAGATAGGTAGCAGATAGTTCCGTAGTATGTAATATAAGTTACATTCGTTAGTATTAAGACTATTGTGATTAAGACAAGCTATTGTTGTGCACTGTTTAGGTGCACCAACCTAAGATTGTCTGGAAGCGCCTTCGACTAGTATCACATTCAGAGGTTCTGAATAGAGGTTCGCCACAATAAGATACTATATATGTAGCCTTACATCAAAAGTCTGAAAAGAATACATAGGTAGTTTTGATTTCTCAATAGTATCTATAGATCTTCTTTTGATCCGAGTTTATAGAAATCCCAAAAATGATTTAAGATATTTCCAATTTTCTAATCATAAATAAAGTTTTA